ATACTTAAATTTTAAATTTATTAATTAATATAGTATTCACTCTTAACGTAATTTGCTCAAAATGATAACATATAATAAATAAATAATTTTTTAAGTATTAAATTAATTAATAAATTCATGTGATATATTAAAAAATTTTAAACTTCAGATATCATATTAAATATTTTATTATAGTTCAAGAATCATTTGAGATATTATCCTTTTATTTATCTCTTTTGCTTTAGCTTACCTAGCTTGTTTGCCAGGACAAACTCTTCTTGAACAACCACAGTTTTGATCATACAACTATAAATAATTAGTGTCATTCATGATCTCTTTTATACATTCTTTTCTCACTTAGATCTATCTAAGAAACCTACAACTAATTCCTTTTGTTCTCATTCTTTTTTTAAATCATATATTCAATATTATTTATCATCAGCTAGAAAGTTATATTCCACGTTGATTCAACAGTCGTAACAGATGACAACCATATATACTAGTATATAATAGATAAGACTTATATAAAATTTTTTTGATGAAATTCTTGAAGTTTTTTACCAAACATGATTGAATAAAAACTAAAACTGAAAAATGCAATTAAAAAATCAATAATATGCAAAAAAATTATTAAAAATATTGTTTATAATTCAAATTTAATGAGTACTTATTTAATAGTAAAAATTTTGTTAAAATTTTTACTAAAAATACCTATCTAGAAAATATATCAAATTTTGATTTTTTTTTTCAAAATTTACACATTTAATTTGTATAACAAGAATTTTTTATCTATTAATTTTAATTTTTATTGAATCATTTTTAATAAAAAATTTCACTAACTTCACTTAAATAACTTCATCTAAGATTTTCTAGGTACGTAATTTCATCTTCTCCCAACAAAAAATTAGGGCATGTTTTCATACCTTTTTTTGGAAGTCGCCTTAAAATTCTGTGAAAGAAGTTAAAGTGTTTTCCTTTTAATTCTGATCAAGGCAAGATTCAATTGCAAAACCTCTGCTATATTGCAAGCTTTTCAAGTGATTGAATATTTGTCCTTACAAGGAAACTCACTAGCACAAGTTCTCCAATTATCAATGACCAAACTTCTTTGTAGGAACCCGTATAAATGTAGTTGCACAGTTTGTTATTTACTATTAAAATTGCAGTATATTCTCTAATCAGTGTGGTAATCAGACTATGTGTCTAATTAAAGTGATTGAGAACAACAACCTTTTATCATTGGATCCACCTTAATTATAGGGCAAAAGCTTCGGCTGCCCATCAAACCGCCCTCGCCCGAAGTCATAAAAAATAAAGACTAAAACAGCAAAATTATAGATGGTTTTGGTTGGAGGAACTAATCCATTTTACGTATATTATAAAAGCTAAAGGGGCGGGATATCATGAGGAACCCACCAAGTCGCCAGCGTGGTTAATGCTTGCAAACAAGAACCTTTTTTAGAGGGGATCGGCATATATCTATATACATGAGATCTTTCTTTCTTTTGGTGTCAATCTTAGTAGCATTAACAATACAAGGATTTTTATAATAATCTGTTTTGTTTAATTATAAAAAAAGGGTGAATTTTGGTTAAATGGCGGACTATCCCATTTCTAGACATGTTTGTACAAAAGGGGGCAAATTCATGACGTGAACCCCCAAAGATTCTCTCGTAAAAAAAAAAAAAAACAAACGTATGTTTAGATAAGCTTCTTATATACTTATCTAGTACTACTGCTACTCTATGGTTCATATAAGCATTCTTTTCTTTTTTGGCGGCATGACAATGCCTTATTTTAAGAAAATGTTTTGTTTAGGGGTTGAAGCCAATCACCATGCTCTTTTTCTTTTCAATTCATCCAATGCGAGCGAGGCGACTCTTTGTTCTAAGGGCCGGAGTTGGGAAGGGTGTTTGAAGCTCTGCAGAAATCAATCAGAGGGGGCGACAGAGGGGCGCACGTGTTTAGTGGATGGAATTTCACGTGGGATGATGACCCATGTGCAAAGTCGTGCAGCTCTGCAAAGTGCTAAGCTTGTTAGCAGATTAATATGGCCAGCTTATATTGGGTGTGGCTTTGCTCAAAAAGTTGATAATAATGCAACTAATTTAATTATATATTACTGTCACAAATTTCAAATTATTTTTTATTATAGTCAAGTTTGTAGGATTACAAATTTACAAGGCCATTTTTAAGCTAAAATAAATCAAAACTCATTTTTTCCACTTTTCCTCAGTTTTTGTTTTCATTGCCATATATCACATTTTCATATATCCTTTTATCTTTCTTTCTTTTAGAAACTATGTACTTGTTTCCAAAGTTCATATGAATAGAGTACAATAATAAAGATTAAAATATTAAAAAATTAGGTTGCTATGTAAAAATGGATAACAAAGATTAACCTTTTGTTTTAGAAATTCCTAGCATATTTGAATAATGTTAGGGGACAATAACTTTTTTTTTTTTGGGGGGGGAGGGGAGGTAGTGGTAGAAATAGGGACGATAGCTTTTAAACTTTAGTTTCGCGAATCTGTACCTCATGAGGAATAATTCCTTAGAAATAGAAACAAACTGGCATGTCTCACGTTAACATTATTTTGAAGGACATAAAGCAGCTTCTCAAATGCATAATCTACAGCAAGGAAACTAGCATTGCTTTCAATATCTTAAAGAATCCAAGAAAATAATTCATGAATCTAAACGGTTAAACCATCCATTTCTTCTGCCAACTCCAATGATGCATGTCAGAAAACAAAAGGCTAAAAAAAAAAGTTTGAATTTTGAAATGCTAACCAGTAATACTATCTATACTAATTCATTGGATAAACTACTGTAGCAAATTTGTTATGCCAGAGGTGCCTTGGTAATATAATCCCATTCATATTTCAACGTAATAAAATTACATGTTCTAATCACATTGCCTAACTAAATTGTAAATACAATAAGGCTTAAGCTGCCAGCTGGCCTTATTAAGCATTGAATCCCTTCATTATAATTAAGTCTATAATCCATAATCAGAATTATATCGAATCATCTCTGATTTTTTTGAACAATTTGACAAAACCATTCCTTGACATGCCAAGCCACCAACTTGGAAAGAAGTCAATGTTTGTGTTAAGGGAAAATGAGGCTGATTTTACAAATGTCCCCAGGGCAGGCTGTGGAACCTTGATTGTAAAATTGGGATGATTGTGGCCATGCAGGACCGTGATTCTAGCAGATTAATTCGCAAATCACGAATTAGAATTGGGTAAAAAAGCAAGAACAGATCCTGAGGTGAAAAGGGGAGGTAAAGTTCTTGCAATAATTGGAAACATGTGAAAAAGTGTTTACAGGGCTTTGTTTTCATGTTCGGTCATTTTAGCTCCGGACTCTAGAGAACCTCTCAGTCCTTCCCTGGCATCTTTCAAGCGCAGCCCACAGGCCACAGGCCACAGACCAGGGGGTCAGCCTTTGTTAAAGTCTTACTTATCTTTTTGTAATAATTCCTTTCAGATCTTTCACTCCATCTCCTCTGCGATCCTTTTGCTTATGGCCAGAGTACAACCATTTTTTTTTGTCCATAAAAGATTCCTCTTAAAAATTGAAGCCAACAATAGCAAAAGCTATTAGTTGATATTGAATAGCTTTTAGATTGATAAAAACTTTTTTAAGCAGGGTTGTGGCATAATTGATCCTAATTATTCTTACCTAAAGTCGATTGGCAAGTGTAAGAAATTTTTAACCAAATAGAAATCATGATGCCATCATGTCTCAAGAGTCTGATTCAAAACTATTCATCTCAAAGTCTTTACCATTAGTTCATAGATGAGACGAATTTATTAGAATTCCCCATTTGTAGTGAGTGCCATCTGAATTATTGTGTTGTTTTTCAACTTAAGGGGTCTCCACACCTGACACATACCATCAACATCGTTCATTTTATGTTTAGCGAAAGAGACGACTGAAAAGATGGATTCTCCAGTCACCTAGGGAGGAAAAAGAAAAGGACGAGGATGAAATGAAGTACTTGCTGTGGACCGTAGCCTTAAAAACGATGCATGGCTTTTAAGGGTTAGGATTCTCTGGTTCTCATAGTTTTATCAAATGCGCCACCTGCTCTACTTGTTTCAAAAATGTCAAAATCACAGCCATACTGAGTGTTTCTATATTATTTCTTTTGTCTCGGCACTTGGCACATGCTAAAGATCAGTATTTAGTAATTACCAATATAATGTGGGGGAACCGGTCATCGTGAACATGATGCACATGGCACATGATTGTTTGCAGGGTCTCCCCTAAGACTAGGATTAGGCTGGGTCGTGGTACTTGACCTTTTCCTTTTTGTTCTCAGTTTCTAATTACAGAAATTAAACAAGCATCATTCTAATTTCTCAACTTTGAATTCCCCGCCTGCATCCAAAAATTTTAGCCTTGTTCATATGGCTGAGATCATTGATCAAGAACCAGCTCATGCGAATGACACGAGCCATCAATGTCCAACTAACATTAATAATATTATTGGTGGAAGTAAATCAGTGAAAGTAGCGTTGAATTGAACTCAAAGTTTTCACACATAATTTTGTCGCAAGAGGTCTGAAAAGTATTGTCTTGAAGCCGAAAATGCAACTTTGACAGTAAATATTGGAAGACATATTCTATTTCATGGCACCTGATCTTCAGCTGCGAATCTACAGAAAAGGTTTATAACTGTTAAGATTCTTCATTTGCCTTGCCTGAAAAAGGTTTTCTGAAATGCTGGACGAGTCAACCAAATAAGTAACATTTCATTTTTGGTCGTAGCATCAGCGACTAAGTTTCTGTTGTCTTTATCCCACTCATAATGCAAATGAACGCAACTGTCTTTAATAAGCTGAAGTGATAGATCTTGGAGAAGAAAAACCAATTTTGTTTGACAGAAGTACCCTTGTTATAATTGTCAAATCAAATGTTCATGTAGCACCGTGTCATAGACAGCTACCATTTTTCTTTTTCTTTTAGGCGCAAATGACGAGTGGGCCTCGATCGTTTTATGCTCTCTATTCTCTGTTAGTTAGTTTGGGCCTTCTGGTCCCCGGCTGCATCTTCAATCCTCTTCAAGAGGCTAGAGGCTGGTGCATTGTTGGGCCATTAATGACAACACAAAGTAAGTCCACCAATGAGCCTTCCAGCTGCAGTAACATTGCGGGTTGCGGCTGAGTAATATCCGTAGTTTAGAATTTATATGATTAGGACCGACGCTAATCGAGCTATTATGTTGACGCCATGCGCTTGCTTCCTTTGCTGGAATGGAAGCCGAGATAACTTCCCTTTGCTCCTTTGAAACTGATTAATTTTCATGAAATCAAAGTGTTGTCTGTTGCTTTAAGCATAAGCATGCTTACGTATAATCTGAAATAGAAAGAGACAATCAGAAAAAGAGAGAGAGAGAAGAAAGGGAGAAGTATTCATTCCAGCAATCAATTTTACAACTATAAGCCTGATAAGGGACCCAGTGGATTGCCACCAACTAATTGTGCAATTTAATTCAAAATTAAATCTAATAGTAGAAATAATGAAGAACCCAGTTTAAGTGTATACTTCTTCCTCGTACAACTAAATTGAGACAAATTCTTCCTTCACAAAACAAGCTAAGCTTCTTCTTTTCTATAAAACAATAACAATCATATCCCTGTAGGATTTATTTTTTCTTTCTCCTTTTTCTTCTTATTTACTATAGACTGACATTAATGTTCAACTATAATGGAAGTAATTTTATCACTTGCAACCTGATGAATTTCCCATTGTTTAGAAATGGCATATTTGCATCCCCTCTGTCCAGGAAAAACCTAGGATTTGATCACCCCTAAAGTTGCAGCTTGAAGGGATACGGAATGCTTAACATTACCAATATGGAGATTATGAACACCAATCGGAATTCTTCGAACCCCGGACTTGTCCACAACACTGAGAAACTTGCACACATGGATGTTGATTCCGACTCGTTGTTGAGACCCCGCCGGAACATGAACTTTTGCAAAGGCCACCAGCTGTTTTTGTGGAGCCCAATGCCCAGCAGGTGGCTTCGAAAATACGAGCATTGTGTGAGTACCGTCCTTGGATCCCGTATTTTTCACGTCTACTTGAAGACCTACTGAGAGCTTGTTACATTTTGCATGATTAACTTTGATTGCCTTGCCTGAAACGGTTGTGTTTCCCGAATGATGGCGGCCATCTAGAGGGACCGCGACAACGTTGGGTGCACTCGCAATGGTATGAACAAAGTTGGTGTAACTCAATCCGTGACCGAATGGGTACACTACTGGACCTTCGTAGAACCTATACGTTCTGCCAGGGAATTTTCTATTTGAACGCATGGCCATGTCTGTCATTGGCAAATTTGAAACATAATCATGTGGGTACCATGTCATAGGCAGCTTGCCCTCTGGATTGGTCGTACCATATAATAAATCAGCTATGGCGGCTCCACCGGCTTGGCCCGGGTATCCGGCCCATAAAATGGCAGAAATACGAGGGTCATTATTAAAGAGAGACACATCAATAGGCCCACCAGACATCAAAACTAGTATGGTTGGACCCTTGGAAGCCATGGCTACTTTAGAAACAAGATCCTGTTGGCGCCCTGGCAAAAGCAACCCTGTCCTGTCTTTGAATTCTGCTTCAATTGATTGGTCAAGCCCCATCACTAGAACCGTTGCATCTGCCTGACGGGCAGCTTCAATTGCCCTACTAAATAACTTGTCATCTACGCAAGCTACATCTGCACATCCGAGTTGGTGTATTGTCTTTGCGTAATTTCCTATTCCTTGCAAAGGAGACGTGTATCCACATGCAACACCTAATGTTTCAATAACAAGAAAAAGTTTCAAAGGCTATGTAGTTTACCGTTAATATCCAATCACCAATAATTAAAAAAAAAAAAAATCATTGTCATGAGAATTTACCAGCATAGTTTCCAATCATGGTAACAGTCGCATTGGAGTTAGGCCCAATGACAGCGACAGTGCGGTGACGTAGATGGGATAAAGGCAATGAAGGACCACGATTTTTGAGCAGAACAATGCCTTGTCTTGCAGCTTCAAGAGCGAGCTCTTGGTGAGATGATGTGCACACATCTTTTGGTCCTAAGTTCCCAAATGGTTGTGCAGAAGGCTCACCGTCAAACATGCCAAGTCTCATTTGGACTTTGAGAGTATTTGCCAAGGCACTGTTAACGTCAGCCTCATTCAACAAACCTCTCTTTACTGCATCTTCACTGTGTTGCGCCAAGAAAGGTCCACAGTCCAAGTCCAAACCTGCAATTCTCCAAAATGTAATTTTTAGGATATATAACACTTCTTTCCCTTAATTTCAATTTGGTATTAATCAGTGATTTCAAAATCACAGAAATATTAAATTTCTCATACAAGTACTAAATTGTAACCATTTTCATGTGTGAAAATATAAATGTGATAGATAAAGCTTACTAAATTTATTGTATGTTGTATAAGTTCTTCACCCTAAAATCATAGTTACCGATTAATGACATTGCAGGATTATAGTTACTTTTGCCATCATTTGAACCAGCTAATCGAAAATCGAGACTAATGAACCTGTCATTACTTTTTGTAAGTTCCTTTTTGATGTCATTAATTAGGGAACAATTATGCCCAAGTTGACTAATGCAGCAATTATACGAGTGTCAAAAAAAGTAAACAACTTGTGATTAAATTAAAAAGTTACTAGCCTGCTTTGATGGCATCTGCAGCTGCTTCTTCTGGCGTTGTTGTGTAATGTTGGGTATTATAAAAGACCCCAACTGAATCACAATCTGAAACAATGTACCTGTGGGCCACCAACATCCAACGATTATCAACAAATCACACTGAATTGATAACGAAAATCAGGATTATCTATCTGATGATGATCAACTCAGAGGTAGAAGTGATGATCTTAGATCTTACCCATTGAGTCTCCATTGACCTCGTACAGTCTTCCGTAGGAGATTAGGGTCAGCACAGGTGGGGACACCATTGACCTGATTGTAAGAGCACATAACACTGGCTACATTGCCGTCTTGTACACACATTTTGAATGGCACGTCGAATGTATCCTCGATGTCCTGCTTGCTTACCTGCTCAAATGTGTGAAAACCCATGTGAGAATGAAGAAGAGCCTGGTTTTATAAATCTTGTTTCTTTGTTTCATAGTTTGGATTAGGGAAAAAAAAAAGCAGGGCAATCAGATAAAGCAAAGTATTTTAGATAAACTAATGAAAGCAGACAGGCAATTGCATAGTCGAAAATCTGCAGCTTGCAGCCCATTGAGCATTCTTTATTCAAAATCATCTTAATAGAGCTTCCAACGCATTACTTTGGTAGCCTCTCTTACTCTCAGATTTTCATGTATCCTTGTGAACAATGAAAATGCAAATTGTAAACAAGGCTGGCTGATTAAAGAGAAAAAATGATCATTCCAGCTCTGCAGCAATAAATTCCAAGTTGGATCACCAAGCCACTACCTACCTATCCAAAACTGCGGCTACATTTTCAAAGATGATCTTATCAAGCAAGAAAAGTGAGAACTTAATCAATTTATATACTCACAATTACTCAGATTCATACGAAAAGTGTTATGGTTGGACAGCACCTATTAAAATCAGAAAAGAAACAAAAAAAAAACTTCTCCTAGTAAAATTAACGAACCTTGGCATTAAAGTGGAACCTGTCAACTCCATTCCAGTTATCGAGGTCATAGGCCGTGAAGTGCTTACAACAAGCCGCCACCTTTAACTGGTCACCGTTATTTCCCTGCAAGCCCTTCACATAACTGGCAGCATATGTACCGGCCAGCACCGGATCTTCACCTGGAGTCTCCTGTCCACGGCCCCACCGCGGGTCCCTGAAAATGTTGACATTTGGGCTCCAGTAAGTGAGCCCAGCCGTTCCCCCGTTGTACATCGCCCTTGCCTCATCCGACACAACCTGCGTTCATCAGTACCCAAACTTTACCTTAGACATTAATTCTAAGTATACGCTAAATTACTCTGCAAGTTGCCTGGAACTTTGTCCAATGATCATGATTATACTAGCAAGTTGGTGATTCTGAACCAATCATAATTTTCTTTTGAAGATACATACATATATATATATATATTATATCTTGTCTTGGATTTAAAGAAAAGCATAAAGCAAGGGGAAAGTACTACTTATGCACCTTTTAATCTTCACCTCCTTAATAATAAATTATACTGATATAAATTAAGATAGGATAATCTGTCAATAATTAATCAATTTTGTCGTGATTATGCTACTGATCATCATGCTCTTTTCAATAGATATGATACTCATCTTGATATTATCATTTTTTTTATAAAAGAAACACTTATAGCAGCTGATAAGCCAATATCGAGATGCTATATTTTAATATCAAAATAAACAAACAAATTATTTAATAGCATTACTCTATATTACTTTTGTCGTATAAATTAAATATGATATAATGCACGGCATGGGGATTTCGGCCCACAGAGACAAGTTGTATAATGTACATTAAATTGGATAGTGCGACAAGGTTCGTCCCTTGATAATCGTAAATTGGCAATTCAAAGCTGGCGTATCTAACAGGCAAATGGTTGGGGATGGTGTGGTTTATGTCATAGAAAGTTAACCTCTAAGTGGAATCATAAATCTATTCCATCCACTTCACATAAACAAAATAAATGTTCTATATATCTTTACATGAGATAACAGAAAGAAACATATATGATCAGAAAGCTACAATTTTTATCGGTATACCAAATTCTTTATACTCTACTTTTATGATACAAGCATAAGCATATATTTTTGTTTTAAGTTGAAAAAAAAAAAGATTGGAATGGTATATCTTACCCGTCCGATGGCTTCCCATAATGTGGCGTTGAAAGACGCAGCGGTTGTGATTACTTGAGGGAAACTAGTGGCCCCAGGGAAGGCCCCACCGAACTTAGTTCCAGGGCCCACATTCGAGACGCCATGAAGAGCCTCAGACCACCACTCGTACCCTTTGATCCCCAGCCGTGGAACTGCTGCAGCATTGTTTACCAGCAGCCTAACCTTCTCCTCCAACGTCAACCGTCCTAGAAGGTCCTTCACTCTATCCGATACAGGCATCGAAACCTTACAAAACGGGAAGTTGGGCGTCGTCGCATCTTTTGGGTCGCAAGCAAATGGATCACGGGCTTCACCAAAAGCACCCAAGAGGAGAAGGAAGAGAATAATGATTTGGGGTGGTGAAGGCATGGTGGTGCTTGCAATAGCCATTTTCATTTTGAAAAGAATGAAAGAATGTAGGTATTTGCGATGGTACAAAGGCTAAGGAAGGTGAATATGTAGTATTTATATAGGTGAAGCTTGTGCTAAAAACGGTAATGGTGATGCAATGGAACTAACTTTGATCATTACATACATGTCCACATTGTTCTTTAACTGCTTAAAGTAAAGCATTTTTTTCAGCAGATTTTTTTTTTCAAAAATAAAAGAGGTGAAATATTTAAATTTTAGTTCTGATTTTATGGGTGATAGGAGATTAAGGTGGTTGATAAGTCAATAATTTATAGTATTTATTATAATTTATTGGGACGGTGAGAGAGGAGTAAAATCTTTGAGAGTGTAGAATGGGGAATGTGGGAGCTGACTGGTGGCAGATGGGCATCGGTGACCCAGGGTTTCCAACGAATTAGGTCCCATATCAGGAAATTATAAGTGTAATATCAGGTAGGGTAGATCATCTGATTGACTATTAAGCTAGAAATACTAGTAGAAATATTTCTGGATGACAAAAAAATACATAAGGGCAGGCCAGCTTAAAGTTCGCTGAAAAATCAAGTCGTGTGTGTGTATTCAGTGGCTCTTCATATTCATGGCTCCCAACAAGCCTAGCGGTTACCATCTTTTATTTATTGCTTAATTGAATTATGGATATAGCAATTAAATAAGAATATGATTAATTGCTTCTTTTTTTTTTTTTCATTAATTCTACCTACATATAATTAAATGGTCCTCAATTAACAAGGATGATTGGACAAAAAATTAACAAGAAAGTAAATTAACAACATTTAGTCGTAAGATTTTTATTTTTTACCCTAGTAACTTTTTTATACAATCAAAAAAAGAGATTTTTTTTAGTTTACAAAGAAAAGTAAAACGGCTAAAGAAATTGCATGAGACAAACATTGTGATCATCTTTCAGTATAGAATCCATCCTAGAACCAGAAGAGAATTCTTGGACAAATTTCATTTTGGGTGATGGGGTTTCAAAGTATGGATTTAGGCAAATTAATTATTTATCCAGTTATTATTTCTGTCAGTTCATATAATTTTCTTTGAAGGGCTAATATCCAATGATTTAAACTTTTATAACCATTTTTGTTATCTCCAAAACTGTTAAAATGACCATTTAGCAAGAGTAAATACTTTTAACATAAACAAAATGAAAATTAAAAGGAGAAAAAGATATTTAGTTATAAATTTGCTATCAAAAGGGTTGCTTTTACAGAACTACTTGCGAGTTGTGAGTAGCTTCGCTTTAAAGAGAGGTCAGGCAGGCTGCTCAGAACAACACATTTCAGTTTTCAACCCACAGTGGACGGTGAAACGGTGCATGAGTGCTTACGAAAGGAATAAAGAACATTACTTTCAGAAAACAACATTCATCACAAAAAAACAAATATATGGAACTACCAGCATATTTTGAGGTCTGAAGTCTGAACAATGAAAACCCTTTTTCGGCATTTTTATATCATTATCAAATTAATTATTTATGCAGAATATTTCTTTCATTGATCATGTTCAACTTTTCTTTTACTGAAGCCTCAAAGACAAGAGGTTCAAATGGGCGGCTAGGGATCTCAACTTCAACAATTAGTGGAGCTAATATTATAATTAGCTCAACAGGAGAGTTAAATGGTTGGACATGGGAAGAAAAAAAAAAAAAGGGAAAATCAGTCCACTCGTTTGCTGTCTGTTTCTGTCGTTTTGTTTACTAAAATAAAATGCTTGGTTAGGTTTTCTTGGAAAAGTCCACTTAATGAACGCCAGAAGTTTGTCGTCTGTTCACGTAATGTAGTGTAAAAGGTTCAAATATCATGCTGATTTTTGGTTTCTCTACCTTAGCTTTAACACGGTGGGCTGGCTTTTTTTTTTTTTTTTTTTCTTTTTATCACATTCCAATTCTAAGACCAAAAAATAGAGTAAGTTTTAAAGAGAATGTATATAAAAATTATTAAACCGATCGTTTATAAAATTGATTAAAAAATAATTAAACTCAAATATTATAAAGTAAATATTGATCCTTACTAGAGGTGTAATCGAATCGAATCGAGTCAATACAATGAGAAATTCAAATTCGAACTCGACTCTCAACTCGCAATTCGATATTTAACTCGAACTCGATCGAGTTTTATTCTTTTAGTTCAAGTTCGATTTGTGATCGAATTTGAGTTACTTGAACTCATTCGATTAAGCTTGAAAATATGTAAAAATAAGCTCGATTCTTATACTCGATAAGAGCTCGATTATTTATGCTCGAATTTGAGCTTGAATTCGAAATATTTTATTAATTAAAATAATAAAAAAATTAAATATAAAAATTCGATTAAGCTCGCGAGCTAATCGAGTTGAGTATAAAAATACTCAAATTCGATTTGATTATAATCAAATCGAATTTAAATTTTATTCGAATTTAACCTGAATAACTTGCGAGTACTAATGTATCATTTATACCTCTAATCCTTACCTACTCAATCTATTTCTTTTAGCAGGGTTGTGTTAATGTAGTTTTTAGTCTCGTCACTTTGTGAACACTTTTTATTTATTCTATCTTGTCCTTTTAAAAGAAAATTGAATTAAGACAAAAGTAGATCTAATATTGTCTATATAATTGGTACATTTAAACCACCCTTAATAATTATACATAACTATATTACTTACACTTAAAGTATAGTAATAAAACAATTTTTTTCTCTATAAAAAGCTCTTAAGATCATTAGAGGACGAAATTAAATTTAGACAAAATTTAAAGATATCTATGATAAAAATATTTTAAAACATTAGTAAAAATTTAAGTTAAAATGTTTATTTAACTATTCAAATGGGATATACAGTATTAAGCAGAGAAATGCACAGTTGAATTATGTTTAGTTACACTGTTTTGCATCATAATTGTTGTATCTTTCATCGTTTGTTTTAGCAAAAAAAATGTCAAAATTGGGGAATGAAAAATGTGGGAGTATTAGTATTAGAAGAGAAAATTATTATTATCATCAAAAATTAAAAAGAAAAATCTTTAAAGAAACATAGGCTTAGACGTGAGCAACGTGGGACAAAGCACTGATATCAAAAAAACGAGATGGGAAGTCAACTTCTAAAGAGATTACTCTTTAACAGTGCAGCACTACTCACCCAGATTGGACACGAGGTTTGACAGGCAATCTGCTAGGATCATTGAATGCTGATCTGCTGTAACTTAACGGTTTCCTTCTGTCCACAAGTAGCTCAAGTACTTTAACGGTTTTACGAATAAATGAGCATGATGCAACTATTTTAAAAATTATGAAGACAACCCAAAATACTAGTATTTGCTACAATGATCATGAAGTTTGAAGAACACGTTAATGTCCATGTCTATCCGCTCCAAGTCATTTTTGGGCAGTGTAATCAGAGTTTATGTTAATGGTACTTCGTTTCCTCGAAACAGAACAAATTGTTCAAAATTCAATGAAATTTCAATTTAGGGGCTCCCTTAGTCTGAACAAAAAGGGAATTCAATTACGTTTGTGTGGAAATGTAATGTTCTTTATCCTGCGAAGATCCCAGCCATAACCCATAAGCAGAGCAGTAGGTAGAAGTTTTCTTTCGACACAGTTTGGTCTAAAATGTGATCATGCATCATCCTCTTGTAACAACCGTTGCAAACTACAGCATAGCAACACACTCTTTTGCAAACTAACATTGATAATTTGCCCTCAACGACCTCTATTTTCCAGTCTTTTGTGTAAAACCTTGCTTGCATTTGTTCCTAAATGCATATCTGTCAAGTTTTGGGTACAACAATGAAAAAGCAGATTACAACAAACCCATTGAGCCCCAGCTGTTTGTCATCCTTGCTAGTTGGCTTGATTATGTTTCATCTACTGGTTTGACGACAAACAAAGTAATTATTTGCATCTTAATTTTTGAAACAGAAACAAGATATGTTGTGTTAGGAACTTTGTAATTTTTTTTTTTCTGGTTGGGGGGTGGTTGATGTGATCTCAACGTCTGATATTCTTTATCAGTAAGGCAATAACATGAAATTGGCTCAATGGATCCCGGAGAGTCACTAAGCAAGGGGAAAGAGAAAGAGCCAAAGGGGTGGTACAGATGATAATGGTAATTAAGAGAGGCAGTGAGGCACTACTAACGACTACTGGGCTGTACCAAAAGATTACACTTTGCTTAGCAGAGAGAATGACAAAGATTAAAAACGTAAAACTTATTAATTAAATGATTAAAATTCATATTCATTGTTTTATTTTATAGCTTAACTATTAAATTAACAAGTTTTTCATTATTATTTTTTTAATCATTAAATTAACAAAATTTTCATTCTTAATCTGTAGCATCCTCTCAATCAAGCAAAGCCTAAAAAAACACTTGCACTTAAAATTGGATCACAAAAAGCGTGGACCCTTTAACAAGTTGAAAGACACTTCACGGCATGATTGTTAGAAACGCCATTAAGGGCTTACAGCAAGGCGAATGGTGGATAACGATATGACATAAGAGTATGATTTTTCCAGCAAATCACATTAACTTTTAATTTTGGGTGCCCTACATGCTCTTTGGGAATTCTTATCCATTTAGAAGATTTCAGAGGTCAGCGTCAGGCCGATGCATATTTATGCAGTCTTTGAAAGAATGAATGAGAGCTAGCAAAATGCCAAAATGGATCAATGATTCGATTCCCATCCCTCATTGGCTATAGTCTCCCATGATACAAAATGTAATTGGATGAAATAGTTAAAGATACGTTCCCCCATGCGGATATGTAAGTTGTTGAGAGTTATAATTGCTCCCCATGTTGCCAGGAAAAAGAGCCCAAAATTTATTCTTTTAGATTCAGAATTGCTGTGATGACTTTGAGTTTGAGGTTAGTGGATGCAGATACCTTAACAATAACAAGCAATTTTTTATTTTTTTAATCTTTTTTAACATGCCGTGGAAGATTGAAATCATTTCTCTGTACTTCACTGCTAACAAACTAACCAATATTTTCTTTGAATACACAATAAGATTCTATTCGTTCCTTTTTTTCTGATTATTTTTGCTTTTACTTGGCAGTACGGCGGTGGTGATTCCAAAGTTAAGTTGGTGGGCAAGTCCCTCAATTTAACCCTTATAATTTGATCATACGAATCATTCAAGAATCAATACTAGGATTATAAAATCTGCATAATTCATGCATTCATACGAAAATGACAGTTTTAAATCCAAAGTTTGATACTATATATACTCAAACTATAAAAGAAAAGAGAGATCAAACATAATATATATTAGACCCTCAATTGAGGCCAATGAACAATGATAATATCGTGACTACTTTAATTTATAGTTATAGATTATAAATGATGAAGTTAGTTATAGATTATAAATGATGAAGTTCTTTCTAGCTTTCATCTTATTCTCTATTGTTTTCTATATAGATACTGGATCACTTGGGCCTTTTTTGTTCTGTATTGATCCACTGAAAAGCCCCGAACTGAAACATGGGACTCACTACACTTGCGTTGCCTTCAGAGATTGTATTTCTAGTGGGCCTATGTTGGAGTGACGATGTTGAGCAGAGACTCGTACCGGGCTGGGCAGGTTTGGTGAAACCAGAAATCGGGAAAGCACAATCAAATAGATATTACTAGTAACTACAATTTATTTATTTTAAGTTTGGTTTTGGATTCTGATCTTGTCGCCTTTCAAAATAAATGAATTAGTTTAATGCTAGTGTTAAACTGCATTCATTTAATTAATGGAACATCCCAATTTACTCTTTTGTTTGCACTATTAATATTAAATACTCAAAAGAAAAGAGTAAATTAGAGGTTTGTTTAATCCCACCAGAAAACATTATTTTTGGGGCTAAAATTCCCTGTTTTGCTATGATATTGTTAAGGAGTCGCTCCATGGCTCATGGTTGCTGCAGAGTTGACATCCCACACATCTTGCTCTCATAGTTTGGCCCTTTCAATGCCATTAAAAAGCGAAAACAATGGATTAACCAAGTCAATTTGCTTGCTTAACTTTACAATTTCTACGACTATATTACAAAATTCTAAAAATTTTTAAAAATTTATAGCTGCTAATTCCTCAAAAAACATGCATCAGCAAACTCGGTTTGAATAGTTTTTAGTACAAAATGAAACTAACTAATTAAAGTCTAGTAAATTATAATTTAAATGCAGACAGCTTTGTTCCCTTTGTTTATCGGTCAATATCCTACAACCATTTCAGAAAATTCCCTTAATTGTATGAAGGGTGGAGGAGAGAGAAGCCTCAAACCAGTTGATAATTATCAAACAAAGTTTTTCCCTGTAACAATCTGAACATAGCATGCAAAATGAAGACGAATACCCTGAACTAGTTAACATATCAATTCCTCGGAGAATTACCACGCGATTACACATGGCAGGGTAGCACTGACAAAAGAAAACCGTAACCTTGAACAATTACAGAACCTTGCTAGCTAGCTATAAGCTTTAAAACAACCAATGTGGTATCTTTCTCTCAACCTTCTTCTCCTTTATCGTATCCAAGCTTGGTTTCCATCCCTTTCCTGAATATTGCCTGTTCAAATATTCCGGCCTACCTTCCACACTTTCCGGCAAAAACTCCATTAAACATCGAACCTCTTCAGGCCTTTCACAGACGTTTTCCTTCTTCTGCAACGGGAATTTGTGTCCTATCTCTTCGATATAATTTGCAGGGCAAATCCTGGCAAACAAAGGAAGAAACTTGGAGGACGATAAAAGCGACTTTGATCTCAACACCGAATTAGCACTCAATAGTACACGACGAGCTTCCTCGGATGACAACTTGGTTGGCTTCCCTCGCTTCATGGGTAGCATTACGTAAACCTTTTTCATGTCGAGTTTCTGGTCAGCTGGCAATGGAATCGGCCTCTTCTCATTAATTGCCGCACGGAACTCCACAACAACCTGTTGCGGATGCTCCAGCATCAGCTCTGCCGCTGTCAAAGGCCAGCTAAACTCCTGCACCGAACCGTCCCACAGAATGACTTTCCCGGCAGCGTCAGATGGGGGACTTGTGACAGTACTAATGTAGTTACCCATATGAAGAAAAAGGGAAAGCGATTTTCACTGTATAAAAAGTAAGGTAGAGATAACAGAAAAAAGGAAAGAAAAAATAAAGCTAAAGAATGGGTATGGATTTCTGATTCATGTGAGTTTGATCAGAAAGCATTTTATGTCGATAGGGCCTTCAAGTTCTTGGAGGCGTTTGTTAAACCGCTCCATCTTGTGAAGGATTTTATGGTGGACTTGGGAATTATATCAAAAAAACTGGGGTCGTTGGCTTCATCTACATCGTCCGACTTTCCTTGTATATATACAATATTAACCCAACGGTGATGAATGTCATATACATGTGGGTCCCTGGTGTAGGTCTACTCTCCCTGGCGTAAACGGAAAGTCAAAGAAATGGTTCAACTGTAACTATATTAACCATTTTAATTAATGCTTTAAAATTTCCGTTACGTGATGGAGGAGTTAAGCTTAGACCTGGACCGTTCCTCCAACCATCTAAGTTTCTCCCGTTCGTTAAACCCTTGGATTTTATTTCTCACGGTCACGGGTATGTATCACTATTTTTTATCTACAGTTTTGGGAAATAAGATCAAATCGTGGCAGGCACCGGTGTATGGGGACTAGTCTTTTATCAGGACATGAATTCATGTCGTTGTACCAGGATTTGCTACGGAAAAAATAACGGGGAAATCATAGTGCTTGTATTTTCAATTTAGGTTTCGTTTGGTTAATATTTGTGGTTTTCTTATTATAAAGGCAATGATTATTTGATTAACTAAGATTGAGGACTTAACTTGAAGGTGACAATTGGTTTGGTGTAGCGATTCTTTTGTCGGATAACATAAGTTGATAATGATTATTTAGTGCAAAAACAAAGATGTCAACAGGGTAGTGACTAAAAGATGAAAACTACAGCTTAACTTCGTAAACGTTATGGCATGTACCAAATTGCATTGGAAAATGTTATACAACCAAAGAGTAAAGGTTAAGAAATTACATGTGGCTTTCGTATTGAGGCACTGTGTTTTTACACTTTAGTTTACTTGGTCTCTGTTTAGTCCACTGCAATGTTCAAAATAGATGCATTCCCATCTCTTTCAGATGATTTCATCGCGGGTAGACTAGGAAGTGAACAGGAACTTATTCCCTTGAGAAGCAAGCAATATGGAACTCAATACCCAGAATTTTTATAATTTTATTGGTTGTGGAACTAATTTCAGATGAGTCATTCAGGATGAAATTACAATCATAATCAATTACTAAATTCGCATATAATATCACTGAACTTACAAAAAAAAAACTTAAATAGACCACTAAATTCATTTACAAATTACAATGAAACTTAAACGGTTTTAAAATCTTCTTCTTACCTCTAAATTTCATTAGGCAGACGAGCCATTCTTAGATGACCGCATTCTGGAACAGAAGGAGTTCAAGGTTTGATGGATAAACTAATTGTGGGCCCGATGGACTTTGAGCATCCAAGCCTAAATCTAATCGATTAAAAGGCTTTAAGATGGGCTCATCTTTGCAACAGGAAATGAATCTGGTGCAGTAGAAGTTGAAGCCAATGACAGAGTTTGCTGCTTGCAGGCCATTGATTGATGAAACGATTTCAACAAAGTATAACTTTCGCACATGTTATGGTGAGTGAATGAGGTGCAAACTTGCTTTGCAAAATTAAATTCGCCACTAGAATTGCTTGCATTTTTTGTGATATTTCTTAAGTAATAACATTAATTCCTGAGCCTAAAATGAAAATTATGGAGTTAGATATTTAGCGTGGCTCCCGCCCCCTCTGGGAGGAATCAGGAGCAAGAATCAAAGCAAAGAATTGAACAACAGTTGTAGCTTCACTTTGTTAGGGGAAACTGTTTGAGCAGTCGTTACTCTAATTTGAGACGCTACTCAAGTTTATAAGGAAAAACACTGATTCTGTAATTACATGAAAGAATTAAAGAATTGATCTTAGATTTCTACCACAAATTAGTTCGAGTATACTAGCCTTCCTACCGGTAGATCTCCCATTTTCAACAATTAATTTGGGAAATTTCCACCCTGATGAATCCAAACCCAACAAAAAGCAAGTGACAGACTTCTCAGAGCAGTTCAGAAATTGGTTCCAATACGGGAGTCCACGGCCTGTAATTCCCCAATCGGTAGCCAGGAACAGGAATGCCCTTCATACATTTTTCTGGGAAAACCTGAACTTCGCTCTCTTCCTCCTCTCTCAATTCCTCTGTCACATGCGGCAAAACCTTAGAACCGCTTTTTCTCCTTTTCTTTCCACTACAAGCTGCTTTTATGAGTGCCATATCTGCATCCGTAACTTTGCAATGAACCCTCCCTATAGGAACCAAAACGTAAACTTTACCCACCAGAAGTTCATCTTCAGCTCGCATAGCAGCCACGCGGCGAGTTCGATTGAGATTTTCCACTGGACAGATGATGTGACCAGGTTCCTCAAGCATGATCTCCGCTGCCTTTGCTGGGATCTTGACTTTCCTCAGGTTCCCTTGAGCATCAATTACTTTTGCCATTTTTTTACGGCCCGAATCCCGGATGAAGCAGCTAGAGGTGCAGTTTCCCATGTGGAAGTTGAAGTTCTTAACTAGTTCGCTTTAACTTGAGTTCAAGCTGCAGACCGTAAAGAAAGCACTGTGTGCAAAGAATCTATAATAGTATTTGGTAATTGCTATGGATGTCGAAACTTGAAAGTGGGAAGTGGAGGCTGCTGGCTATATATAGTGGGAATTGGAGAAAGAGTCAAAGAATCAAAGGTAAACTATTGGAAAAAAGACACGTAAAAGGGAGGACCACAGAAAGTAGTGGCTGACGTGTGGTAGAAGTTGGGACTTTAGTGGGGGAAACGCGGATGCTGGTTCATGAGCTGTCAATTGGAGCGTGGTTGAGACGCTGGTTTGCTTATGGACTCCGCTGATGCTTCATGCTTGTGTTGTGCCTGTGGGTGACTGTGGGGGGTCTTCTGCTTTTGAAAGTGGGCTTTTGTTCTTTGGCATGGACGGTGGGGTTTAGGTGGCCCGGGAAAAAAATGGTGAAAAAGTAACAAAACTTCTCATCAAAACACTGCATCTGAATTGTGTCCAATTAAACATTTCAAAGGCTAAATTCATACGCAAAGCATGTGGTTCTAGTTTAAGACACGAATCAACATGGTTACCACAACAAAATCAGATTCAAAGATGATTTTTCGCAACTGAGCAGTACTGCTGTACTATGAAGAATGAAGAACAAGCTTTTAACCAAATCCACTTCACTTGCAATTTTGCTAGAAAATTTAAAATACAACTATAATCGAGTTTTTTTTATACCCTTTTACTAACTATATAACAATTATTATTAAATAATATGTATTATAATCAAGGTTAGGTTAGTCAAGTTTAATATCTTTCAATCAATTTCAAAGTTGAAAATAAAACTTAGTGAATTCTATTTGAGTTAGACTTTCATGCCGGCTTCATCCGACTTATAACAAGCAACACGCAACAAGCACCAAAGGAATGAAATTACTAAAACTAAAGGGAATATTTATTTGTCCACAGAAAAAAGTATACTTGCCCAAACGCAATTTTAGAAAAAGGAAGTACCGGGGCGTAAGTTTCCACCGACCTTTCCCATCGCAGTCATAGTCCGTCCTCCCACTCTTTTATGCGATACAAAAGTCAAAAACCCTAAAAGCTCCATTACAACGCCGAGAAATCTCCCTCGCATCAAGGTACAGATCTTCTTAGCTCCCCTTCTTCACCCTTGTAATTTCACCTACTCATTATCTCATTTTGCTATTTGCAAAGATGATTTGTAGATTCAGTAAAAAAAAAAATGAATTACTGATATGATTTTTTCTGGTCAAATGATCAGCGTTTGTTGCTGAGACTGAGAGATGGCGAAATCGAAGAATCATACAGCTCATAACCAGTCTTACAAAGCCCACAAGAATGGGATCAAGAAACCGAAAAGGCACAGACAAACTTCCACCAAAGGGGTTCGTATTTTTTGCTCATTCTTATTAAACTTAACGGTCTTTTTTTTGTTTTTGGTTTTTTTTTTTGTTTCCAAATTTAGCCTTTTGTTTTTTTTAACATTTTCTTGTATTCTGACCATTTAGATGGATCCCAAGTTCCTGAGAAACCAGAGGTATGCCAGGAAGCATAACAACAAGAGCGGTGGATCTAATACTGAGGAAGACTAGACACTTTGAGCAATGTTATGGTTCTTTTAAGTGTATGGTTTTGTTCTTTCTGTTGTAACACAGTGCCAGTTTTGGTTTTAGTCTGACTTTATCTGTCAATTAGGTGATTCTATTCTCAATCTGTCACAACTAATGTCTTGATTCTTCCCAAAATTATAAGAAGGTCCCAATCTTTTGATTGAAAAATTTTTTTAATGGTTTTTTCTGACTGCTTGATTGATGCCCCATTTACTTTCGTTAAAGTTGCCTACTCTGTCTGAGTGCTGTATTTTTCAATGCTCAATGGTTCTCCAAAATTAGATATATCTAGAAATCTTAGGGGGAAGTTGCCGTATTAAGTTTTTATCTTTCTTAAGTAGTTTATTGTAGGAAATGCAAATTGTTTGTCTTGTTGTAAGCTTTCTTGGCAATGAAGACTTTTATAAGCTGTAGCCTGTTGTATTGTCATTCCATTGCAATACTGTTCTCTTTGTTGATTTAGTAATTTTTCGTTGAATAATACTAGTGTTTTCAGGATTGTTAAATTGATACCAAGTAATGAGGACTTTAGACTTCTACCATGGTAGGTGGTGCTTACTCGGTAAGCATTTGGTCGGTTTGAGTTGAAAAAATCAATAATTGATTTTCATTTAATGAATAATTAAATCAATTAAAAATTTTTAAATAATAATCAAATTGAATCAAAATCAATCAAAATCAAGTTTGATTAATCTAGTTTAATAATCAATTTTTTTATTTTTTTATTTTTTTATTATAAATAATTATTAATTATAAATTTAATATAATAAAATATAAACTCAAATATTATTTAAATTAAATTATTAATAATTTTAATAATTTTAATAATATTTTACAAAAAAAATATTTATTTTAATTTAATTTATTTTTAATTATTAAAAAATTAATTAATTCGATCAATTCGATTATTAATTTTAAAAATAAAAAATCAATTGAGTTGATCAATTTAATTGATTCAAAATTTTGATTATAATCAAAATTAAATAAATCAAATCGACTCAATTGAAATTACTTGATTTCAATTGATTTAATCTGTTCATCCCTACTCACTCTAGTGGAGTGGATTTGATAAGGTTAACGAGTTATTGATTTATGCCTTGTTATGATGGTAAATTAATGATTGAATGACCAGAATAGGCTTGAGTGTAGAAGATAGTGCTCTGTATTCCATGTAAAGCTGATATTAAGTGGAGATTTTTCTAGTTATAAAATGTTTGGATGGCTTGCTTTTTGCTGCTTGGTCTAATGGTTAAGAAGTTTTAACGAAAATATTAGAGTTTGAATTCGTATCAAGTCATCCCCTCCTTTCCATGTAATACGGCGTTGCACTCCTTTGAACTAAAAAAAATGTTTGGATGGCTTAAGATAATTTTATTCAATCTATGGAGGTGCCAAAACTGAATCTATTAGCATTAGAAAACTTGTCTCACTGAATTTTTTGAGTTTTTGCTAGGACCAGTTACTTAGTTTTTTTTTTTTTTTTTTTTCGTTGGCAGAGAAACAATGGTGAGTAGTGACAGCCTCAGCCTGCCTGACCTTACACAGGCCTACCTTCATAAGTTGAATAAGAACTACTGAATTTAGGGACACCTTTATGCCACGTTCTTCTCTCCACACTACTCCATCTTAAGTAGTGAACTTGTGCATGCAAAAAGATGTGAGATGGTACCTTCCAGGTTTAGATGGACATTCGATTATCATGGTTCCATGATGAACCAACTTAATGCGATGTTGATGTGTTATTATTACATCATCCAATCTATAGGGCTTTTCAGTGCATAGAAACTCAATTTTTTTGTTTTGCTTGCTGTGACTCAATGTAGTAAGGATGCATTTACGTTGTGGATTTAGTTTACTCTGATTTCAATTGATTGAGTGTTGTGACATTGAATGGTTATTGGATGGTAATTTAGTTTGATTACTTATTTAATAGACCAAGTGATACTCAATTATATAACTGTCATCATATTAGTCTAAGGTTCTGAATTATGACTGTTCCAATGACAAAGTGAACCCTGAGTCCCTGACTCTGTCCACGCAATTCCTTAGCTAGGCTGAGGTTGTCCGCCAAAGGAGTTCTGTTTGGTGGATACTGTGATATTACTGAATTTTATTCCATTTATTTTGTTTCAAGTAATTGGGAAATCGCTGTCACCTGCAAAATGCCATTAAATGGTTAGTCTAGTGGTAACTTCTCATAACCGAGTAGCTGTGGTCTTTTTTATGTGTTATACATACATATATATATATATATATATATATATATATATATATATATATATATAGAACCATTGAAACAAGACCTTTCCAATTTTTGGTTTGGGTGGATTATGGAAAAGGTGAACTTTTGGCAAGTATGTCAAAGTCTTGGGGGCATAAACTGATAAGCCTCATCCCTTCCTTTGAGGAGCGCAAACTTCAGATTGCTCTCATTATCTATTATTTTCTACCAGTGTCAATGGACGAGCCATTTTGTGGAAATATAATACTATTACACTTCCAACTGGACCATGAGAATTGACAGGTACAATATATTGCCCAAGTATTTTACCAAAGTTCACTCGTATACATTGTAGAAACCACCTAACATTAACAATATTCAAGGAAGAAATTGGAGAAGAAACTTTATATCTTCTCTGGATGCTTGACGATCACCACTGGACATTTTACATTCTTTGCACAATGATCGCTCACGCTTCCTAGAAGCGCCCTGTAGAATTGAAAAAGGGGAAAATCATCTTCAAGTTATCTTGCCTGGAAAATAATTGATAGGAGACGTTGAAAAGTATGCAAAGAAGGATTGTTTTACCTTTTGAAGAAACCATAACCATGGCTTCCCATCACCAATGTGTCGGCTTTGATTTTTTCCACGGTATTACATATTACGTCCTTTGCATCTCCACTTCCGACGATTCTCTCCACGTTTATCTGCACACAGTTCATCAATACAACTGTAAGGGATAAACTGAATCGAATACAATGATAGAAGGTAAATAAAGCAGTATAAACTTCAAAACAAGAGGCTTACATTGCCGCTAAACTTTCCGCACAAGGCTTCCGCTCTTCCCATCACTGAATTCACCAGATCACTGCCATATTTTTCTAAGGCTGTTATCACATCGATGAAAAACATATACCCTGTAACAAGGTCAGACTGGTTAGTATATAAAAACCTCAACTCTACAAAGAGAAAATAATAATAGTTGTTCTACGGATTTCCCTTTCTGTTAATTTCTTTACAGCATGCAGAAAAACATTGAAAATTTGTTTACCCATGAAAAAGAGAATTGATTAGACTATCCTTGGAAAAAGTAACTCTTACTAGCTAATTTGGCAATTGCAAGAAAAATCTTTTACTAGCTTTTTTAGCGGAACTGCGAGCAGATATTTAGGAATTGAAGAGTATTAAGTACTAGTTTTTCATATAAAAAGCTGCAACGTTTTTGTAATAGGAAACCTTTTATACTTTCAAGGGAACAAGAAAAAACAAGCAGCAGTTGCTAACCTGCAGCGTCGAAGGAAGAGTAGACAGTAGGTGGAGGCTTCACATAAAGAAGCACAAGGGTGTTGGTTGTGTTTTGAGAAATCAAATTTCCGAGACACCATGAAAGTGCATACATGCTTTCCTCACTCTCATCCACGGCCACCACAATTTTGCACTCCTTTTTCCTCAAGTTCACAGCTTCCATTGCTACTTACTCTGGGTTGTATTTTTTGTTCGCTTTGAACAATGAACACTATAATATAAGAAGCTCAAAGAAACTATTGGCCTTAGAATGTTGATAAGAAAGCAAATGAAAGCTCAAACATTTATGGGTGGTAGTTGCTGTGGTTTTCTAGTAACCTGATTTTTTGGAGTTCCGTGGGTTTTATATTTACCACACCAGTATACCGGTCGTGGTTTTTGAAGTGGAAACGGCTGTAACATGGAAAAAAAAAAAAACAATTTATCCCAAAAAGAAGTAGTAAGAAAATCCCTCTGTTTGGCAAATTGCCAATTATAATGATATGTTAAAATGATTAATTAAAGTAAACAACCAGTCAATTTTGATCTTAGAATGCAGTGAGTTGTTGTGCTACAGGCTCAGGCTTTTTACCTTAGTTTGTTCCATCCGGAAAAATCCTTCCTGTAGGACCCATTGATTGACTTTAAAATAAAAAAATCTGTAGCCTTCATTGATTGACAGTCAACATCTTGCTGAAGCTAAGCTTGGCGGATTAAAAATCTGAGCAGAAACGCACGCCCTTTGGATTACAATCGTTGACAACACGACGCGAAGGTGTGCATAGACATAGAAATGTTAGGATATTATTTTTGCCCGAAAATGATATGGAAAACGATATGGATAATTGAATTATTTCTCATTGATGTGATTTCATAATTCTTATGTGCCCTTATCATATTGTATAAAAAGTTATGTAACTGTTCCTTAAGAGTCAAGTGAGTATGAAGAATCTGCAGTTTTGAGAACCCACTTGCGGCTACTGCCAATTACCAGCATTTGTAAGTAAGCTAATTTAACTGTTTCTATTATGACCTCGTCAATGACATAGAAAGCAGCTTTAGATTCGAATTCAATCGAACCGATATTCCAAGAAGGCCCCGCAGACGGTAAATTGGCAGAAAGATCGATAAGTCCTTTTTATAGTCCAAATCAGTTGTTATTATTTATTAATTGTGCAAGACTGCAAGTTGATAAAAGGTTGTGTTATCTGTCTACAAAACGCATACAGAAAGCACTTTTTTCAACTAATCAATACATGCGAAAGGTGCATGATTATAGGTTTCAAACTTTATAGTTTAAATGGTTTTGTTTTACTTTTTTTTTTTTTTTTTATTTCTGTCCATATAATTTAGAAATTAAAGAAAAAATCAAGAAGGTGGTAACCAATACTATATGTGGACCCATGGGCCAGCCCAGTTTCAATGAGGAAGAAATTGGGCTAGATTTTCATACAACTAAATCGAATAGCAAAGTTTATAAACCCAAGGCCTCCGCCCACCTTATCTCAAATAGTAGTTGCTCGGGTTGACCAAGATGTCCCATGTACCCCCACTTTGAAGCTACGAATTCAACAATCTTCCTCCAATAACCAATGCCCTTACTTTTTTTTTTCTAACCATACTCCATATTATAGCTTTACTACTTTTCTAGCTAAATCACTTAATTTTATTTGAAAATTCACTTTCTTAATACCTTGATCAAATTAATTATTCATTTCCTAATGTTCATATATACCAATTAATCATTCAAAACTTGCATAGCTTTTCTGGGACTCATATTATTAAATTATTATTATTTTATAAATACGTGAAAATTAGCTGACCTCAAAAATCTTGTTTTAGTTCACCCAAAAAAAAAAAGTTTATCTCATTTCGGGCCAAAACGATTAATAATCAATAAAGGACTTATTTTTCTTAAATGGGAACACGATTTAGCTCTTAATTAATTAACTCAGCAACGGCAAGATCTTGTATACACGCAAGTCTACAAACTGGTATCCAAGACTGGATTCCATTAGCCAAATCAGTAAAAACGGATGGTTGCGATGAGTCTGATGAAGTGGGCCATCATGTCCCCACAAAGCGCATGTTAGCTTGATCCCTCAAAAAGTTCAAATTCAGTGCGTTCGTTGCTGCCATTTTGTGAGGCTTAGAAATGACAAGCCGCCTACGTCGTAAAACGTATCCAAATTGCCTAACAAAAGACAGAAAAAAAAGATAAATTCCAAAAAAAAAAAAAAACAGTAAGATCGAGAAAGCATAAGCACAATTGTCAGCATCTTAAAATTTTAAATACGGATATATCAGAATATTATTTTTTTTTTTTGGGATAAATACTTGAAATTTTGAAAAAAAAAAAAAAAGAATATTATCCAGCGTCAAAATGGAGGGGCCCACGGAAGCACAGCTAATTCTTGGTTCATGCTTTTTTTCGGTGAGCGCGTTTGGTATAATTCTAAAAAGGGGGGCCCACTATTTAATATTTCTGGTTACCAGAAAGTTTGGAGCCGTTGATTCTAGATCAAACGTCTCAAATTCAAACCTAAAAGGACAAATTTTGAATTGGACGACAGAGAGACAGGAAGACGTATCCCGATTTAATAATGATTAATAAATCCAATAATTCTGTCACTCCTTCTAGAAAAATTATATTCCCAATTTTACCCCTATAAAGAAAATCGGTAAGGAGGATGATTTTAATTATCTCATATAATATAAATATATATTCATTTTTTACTTATATGACATTCAAATTATTATTACATTTAAGTAAATATAAGCTTTGGTTCACGGTCCACGAGCAAGGAATCATACAACCAAGCTAACGCCGTGTTGTTGCAATGCCAAAGAAAGAAACCAATTGAATAAATATGGGCTTTTTTTTTTTTTTTTTAAACCTAAAATGCGGGCATTCTTAATGAAACAGGATTGCAAAAATCATCCTTTAGGCAATCGTTCTTTGTTTCCCCTTTTTTCAAGAGAATGATTATCATTCTGTTTGTTTTGTCATGACTTTTTTGCTCCCTTAAATTTTACCCAAGTAAAGGAAAACCGTTTCTTTACCCATTTTGTTATTTACAAAATATTTTCTTACTGCATAAAATGCATCTAAAATATTTTTAATAATTAAAAATGATAACGGATTGAATTAGATCAGATTTTATTCTATTTTTTTAAAATAATATATAATATAATAAATTTTTAAATTTTAATTTAAATTTAAATTAATTCGATTCAAATTAAATTTTATGATTTCGTTCTTTTCATTAATTTTTAAAATTTAATTTTTTATTATAAATTATTTTAATAGGATTTTAATATATTTAAATAAATTTATATATAAAATAATTATTTTTATTTAAAACAAAATTAAATTATATGTAAAAATTAATAAAAATATATAATTATGTTTTATTATTATTTTATTAATATTTTGATATGAAATTTGATCAAAATTTAATATATACATTAAATATCTAATCTTAATCCAAATTGAATAAAAAAATCTATTTTAACTTAACCAAATACTATAATTTCGAATTGATTTTTTATTCTTTTATTTTTTTTTTCACCTCTACTAACAACCTTCCATTTTATAACAAAATAAGAAACATACATTTACAAACAAATAATTACAAAACTATAATTTTATTATTAAAAAAATATTAACTAGTGCTTAAAAACATTATTTAAAATAATATTTATAAAAAATGCAATCAATGCATATTTTTTAAATATAGTGATAGTGTTTTTTTTTTTTTTTAAATACAAATTAGATCCTTTTATGATATAAAAAAAAATTTGTTAACGATATCTTAAAGACACTCTTTAATATTTGTTAACAACTATAACTTATATTTAAAGTTTATTTCCGATTTTAGGACTTGAGAGCTTAATTTTTACTTTTTAGACAGATCAAATAAGTTATTAACGGATTAATTATGGCTTACCTTATATATTTAGAGTTAATTAAATTATTATATTATATTTTTATTTTATTTATAGTAGTAACATGTATTCATTCAATTTGATAATTGAGAGTTAATATGTTCATAATGCATGGAAAAAAAAATACTTTATAAATATATATATGTATATATATAGCAACCTTCATTTTATTTTTTGTTTGACCATCGGATGTTTAAAGTCTACTAAACTATTTTCATAAAGGCAACTCAGAGCCTTTCGGTTACGGTTTTCTTAACTGGCTAAAATCCGCGTCCAGTTTAGTCAAGTCATTCCCTTCTTTTATAAAATATAAATTATAAAATATAGTAAAATAAATTATTTTTCCTTCTAAGAAAAAAAAAATAAAGCAAAATAATTTTCATTTAAGATAAGGTAGGGGTATTTATGGAAATTCAAGACCTGTTTCTTATATTTAAAGTCCAGTTTCCAGAGAAAAAAGCAGACATTAAAAAACAGAGGAGAGAAAATTTTGAACATCAATAACGAAAGTAAGTTTTCAAAAAACATAGAGAAAAAGGAAAAAAGGTTTGAGAAGAAATGGGAGATATTGTGTTGTTTGTTGATGATTTATCATCAAATTCTTCAATTTCACACTGTAGAATTTGCCATGAAGAAGAGTTTGAAAGCTTTAAGAGCTTGGAAGTTCCCTGTGCTTGTTCTGGCACTGTTAAGGTCAAATATTTTTCTTCTTCCTGTTGTTTTTTGTTGTTTCCTTTTAATGCTTATTTTCGGATTCTGATTTTTTGGGTTTTCCCTGTTTTGATGATTTAATTCTTTTTTTTTTGCTGTTTTCAGTTTGCACATAGAGATTGTATCCAGAGGTGGTGTAACGAGAAGGGAAACACAACTTGTGAAATTTGTCTTCAGGTTTGAATTCTAATGATCAGACCAAAAAACAAAAACCTTTTATTTTTATTCAAAGTTTTAGTTGTCAAAAAAAGTTTTGATGTCAAACTGGGTTATTTGTTTTCCAGGTTTTTGATTTCTCAAACTCTGTTTTCATCCATTTTTTGTTCTGTTTTTTGAGTTCGGGGCATCTAAAACTTGTCCCTTTTGTTTAATTTTTATTTTTGTCAAACTCTCCCTCTCTTCTTCCATGTGATTCAAGCGGGTTGTATAACGTTTCATTAGATTCTTCAATATCAAACAAACTAAAATAAAATCTTAATGATTTCCACTTACGACGCCATTACTTCATTTAAATATCAATATCTCAGATTCTTGGAATTCTGTTTTTAGAATGTTTTTAAACAACTACTGCTACGATTGTTTATTTGGGTTAAAAAAATTGTTCCCAGAGGTTTATTTAATCTAATTGAAACAACAACAATTAGCTGTTATTAATGAATATTTTACTGTATAATCAATCTTTTATCATGCAGGAATATAGACCAGGATATACAGTAACAGCACCTTCAAAGACGTCTCGGCTGATTGAAGCTGCAATAACCATCAGGTATAATATTAATTTTTTTCTTCCATTCACAATTTTTGATAAAGACGCGTGACTTGCCAGCTGGTGACAAAAATGTATTTCGTCTTTGTTTAAAAAGTTGTCTAATTTTAATCTAAAAAGCCACACCCAGACAAGCTTTTCCGCTAATTATTGTTTATTTATTAGAAAAATTAAAAAATTTGGTGCTTAATTGTTTTTGTATCAGAGATAGCTTACAAATCCCAAGAATAGAGGTTGAGGCACAACACCAAAGATTAGTGGCTTTAGCTGAAAGAATGAATGTGGAAAATGAAGAATTCTCTCAATGTACTTCAGCTGCGGACAGAGGCGCCTCTTGCTGCCGATCACTGGTCCTCACTGTACGTTTCCATTTCTTCGGTTTTGGTAAATGAATTGAGAAGAACCTTTAGCTGAAAATCACTCCTAACGAATTATTAAGATTTAAACAAATGATTTCTCAAGGTATAAAAAAATGGGGTTTAACCCTTTCTTAGTAATGTGGCAACCCACGCACGTGGTCCAAAGGGGTGTGCAAAATTTGTAATATTAAAATCATTAGAAGTAGCTTTAGTGTGTAATTCAAACAACACCCATAATTTAGTAAGTTCGACGGTTAGGATGGGTTGCACCCATAGCAAATAAAGTGGGCCAATGAGTATACAACTGAATTTGAAAGGGAAAACTATGAGAACCATCTACCCACCCGTAACGGTCAGCTAAAATTTTTATTTTGTTTTCTATTTCCTTCCACTCACGTTGATTATGTTATGAATTGGCAGTTTACTGTGGTTTTGCTCATTAAACATGTCTTTGCTGTACTTAATGGCGAAACAGATCATTACCCATTTGCACTGCTTACTGTAAGTATCCAATTTTTTCTCCATTATTGTACATTTGTAACTAGCTTTTTTTTTAAAAAAACTTACCATCCCATATCCGAGGAATGGTTATTAGCTTTTCTAATACTTTATTTTTGGGGGGGGGCATATTTGACAGATACTGTTTTTTAGAGCTACTGGAAATTTACTCCCAATGTACATAATAATTCGGACAATTACAGCTTTCCGAAACAGCATTCGGCGACAATATCATGTCAGTTCCCTATTAATCATTTTCAACATCAGCCTGATTATTTACAAATTGATGAAATGAAGATTTTACAAGATCCTAGTTTTTCATGTGATGGGACCGCAGCTAAATTCCTTGTTTTGCTTTGTGTTTAACAGGCATCTTTCGAGGATACCTCCAACTCTGATGATGAAGACGATGTTGAGCAGCGGCAGTAACTTCACGTTGTCTCACAATCTTATCGTGTTCTCCAATTGCTTCGCATTTGTAATAATCTGAGCATTACGCTATTGCTCTTCTTGTCCAAATTCCCCCCATTTTTTAGCATCAATAGAAAAAAAATTATATTGATTTTGAGTGCAAATTGAGCATCGGGCAGCTTGTTTTTTTTTGAAAAGGAGGATCAACAACAGATTTTATCACTCTCAACACATCTTTGCTGACCAATATGTATTTACTTACCAGACAAGTTAGTTGTTCAGCCGACTTTTTACCAATACCGGTACGATTGTTGCCAGAAATACAAAAAAGAAAATTCTCACTAAAATGCTTACTATACAAAAGGCCGGTCAACCCTACTAGTCCTAACATAGTTTCCTCATTCCAACCACACTTCAGAAAATGTTAAAAGAGAGTAGTCGCATCGTATTCACATCACTATGTCCAAAATTGGGGGAATAAATGACCTGGCAAAACTAAGAATACGGTAGCAGCCCCAAAGAAATTCTCAATAATCTATACGATACGCCCCAATTGCTGTCATTCTACTTACAATGAGAAGTTCCATCAATGTTGCTGCAGAAGTAGTGTCCTTGCCCTACGTTGAAGTTCAGTCAAGGAGCCAACAGAAGTGCCTTCCAAAGTGTTTAAGTTCCTTGCATTCGCTGTAACGCTGATCAATTCTCGAATAATAGCTACCATCTTATCAGGACAACTTTGTATCGGCAAGTTATCTTCACATTCCTTTCTGTGTTTCCCGTATATAGCCTCAAATTCTCTAGACTTAGAAGCAGCTGTTAGCAGTATTGAGTCGGGAAGCCCTGAAGTGTTTACTAGTCAGACAACTACTAAAATTTCGCAATTAATTGGTTAATGGTTTGATATTTTCATTCAGCAGATTATCTACAAAGACCTTACTTTAACAAATTCTATTCTATAGGCTCATACCTCTATGTCCTTGATTCCAAGAGATTCTTAATAAATACAAGTTGTTGTCCATTTTTTTAGAGTATGAACTACATTTCAACAAAAAGCTAAATATTTTTCTAGTACATGAGATGCGCCGCAAGGATTGTATAATGCCATCGTAATCTAATTAACACCACATCCTTTGTAGGACTAGCAAATGCAAGGTCCTTTATCTCCATAGTAACCCACTAGTTATTATCATTCATGAGAATCCACATTATATTTCATTATGTCAAAAGCTATAAGCAACCATCGAAGCTAATGAGGCACCGCTCCAAAAGTTCAAATGTAGGTCCAAAAAAAAAGGGTACTTACAAAGAATCTTACCAGCTATTCGTGCAACATTCACACCATAACTTTTTGGACAGGCATCAGTGGTCAACCTGTAGAGAAATGTAACTTCTTCCACGCCTTCAACTCCATTTCCATTTCCAACTTGGCATGCCATATGGCAGAGAAAGACCTGTACAAAACATGGGAAAAGGTAAAGAAATAATACAAGGACATCGAAAAGCAATGAAAATAACCATGAATCCCAACTATTACAATTTTTTACTGAAAATAAATGTGCAGATAAGACTTCAAAATGATTTTACCTGACCCATTTCTAATTTCTTATTCACCCTATTAGCACCTAATATAATTTGCCAAGTATAAATGCAATAAAAAAGTTTTTAAAAAAAATCTTATCCAACAGAAGCAGACAAAAACCTTGGAATTGTTCTGATAGTCCACAGCCAGTCGGTGGTAATGAGTTGAAAACATTCCTCGGCACTGCACCTTATGTACAAAATGTTCAAGAACTGATTCCCTGACACACAGAAATCGAATAGTGAGGAATTGAGATTAAGTCAGAAGTACCATAATATATATGTGTGTGTGTGTGTGTGTGTGTGTGTGTATATATATATATATATATTCAATGATGTTAAATTGGAAAGCAACATACGCAATAGCTTGTCCATCAGACGTTGATGTTCCACGTCCAAGTTCATCTAATGCCACGAGTGAATGTTTAGTTGCTGAGGACTGCATCAACAATCATGAATATGTTCACAAAATATAAAAATTTAAAATCAACATTTTGTACTTCTACAAAGGAAAAGGAATTCTTTAGACAATGCTTAAATACACTTGAAAACTGATAAATGAATAAAACACTGATTTCTTCTCACGTAGATTGTGAAATTGCAATGCCTTGTATCAATAAAAAAAAAAATTGCAAATATGCTGTTTTCTCTGCAAAGATGTTTGGAGTGACAAGAACAGCTGCGAAAAAATATCAAATAAGTCTCCTTTAAAGAAATTTGCTGTGTAATTTGTGAAAATTCAAAGTAATGCAGATGGATATAAAAACTTTCACATATCAGTAATCCTCAAAATGTCTCATTTGCAGCAACCAGATCAAAATTCACATATATCAAATTTTTTAAGTTGGAATGAAATAAATTACCAGCATTAATGCAGTCTCAGAAAGCTCTGTTAAAAATGTACTCTGTCCTGCCATAATATGATCTTTGGCACCCATCCGGACAAAGATTCGGTCAACAGGAGATAGTTCCAAATGTTCTGCAGGGACATCAGCTCCTACCTGGGAAGGACCCAGCATGAAGGCCATTGAACACAATGAGACAATCTACAATTAGCAGGAACCAAAACTTTACCTGGGCCAAAATCACAGCCAAGCAAACTTGGCGAAGAAGAGTTGACTTTCCACCCATGTTAGGACCAGTAAGAAGGAGAAAACTTGCATGACCAGAACCCCCAATAGTGATGTCATTGGGGACAAATGCACCCTTGCCTAAAGAATCACTTCTGAGAATAGGATGTCCTAATCCTTTTGCAGAAAAGCATGGCACTTCATTTGAACATGAAAAGCCCAGGATAAAAGGACGACATGTTGGCCCTTCATAAAAATCACTTGCAATTGCTAGACTGATCAATACATCCAGTTCTGCAATACGAGCCCACTGGTTCAGATATGCAAAGTATATCAACCAATAGAGCATCAAATTTTTAATGTTGTAACAATTAAGTCTTTTAGAATTTCTGCAACTACATGCAGGCTTGGTTCTAAACTAAAGCTATAGACTAGAAACACATGTAGATTTTTGCATGGTATCCAAGGAATGAAAAAAATCTTACAAGAAACTACTAGATTACATGATAAAGAAACATGAAACCAAGCTTCAGTGCTGTTTGCAAAAAAGTGGGCAACATACCTCCTGTTGTTGAAACTAGCTGCCGCCATTTATTGTGATCCTCACAAAATCGTCCAAGTAACCTCTGGAGAATGTTTTTTAAAGCAGTCTCCTTTTCGGATTCAGCTTGCGACAGTTCTCCTAGGGACTTCTTGATATATGGAGTCCAGTAACGGAAGAAGCCCTGTACATGTCATGCAATAGGTGAAAACAAAATTTGAGCTAAAAAGAGCTTTTAAACTGATTGACTTTTCAAAGAAATCTTGGCTTATTAATCATAGCAATAGACTTCTTTCAAGCAAAGGTTATAAAATCTAATATGGACAATTTCACAGGGTGACAAAAATTGAAAAATGAATATCAAAATTTAAATGCATGACTTTTAACTTTGAGTAACTTATTGCTGCAACTGTGGCAAGGTACAAAGTGAAATGTTTATGAATAGTAAACAAGTAAGATGCATAACAAATCAGCAGCAACTCTAAGAAGACACAAAGTGACCACTTGAGAATTGCAATCGAGTATCAGTTTGGTAAATGCTTTTCCTTTTTGCAAAAAATGAAAGGAAAGGAAAGGCAAAAAAAAAAAAAATCAATAGAAACTAAAGACAAATAACAAAAAGTAATAGTGTTCACCAAATGGAGCCTAAGAAAATCATAATATATCAGATCAAGCAAAAAGTTTGCATGCAGCAGCTATTAAGTGTCGATACTTCATACCATTGCAAGACAGATTTTATAACACAACAGTATTATCTATCATCAATTGAATAAAATATCTTATCTTTAATCCAAAAAAGGTGACACAATGAAAGCAAATTACCTTTTTGGATGATCGTAACTCATAATCCTGAGGGACACTTCCACGCAAGTTTTCTGGCACTTCCAATAGATATACCTCTTTTCCAACTGTGACATAGGTGATCTATAGCAGATGATCAAATCAAATATTGTTCAGTAAAAACATTTCAAGAAGTAAACTACTATTTAAATCATTGGAACATCCAAACATTTATTGACAAAATTCTTACTGATGAATCTCCAAGTAACTTCCGCTGTTCCTTGAGGTGTTTTGTCAAACTAGATTCAATCTCCTTAACTTTTTCACATGCAGAGTCATATTCCAGATCAACTCCTTCATGAGGTATTATACGTCCAGAATTGTTGGCATCAACCCAATCAAACGCATCCTTGAAATGCTTAAGAATAGAATGGATATTTGGAAGACCTTTACCTACGCAAAGTTAGAATCATAAGATGATAGATGATCCTTGAGAAACTATATAAGAACATAATTTTTACATTACCAGCTGTTAACAAATGATGAAGCTGTGTAGACTCCACGTTTTCCAAAATGACACCAAGGGAAGAACATGCTTGAACCATTAATTCACAACCGCGTAGTGCTGATACGAATTCCTGGAGTTGTTTCTTTGCAGCATCTTCATATAAAATAACTTTATTTGCATTTCTTCCATTAGCCTCACTGCATTCAAGCATAATAACAATTAAAATACTATTAAGGAATGCTCAATACGTTCCATATACAACATGAATGGAACATATTTATGAGTGTGCATTTCTATCCAAGCTTTACCTGCTAGCAAAGATACGTGCAAGCAACCTCTCCATGTCAGGAAGCCTGGACAATGCCTTTCGAAATTCAACTGCATATGATTGATTTTCACCCTAGACAGCAGAAAGGACAACATAATACACACAGTAAACATCACCTCAGATGAAGACCTAACACTAACCACACATATCAGAGCAAGGATTCGACTGAATGCTTGAAAATTGAGTAATTAGTTATTTAGTCCAATTCAACCCCCCATTCCCCCCCCCCCCCCCCCCCCCAAAAAAAAAAAAAGGAAAATAGGATAAACATACAAGAAATCTGATGCATAAGCTTCAACCTGACAAACAAGAAACAATGGAATAATATCCCCGTACTTTAAGAAACAAAACAATGATAACAGTGCCCTTGTTTATTAGGTCAACAACACAAATCTGATCATAGGTTTTTCTTATTTTTTAACCCACAATCCTCAAGAAATAACTGAAAACAGGCACAAATTATGAATACCTACAATGCCAAAAATGAACAGAGTTTGCATGTAACCACAAAAACAAGTTTAGAGCCTTGAGTTTTTTCACCTAACATAGTAAAAATTAGTTAGAAAAAAGGAAATTACCTTCAATTTGTGTAAAATATAAAAGTCAAAATATTTATGGAAAACTCACCTTTAGGCCCGCTACAGCATCTTGACGTTCCTTAATTAAATCTATTTGATATAATGGCCTAGCAAGCCATGTTTTTAGCAACCTTTTCCCAAATGCTGTCACACAGTGATTCAATTGTTCATAGAGTGTCCTTCACAGAAAAATAAACTGCCTAAGCATAAGGTTGTCACTAAAAAAATTATAGTAATATTTCTAAGTGTATGCAGACTTACCTGTAAGAGTCTCCATTTCTACTGTTTTCAAAGATCTCAAGGTTTTCGAGTGCAGCAGCATCAAGAAACATGTAGGGTTTTGGAGCAGTGCCACTGAAACCAGAGGATGGAAGTGACTCAAACTTCGCAAATCTAAGTAATGTCTCATCTAGAAAAGCCTGTTTTAGGTAATAAAGAGTGCCTCCAAGAGCTGAGAGTGCTAGGCTGCCATTTGCACCAGCACTCAGTAGATTGGAAAGGACAGCTGGCAGGCAACCTGGCCTATCTTCCTCAGAAGAATTAGCATCATTTGGACCCACATCACTAACAGACCTAGCAGCTGATTGATCCTTGATACGCTTGTAGAAGGTTTTGATTTCATGAACAGTTTTGTCTGCATCCCAAAATTCTGCAGATGGGAGCAACTCATTCACTAAGGGATTTCTTGTATGTCTCAGCATTGCCTTCTCAGTTTCAAAACTGAGCAGTTTAGTGGGTTTTATAATTTCTACTGGCCTTAGCTCAGCCAATAGACAACACAATGCACTGCACTCAGAATCATCCCCAAACTACAGAATAAAAGCAAGAGTACATCAGTTCTTTTAAACTATAAAATGACACATATCATGAAATTTAAATCCCATTGGTTAAAGACACATTCTATACAAAGGATTAAGATTAATGGTCAGATCTGAACAAAGCAAGCATTAATTAAGCATTATCATGCAGGGAACAATCCCTACCTGTCCAAGAATAATCCTGCTAGTTGAAACATCAACTGCACACACACCGAAAACCCGCTCCTCATTCTGGTTGGTTGAACTTTGACAGTTTTCAGTCACTGCCATCAGGTAAGAAGGGTCAGGATTTGTTGACAGCATTTCTCCCTCAGTTATGGTTCCTTTAGTAACCACTGCACATATTTCACGTTTGACAACCTAAAACACATTGAAAAATATCAGTGAGTATACAGCTCCAAATCACCCCAAATTCTCCTTTTCACCAGCAACTCCACATGAGGTATCCCAAAGCCAAATAACAAATTATATAAAAAATTTCTAAAAGCTATAGTGAAAAACATATAATGTATAAGGTAATTCAAATGATTGAAATGAGCCATCATACCACCTCACCAAAAGCCAGATGAAAACCTAAGGTTAATGGTCCTCGGCATCACATCTAAGAATACTTTATTTAAGCATGCTATTAAGACCATGATGATTTGATGTTTGACAACTATAGACAGTAGATAATCAGCACATTAAAAAACGGCTTAAAGAAAAGTACACTAAGTAAATGGCCAATCTGGGGAAAAAATGTAAAATACGGGAAAACCAATTAAAAATAGCATTAATCTTCTTAAATATCATGCATGGTAAAGCAGACCTTATCCTTGGCACCTTTCTCTTTCCGACGAAGCTCCAGCTGTTCAGGAGTTTCTGTTTGCTCTACTACAAGAACTCGATAACCCTGTTCTGACAATAAAGATAAAGTAAAACTTCCTCTACGGCACAAGTTGTGGTTATCAAAAAGATGCAATCATAAGAAAACCCATCCTGCAGAAGTACAACTTGCATAAAAATACATAGGACCAACCTTTCTAGCTAATTTCTCCACATTCATAGAGAAGTTTCTCTCTGGAAATCCACAGTGAGGTTGTTCCCCCTAAAAATGAGAGTAGATGTAAGAGGAATAGTGAAAAATAAACATCATGAAAAGAAACTTATAACAGAGTTTATAACAAAGGATCTTCTCCCTCATTTCTATATCTTTCTCCTGGCCATGGAGATTTCTTAAGATAAAAAAAGGAGCTAAACCATTAAAAAAAAAAAAAAAGCCCACAGCCAAAATTAACAACATTCCAGTTTGCATTGAAAGAACTTGGAAAAGTCCCTACCTTCATGTACTGCAAATCCAGTTCTTTGGCTCCTATATGTGCATCCATTTCAAAAAGTTCATAAAATTTACCCATCTGCTCCAACAACAAAAAAAATGTTGAATGACTTTACTAGACTAGTGACATCAACAAATTAGAGTAGACTATGTCATACCTTGAAAAACAGAACTTTGTCCATATGCTTTGACTTAAATTCCCACCATTGCCTCTGCATGGTAATACAGGTCCTTCTTTAAAAGCCAAGAAAAAAAAGTGTTTCAAAGTACTTGACAGTTGAATCCCCTTACCTGGCCACCTGATAGGCTCTTCAAGAAATCAGGAGGCATGTATAAAGTTTTCGGATTGTAGTTTATATCTCCAGGACGTTTTCTATTCACATCCCTACGCTCCTTGCTTCAAGACCAAAAATATTTTCAGCATAAAATACATGGAATATGATATTTACATTAGAACTAACAACCTGCCTCTGAATCTAAAGCAATTAGCAGGCTTATCTGCATGTATTGCCATAAACTCACATTTACTGTATAATTGTCAATCAAAAAGTTCCACCATCCTTTCCAGCAAAAGAAGCCAGATGGCTGAACTAGTAAAATCTAATTAGGTAAGGAAAGCCTGCACATATTGTTTCAAATCCTAGAGGTATAGTTATAGTTTTATGGATTCTATGTCATTGGTGGAAAATTAAAAGAACAAAACAAGAACTTACGGTCCAAGGAAGTAAAACTTCTCTGCTTCACGCTTGCCGAACCTTTCTGATGCTTCACCCACCAAAGCATTATCAAAACCGTTAGAAGCCTTATCACCTGCAGCAAAACATGCCCACATTCAAACACTAGAAAATCTGTAGTCATTTATTAAGACGACTTCTATAGGAACAAGAAAGACATGAAAATAATCTATGATATATCCAAATCTCAAGTGACAGACTAGTTAATATATGCCACAGTTGAATAAATTTCCATGAAGATAGCAGCTATAACAAATGAAAAACATATAAACTGGGAACACAAATAGAGACATTGGTAAAAGAGGGAAAAAAATTCCCTTTAGAGGTGATAAATTTAGGAAAACAAATAGCAGAAAATATTAACTATAACAACAATTTCGCAAATAACCCAAGCTATCATTGGCTTCAACTTCAAAAAAACATTCTCATTCGCATTCACCTCACAAAGAAGGAAATTTATATTTAATTTCCCATTTCAAACACGACCAACTTAAAAAAATGGCACACCAGAAACTCCATTACTTACTTTCTGTTTTCTTCACAGGTTCCACCAAAGGCAGCTTAAACTCTTCCTTATTACCAACACTTGCACCGGTCTTACTCTTTTTGCCAGACTCCAATTTCCCTCCTCCTCCGCAGGCCTTCCGTTTTTTAGATTCGGTCTTTCCACCGCCTTTTCTTTTCCACATTTTCATTACCTCCTCCTCTTCCTCCAATTCTTCATCTTCTTCCTCCTCTTTCTCATCCACCAAATCCATATCTTCCTCCTCAGCATCCTCACTCACTTCCTTCGCCACATTCTCCCCCCAATCTTCATCACTAGAATCATCATCATCAGCATTACTCTTTTCCTCTCCATTCTCTGCCACATCCTCATCCTCAAAATCAATCACCACTTTCTTAAAAGCCGAAGAAGTACCCCCTCGACGCAACCGCTTAAGCCTTCCCGTGCTTTCTTTAACCCACTCAATCTTCTCCTTTCCCAAATCCAACTCTTCTTCCTCAGCATCATCATACTGAACCAAATGCTTACCCGATTCCTTATCAAAAAACTTCACCACACCTTCATACCACGCCTTATCCAACGGCCAGTAAACCCTGATCCTCTTCTCGAGCACCTCTTTGCCGTACGATTTCTCGACCGGAGTCGAGGGAGTCGGGGAGGGTGTTTGGCCAATAACTAGGAGGGGCTTTTTGGGCTTGGATTGAGCAGGGGAAGGAGTGATCAGGCTGGGGCTTGGGCTTTTACTAGGACTCCGGTTTGGTTTAGGGTTAGGGTTGAGTTTAGAGGTTTGTTTGGCGAAAGTGGGGGAAGGGGAGGGGGAAGGAGAGTTCGTTTTAGAGAAAAAGGAAGTAATATGGCGCTGTTGATTAACGAGCGGTGACCTACCGTTGCTCTGCCGACGCGACGATGCCATTTTTTTCCGATTAATTGTTAATCGCTAAAAGTTTTAAAAAATTAAAAAAAAAAAAAAAAAAGAACAAGTGGGAAAGAATTAGCAAGTTATAGTGTGATTACTTTTTCTTGAAAGTGTAAGGGAGTAAAAAGTGAAGGGGCCTCGATGTCCCCTCCATGGGCAAGGAAGAATATAGGCGTCAAAGAAGGCGGGAATTCCCGGGAAATGTTCTGACCAGGGTTTTCTTTGGCGGGATTTCGAGCAAAAGCAAATGGTGAGCAGCGTGAACTGCACATCCTTGTAGGCAATGAACCGTACGCTGATATTCATATTCTATTTAAATTTTCATTGAAACAAACAGGCTAAAAGTTGGACTGAGAATTAGGCCCACGGAAACGCAAATAAATGGGCCCTAGGGCACCTAAGTCAAGCCCAATATGACGTTAGCAGATCAAAACATCCGTACCAACGCAACAACCTAACCCTTGGCGTTAGCTGTACTCTACCCAGTACCCACCTCCGAGTCTCACTTACCAGCTGCCGCTACACCGCCGTTCCCCATCTTAAATTCTCCGAATTCAGCTTTCCTTTACTCCTCATTTCGGAATTACCTCCTTTTAATGGCGGTTAAATGTCTCTTTTTCTTCTTCATTTGATAATAGAGGAACTCTCAGGCTTGTTAACGATCTTACAGTTTTGCTCATGGCGGGCCAACCAGGGAGCTACTCATTCTCGAACAGAGAACAAGACTACGAGAAAAATCACGACGTCGATAAGAGCAAGAGTGCTTTCCCGTTTGTGGCTCTCTTCCCATGTTTAGTTTGCTTCATTCTACTCCTTATCATAGTCTCCATAATGCTAATAGTCAAATTCCATTTCTTTTGCCACATTCCGCTTCACTCCATTGTTTCGAAGAAAATTTGCTAGCCAATTCCGTTCGTGTTTAAACTTTTTTAACGCCAAATGATTGAGATTGTATCGGAGGGGTTTTCCTAGCGCATTCCAAGGTTCAGCAATAAAATTTCAGTTGGAAGATGTTGTTGATCAGTTCCATGATTTTGTGTTTTTGTCTTGATCATGAGGAAGTTGTCAGTACATGAACTTGTAAAGAAATGGTTACGATTTGGTAAAGGAAATTGGCTCAGCTGACCGATGGAGCACTACTTTTCTGACTCAAATTGGTTGCAATGATTTTTATTTCTTTGCAATCTTTTATAAATATTAGAAATTTTTTTTAATATTTATTTGTTTAATTAATATTTAATATTTAAAACTAAATTAAATATTATTTGTTTATTTAAATAATATTTATTTATGTTTTAATATATATTAATATAATTATATTTCATTATTTTTTAAAATTAATTATTATAAATTACATAATAAATATTATCTCATAATAATTATTTTTTCATAAAATTTTTTCTTTTTTTAATGTCTAATGTAAATAAAAAAAAAAGCAAATAACAAAAAAATATAAAGATAATAACAAAGTTAAATTCAACTCTACCCGTATTATTATATACCTTAATTAATCTCAAATCATTATTTTTAGTAAGTGTTAGTTGTTTAAAAATTTGAGCTTGAAAATCCAAATAAAAACTTTTAATTTAATAAGATAACTTTAATAAAATAATATTTATTTAAAAGTCAAATTTTTTGACAGAAAATAAAATGGTTTAACATGGATGACTTACTATGGCTTGCGAATAAAAATGAAATTTACTGCATGTTAATAATAAAATATTAATTTTCTATTAAATTTTTATATATAAATACATACTCGTGGGATCAGGAGCTTAAAATTAATTGTTTTTTATATTAAAGATGTTTAATGTAACAAAACTTTGGTATTTGCGGAAGCAAGGATAAGATTTATTAGGGACACTTGGCATAGAAAGAGTAAATTGATTGAAGGGTTGTTTTCTGACCTCGATGAATTTACTTTTATGTGCAATAAGTACTCGTGAAAACATATATATATATATATATATAGTAAAAGCATCCAAAAAATCCTTTTCATTTATTAGAGTATCCTCTATGATTCAATGGAGTAATGACCATATCTTCTGTCATTCAAATCTAACTTTTCCACCTTTTTAATGTTAAAAAAATAATCTCCTTTTTATCCTTTCGCTTTCAATGTATACATTGTTTTATATAAATCTCAATAAAAATTATGCAAGCTAAGTTTAAATCTTATGATATATCACATACAATAGGAGTTTCTATGTAATTTTAATGATTTTGTAGCATAAATTCAATTTATTAGTCTATTTAATACAAGATAATCTTTTTTCATAAAAAAAAACACGTGTTAATTATGTATAACATGTTTATATTGTTATACGTTAATATTTGTAATTTTATAAAAAATAAATAATTAACACGTGTAAATTTAATATAAAAGTTTCTCTATACTAAAAATTTTTTTAATGAAGATAATAAATTTTAACAAACATGATAAAATTACTCTAACATGTAAATTAAAATGTTGTCGTGCATGAAAAATGCATAGCTAATTTTTCCATAAATTAAAGAATCAAAATTTCACTTAATATCACTATATATTTTTTTAGATACAATACCACTATATTTATTCATTGTAACATGATGAGGAGTAGTCCATGCCTCCATGGTACAAAATAAAGATGAATAATAATAATAATAATAAAAAAAGCTAGTAATACTACTAAATCTTTTACAATATCTACAAATTTACCATGTGCTGGTATGCTTGTTTTGAGAAGATAAAGAAAAAGGCTAAAATCTAAATGCACAATTTGCATGAAGCCAACGTACCTTTTGCTCCTTTTGTCCAACGCTAGTCTCTCTTCAACATCCCGACATTGTTTCCAACAACAAATAGACATAAAATAAAAAAGAAACACACCAGACAGAAGAAGAAGAAGTCATAAATATATCATACGTCTCATCATCCTTTGACGGCACTCATCTCTCAGGTCCTCTTTTCCTCCCAATTTCTCATTCTTTAATTCTCAATGTATATGTTTTTTTTTTTTTTTTATGAGCATATATATATGCATGATTTTAATTATTGAAGGTTCAAAGTGCAATTTTCACTGTGATTAGTTGAATGCAGTATTGCTCTTAACCCAAAAGGAAGTAACATATCAGCTAAAAGCGGAATTAATTTCTTGAAAGCAAATGGTTCTTAGGATTAAAACATAAAATATATAGTATACTCTTTCACTAGATTTTAACCTTTCTCCGTTTACGCTTCTTTTTTAATTCCTTAATTGCAAAATTTTGCATATCCTCTGCCTAGCTAGTTTGATTAATTTGATTCAGAAAATAAATTTTCATTTGATTCAATTTCCATGGGGCAATTAATTTTTTTTTAATTAAGATAATTTTTTTCCTTTTATTCAAGTTAATGATTCAATTTCCATGGGGCGATTAAATTTTTTTAAAAATTAAGATAGATATTTTTTTTTTTTATTCAAGTTAAACCCAAATATTTTCTTTTATCAAAATAAGATTTTTTTTTTCAGACAAAAAAAGCAGTAGAAAATAAGTCCAATTCCAAAATAAACGTGGACATTTGAGATTTTTATCCGAAAGCACAAGGTTAAATGTGGGATTATGTGAAAAGATTCTACGTAAAAAAAAAAAAAAGAGCATTTCATCTTACTTAAAACCTATTACGTGCGATACAAGGTATCGCATAGGTGAAATTTTATTTTTTTATGTTTATAAATATTTCATTTTATTCAGATTTTTTCTCTTATTATATTATCGGGCCTTGGGTTTGAGACTGAATTTCAAAAGTTTTTGAGTTAATTGAGCTTTAATTTCACAATTAAGATTCAAAGTCCAAACAATTAAAAAGCCTAAAGCGTTTTCGTTTATTTTTTTATTTTTCACTTTTATTAGTTTTTTTTTTTATTTTAATTTGATAAAATTAAAAATGACAACGAAGAAGATTATTTTTTATATAATAAAATCGTAATCATGACTCAAAATAAATTTAATAATTTTAATTAATATAATATTTATAAATATTATTTTAATATAATTTATATTTTAATTATATATAAATATAATAATTTTATTAAATTAAAATTTTAAATAATAAATTTATTAATTAATAATATATATAATTTAATAAATAATAAAAATATTTATTCATACCACATCAGTATTATCTAAATCCTGACTTCAACTCAAACCCAATTTAAAAAAAAAAAACCTATAAGTTTGAGTTAAACCGACGGTTTCGAGTAAATTTAAGAAAAAGTAATAAAATAAAAAAAGATAAAATAGGGAAAACAGTGGGATTTCTCGTCATGATTTGGTAGGTTTTTTTCAAAGATTTGAAAACATTTAATTGTGCTTGAATTAGGAAAGAGTTGGGCACCAATCTTTTAGAGTAGGGAAAAAAATTTAGAAAAATCAAAATCGGATCTCGACAGATTCGATTAAGTAAAGATTTTCCTACTAATTCTGGGATTTGAATCCTTAAAAGATAGTCTGGCAGCAAGTACGAGAGAAACAACAAAAATCGAGCATACACCCAGACAAACCCGAACCCAAAAATAAGAACCCATTCACAATCACAAGCACAAGCAGTCAGAAACAATCGATACATAGACAGAAAATTCCCAATGTTCAAACCCAGAAAATCCAGAAAAAAACTAGGAACACAGACAACACAGTCCCAGAATCCACAATATACAACTCAGAAGCAATCTCAAACAAATTAAATAAACTTTAGAAGTGAGTTGAATTTTTCGGTTTCGAGTTGGCCATTTTCCTTGTGTTTCTAGATGTTTCAAGATTAAAGGAACAAGGAAATGGTGGCTAAACTTGGCTGAGACTTCAGGCAGAGAAGGGAAAACAGCACCGCTAATGTGAAAGGTGGAAAGAGAAGACGAAAAAAGGGTGCGACAGAAAAAGGATTTTTCTTTGCATTTGGGGTTAATAGTGTTTTTTAGGATTTTCTGAAGTTTACAAACTAAGAAAAGGGGCTAGAGGAATAGGGTTCTTCTTAGGTGTTGTTTAAGCAGTGGAAAGAGGCCATAACAGTATTAGTCCAAGTTTTATTTAGGCTTAAATCGATGGAATTTTAAAAGGATTTGGAAAAATCTGAATTGAGAAAAGGTAAGAAAGGACATGAGGATTCGAAAAACAGTTCTGTTTTGGGTTTCCATCGTCGTTAGACAGCGGCGAACGATGGAGTAGGCAGCGGTCTTTAGCCGGGTTCTAGATACATTCGATGGTGTTCTTGGCCGAGAAATTAAGAGCGAAATGAGAGAATTTGAAGACTAGAGAGAGAAACAAAAAATGAAAATTTTAGTCGAAGGCTGATTTTTTGGCTTTTAAATAATCAAACAAAACGGTGCCCTTCTTGCACCAGACAAATCCGAACCCGCATAGGGGAGATCCGCACCTACATCGAGAAATCCCGACCCGTTTGTAAGCTTTCCTTTTTTATTTTTTAGTTTTTTATTATTCTATTTTTTATTTTTTTTGTCATAATTCTGGTTTTTTATAATAAATTTTTTTATGAAAAATCATATTGTAAAAGAAAATTTTAAAAAAATTTTATGTAAATTCTGATGCTGTAAATTTTGAAAATTTTTAAATATTTTTGTATAATTAATTTAAATTTAATATTTGTAAATAAATAATTTATCTATCATAAAATATTTAATAAATTTGACAATGAAACTTTTTTAAAATAATGAAACCCTTTTAAGGTAAGAAATTCTTTTTTATGAAAATTTAAATTTTTTTTCAATATTTAAATATTGTAATTAGTAAAATAAGTAATAAAAGTTATTTGAATTAAAAGCTTATATAAGATAATATAAGATTAATTTGATACCAATTTTTAGATTTTGTAAGGGTATTAAAATATTTTTAATATGTAATTGACTCTCGAAGCTAATTCTGTTAGTGTAGATTATAACACTTTTTTTTTTTATAAATCCTTTATTCAAGTTTAAAATAATTTTAAAAAAATAAATTTATATAAGTAGCTAATTTACCTAGATAACAAATATTAACGATAATTCTATACTTTTTGTGTTAATAGTTTAGTTCTCACACTTAGACACTAAACAATGTTATTAAGATGTGTTTGGTGCATAAAATTATGATGAGATATGATAAGTTGATATTATGAATAAGATTATATTAAATAATTTCATTTTATTTTGTATTTGATATGTACAAAAATTATGATAGGATAATTTATTTATTAGTTAATATTATATTTTCTCAAAGTTTATATAATTTTTAAAAATATAATAAGACATGTTAGTTTAACATAATGAATTAAAAATAATCCTCTATATTTTGAGATGATTGATTTATTTTATACCAAGATGATGGTTAATCCTTATTACAATCTTATATCTTTATTTAGATATAAATTAATTATCATAATATCTTATTTATCATCATATACATCAAATATGACTTTAATTTATAATATAAATATTTTTATATTCAATTAAAGAATATTAAATTATAAATTTATAAATAAAACGATACTTTTTATAGTTCTGAATATTATTTATATAGTTTAAATAAAAATATTTTATGTATTGAGTAATAAATGAAAGTATTTGTTTATTATTTCAAATTTCATTCATAAGTTTTTGTTAGTAAAATATAATGGCCTTTATTTATTATTTTTAAAAAGGTAATACCACTCAAAGTTTAAATTGAAAATTTAAATAAATAAAATATGAAGCAAATAAAAAATTATTTGAACAAGAAAACAAAGTATAAGTATAGATTATTGAACATAATAGAAAAGAATATAACATAATCATTATGTATAGCACTAAATGGAAGAAGTAACTAAAAAATCTTGAATAAAAAAAAAAACATTTATGGGTTATGTAATGAATATAACAAAATAAAATATAATGTTTACTTTGAATATTACATAAATCTTAAGTATTTTAACATATAAAGTGAAATTAAAATTAAAATATTAAAAAGATATTTAATACCTTATATTCAAATTATATCAAAATCAATATATATATATATACAAGTACGGAAGAACTAATCCCAACTCATATTTATAGTGTTGAAGCAAAAATTATATAATTACAAGTATGGAGGAACTAATCCCAACTCCTAGTTTAGGAAACCATTTAATTAGTTATTTTAAACAACGCATATTTATAGTGTTGAAGCATGATATTAAAAATTAAGAGTTTTAAGCTTTTAAAATTAAATGTAATTAATTTAATCAAAATTAAATCAAATTTTATATAAATATATAAAAATAAAATATTTTGATTAAAAAAAAAATCCAACGTAGATATTATTTTTTTAACATGTGAACGATTTAAGCGATGATCATGTGTTATGCATTTAACTTGTTTTTTACTTATTTTATATTCACCATTTTGATTATATTTTTTCTTTGATTGATTACTCAAAAACAGTAAAATTAATTAAACACCCATATTACATGCTCAAAAAGGGACGACATTATATTTTATTGATAGTCAATCATTAGGTTTTTAGCTGGTCCATCTCTTGAAATTTGGCAAGTTAATATTACACCTAATTAATCTAAAAAAATTTAACTTAATTTTCAACATTAAATTATATGCATTTATTTATAATATATTCACTTTTCAACATTTTAAAATTTGATCATAATTCACGAAATAAACTTTTATTCGCAATAAATGGCCCGATTTATTATATTTATAAATACACTTTTAAAAGCTCTATATATTATTCTATATATGTTAGTATATCTCAACAAATTTAGTTTTATTTTAATTACTAAAGAAAATATTACGTGAGTACTTCTTTTTAATTTTACCTTTTTTAGATTTTAAATTAATATTTTTTATTGGTTACGAAAATGCATGCATGGTATCTATTCCATATATATATATTATTTATTTTAATATTAAAATATTTATCTATAATATGTATTTTAGAATATTGCTCTACAAGGTTTTCAAGTTTTCGATTATATATATATATATATAGATATAGATTTTTGAACTTTAGTTGTATACATTAGCATTTTTTTCTAATTAATATAAGTGAATGCTTATTAAAAATGAATGACTTCCAATTTAAAATATTTTCTTCCAATAAAAACTCCTAATTTGATGACTTCAATGTCTTATTTGATGAAACTGAGTGGCTTAAAATTGATTATGCCAGTTAAGACTTAATTTTATATTAATAAATTTGATTATAGGATATTCTTTAAAAGATTTTACTTCCTTATATAAGTAATTTTCCTTTTATTTATAGTCAAACTCTTCGTGATATTCAAAATGGAAAACATTGGCTGCCTTTAAACTTTATATTTTTAAAGGAAAACTTTATCATTTTTTAGATTGCTTTTAAATTCAAAAAAGAAAAAAGAAAATCCTAACATTAAAGTATATTTCTCTAAACTTTTTTTTTTTTTTGCAAAGCTTTGATTTTTATATATTTATATAATATATATAAGATTAACCAAAGAGAGAAAGAAATCTAAGCTAAAAAAAAAAAAAATCCTATTTTGCGTATATAAGTGTCGGAAAAGAAAAAAAAAAGAAGAAAATTTTACAAGTAGTTGTGATATATTTTTCTGAAACTAGTAAAAGTGATGTTTTATTCAAGATTATGCAAGTATAAATATTCTGTAAAAGTTCGACGTGGATTTGCTTGTTACCCAATTCACTCATCGATTCCTTTTCATTATGCAGAATTTGTGAATATATAGCCGCTTCGTCTCGAAAATCTAATGAAGCTTAGCACATTGATAGCGGCACGACCTATTTTTGTCTTTATAGTTCTGGTAATCTCTACATCCTAAGTTCTTCAGTGTCATATTCATCATGTATCATGTACGTGATCTTCTCCATTTTTTTTTCATATTGCATTGTTAGTATGGCAGTCTTCTCCATCATTGATGCTTGAATTCGATATAGTTTTTCCAGTAGATATGTGTCTTCAACTTGTGGTAAAAAAAAAGAACATTTTGAAGAATCTATACAATAAGTCTCCAATGCAGGCATTGCTGGTATTGCTGCTTCCAAGTTTAGTGATCTCATGTTGGTATAAAATAACCAGACGAATTGAAGAAAATGTGGATTTGAACACCCATAACTTGAATTCTGGACTGCTATCTGAAATTGAGAACCTAGCAAAATCGGTACACCCATTAAATTCATCTGCTACAGGTTTAGCAAGATTTTTTAGTTTGTCCATCAACCAAAGTGATGCGATCTCATTCAATGAGATCGAGACTAAGGTATAGCATCCATCTGCATCTTTCTTGATATCAAAAACTTTGTTAATTATTGGTAACGAAAATATGTATATATACAAATAACATAAATTGATTATTATTGCAGGTGGCTCCTATATTATTTCAAGCATTTTCAACAATTCCTTACATATCACAAATTTCATATGTTGGATTAGACGGTCTCCTGTTTTCCTACTATATTGATGGCAATCAAACTCTATCAGCGTACGCTAACTCTTCATTTCCTTTGAATTTGGATCCTCTGAAAGAACGAAAGAAGTATGTTTGGTACAAGCAACCAGTGGATGATTACTCAGGAAAGGTCAATGGAGAAGCTGTTAAATCCCATTCCTTCAATGCTGTCAATACAAGCTGGTTTCAAGCAGCATTGAATGATTCGTGGGGATATTCTTCTGTAGAAAATGGATGGAATAGTGCTGGCGATCCTTTGTTTCTTAACAGTGCTGGCATATATGGAAGAGGTGTTGTTTCCTTGGGATTTCCAGTTAAAAGATTAGCTGATATCTTTGCTGATATAGATCTTTATGGTGGAACCTTAAGCATGGCTACAATGGATGGAAAAATGCTGGTAGATGGAATTCCAAACACTAGATTAACCTCTGTCAATAATTCCATTTCCTTACAGTTAATGAAGCCAAATGGTGTTCAGAATTTTTCATTAACGCCTAGAAGTGGCATATCAGCAACCTATATTGTGGACATTGGGGAAAAACAGTACGGTATTCATTATTCGCTGGTTGAAATCTCAGGAGTGCAATCGGTAAATTCCAACTATTCATAGATAATATAATTAAGAAATATAAATCGGTGGCAGACTTTTAGTAGAAAATTCATTTTCTTTTTCATGAACTTTTAACCTAACAGACTTATCTTCAATAAAATTTGTCCAAGAGTTGCATATTTATTTGATAGTAAACACATGTTGTGGACAAATATATACTTTTAAGTACTGTCAGATTATGCTTGACGTCGAGTTCAGTTTCTTGCTCTTGTAATTTCAAAATATTTCAGAGTTCAGACCCTACTAATGAGCAAAACAACACTTCATCTTGTCTAGTTTTTAACAATTTTTACTTTGGTTTCAGGTATATGTATTGGCTTTACCTCGTAAAGATTTGACAAACCTAGTTCACTGGAAGAGCAAGCTTTCTCTCATTCTTCTAGCAGTAATGATAGTCATGGTGGTAATCTCCATTCTTAGTTTTGTACTCTTAATGGTTAGAACGGCTGAAAGGGAGATGTGCCTGCATGCTAAGCTCATTAAACAAATGGAAGCAACTCAACAAGCTGAGAGAAAAAGTATGAACAAAAGCCTTGCCTTGGCTGGTGCCAGCCATGATATTCGTGCATCATTGGCAGGCATAACTGGTTTTATAGATTTATGCCTTACAGATGCAGCTCCTCGTTCTGATTTTGAGGGATATTTAAAACAAATGAGTAGCTGTGCACAGGATCTATTAGGTAATTCAGTTGGCTTTCACTGGAAATCTCTACTTCACATAAACTTTTATATTTGTTTTCAAACTTCTTAGTGCAACTTTTTCGCCTAATTAGTTCAATTCACTCAAAAATTTTCAGGTTTACTGAATTCTATACTTGATACAAGCAAAATTGAAGCTGGCATGATGAATTTGGAAGAAGAAGAATTCAATTTGGCTGAACTACTTGAAAATGTAGTTGATTTGTATCATCCTGTGGGTATGAAAAAGGGTGTAGATGTTGTTTTGGACCCTTGTGATGGATCCATCATAAAGTATTCAAAAGTGAAAGGTGACAGAGGAAAACTCATGCAAATATTAAGCAATTTACTAAGCAATGCCATTAAATTTACTCCTGAAGGACATGTATCTCTCAGAGCTTGGGTCCAAAAGCCTAATTTTGAAAGTGCAATACTTGCTTCTGGCCGAAATGGTTTACACAAGTATTTGTCCTGCTTGTTTTACAACAACAATGAAGCCCGCAGTGACATGGAAGTGATAAGTGCTGTTAGACAGAATCCTAATTCCATGGAATTTGTGTTCGAGGTGGATGATACAGGTAAAGGGATTCCCAAAGAGAAGCAACAATCTGTCTTTGAAAACTTTGTTCAGGTCAAAGAAACAGCTGCTGGACAAGTAGGCACTGGCTTAGGCCTTGGTATTGTTCAATCTTTGGTAAGTCACACATTCTAGCACAAACAATAACAGTTCCTTGCTTTTAAAGCAATTCATATGTTTAGCACGAAATCATACAAGTATCTTTACATGAAGAACCGTGTTGCAGTAGTTGGAAGTTCAACCAGAGTCTTGGAGATTTTGATAATACTTAAGACTTTGTCGCACTTTTTAACTTTTTTGAAATTGTTTTGATTACTAATTCAGCTCTATTTTAAACTTTTGTTAGGTACGTCTAATGGGTGGAGAGATCGGAATTGTTGATAAAGAGATTGGTGAAAAGGGGAGTTGCTTCAGATTTAATGTTTTCCTCACTACATGTGAGACTTCCTCCATCAACAATACAAAATGGGAAAAGGAGTCTCAACGTGATCCCGTGTCTGGCGGCACACAAAAATATTCGGGGTTGACCATCCACACTCCAAGTCCTAGCTTGACCATTCGAACTTCTAGTCCCAAACTCACCATTCGTACTTCTAGTCCCAAGTTGGAGGGATCTCAAGTTGTTCTCTTGATGCAAAATGAAGAGCGGCGAAGAATTTCACAAAAATTTATGGAGAGTCTTGGGATAAGTGTATTGGTTGTAGATCAATGCCACTGTCTTCCTTCTGCACTGAATAAGATAAAATCCAAGCTAATTTCCTCTCACCATTCTTCAAGGAGATTAGATTTGAGTTCTAGAAGTGACATTTCTAGTACAAGTTCCAAGGATATGCCTCTAAGTGCCATGGACGGGACAGAGCACAAATTACCTTTCAACAGACGCAGAGGTGCACCAAGCTTCATACTACTTGTGATTGATGTCAATGCAGGACCATTTTCAGACATCTTGAGGGTTGTGGCTGAATTTCGAAGAGGCCTTCACAGTATATGTTGTAAGGTTGTTTGGTTAGACAAACCAACTTCACGTAGCATAAATTTTACAAGTCTCGATCCTGGGGATGAAATTCTGTTACAACCTTTTCATGGTTCTCGATTGTGTCAAGTCATTAAACTTCTTCCAGAATTTGGAGGTACCTTGTCTCAGGGAATTTCGGCTAATCTAGAAAATTCATCACCTACGAAGCATTCTTCTATCAGGGCAAGATCAAGAAATTCTCCACATAATAAAGAGACACAAGAAGATGGTAGCTCAAGTGATGAACGATATAGGAAGAAAGACTTCTCGTATGCTCCAGTTCAAACTCATGTGAAGTTGAACTCAAAAATTTCTTCAATTCATCAACTTGGACAGACTGAAATAAAAAATGATAGTGCCGAGTCAAGTACGGAGAAGCCCTTGAGTGGGAAAAGAATCCTGATTGCCGAGGATAACAAAATGCTAAGCTATGTTGCTGCAGCTACCGTTAGACAGCTTGGTGCTAATGTTGAGCAGTGTGAAAATGGAAAGGATGCTTTGGAACTAGTTTGCAATGGTCTTAAAGATCAGACAAACGATGAAGGTCATCATATTCTTCCTTACGACTATATATTAATGGATTGTCAGGTAATGTATATGATTTCTCACTGCTGGATAGCTTTTATGCCTGGTAATAATTGGACAAATATTGTAGTTTGAGCTTCACCATTCCCTGATATTCTAATGGACTTTGCTCTTTTGGTGTGTGTTTTTTTGATAGATGTCACCGATGGATGGATATGAAGCAACGAGACAGATAAGAAACGAGGAGGAACATTACGGTGTTCACATCCCAATCATCGCGTTAACTGCTCATACATCAGGCGTGGAGGTAGAGGAAACAATTAGATCTGGAATGGATGCTCATCTGGGTAAACCTTTGAAGCCAAAAGAACTGATGCAAGCCATTAAAAATATCCAGAAAAAGAACATTGTTTGACTGATCTCCTGATTTCTATGTTAGGTTTGCACAGTATGTATCAAAACATATGGGCAGTAAATTCTATAAGTTAGTAAAATTAGAAAATACAAATATGTTTTAAATGAATTTATTGAGTGCAGAAACAGTAGAGATAATTATTTGAATCATTTTATGCCTTAAAATAATACCTTTGTCAGTGTCCAATAATGCCTAAAAATTGTTTGTTTTACAAAATTGGACTGAAAAAAGAAAAGAAAAAAAAGGCTATCTATACAGTTTCCTGCAACCTTGACAATGTCTTTGTAAACCAGTCTGATAGGCGCCTCATCTTGGAAGATAGGTGACCACTTAAATAACTCTCTGCATTTGAAAGCATTATGTTTATGTCATGCTTCACTGCTTCCAAGGTTCGATAATAGTTGTTCTCTAACCTAAGCCGGATCAATTCGGGATATACTGGAACAGCGAACCTGTGAGAATTCCAAAATTGTATTTATGTTTCAGTTGCCTACTGTAGTGTGATTCTATATCAAAACAAAATATATAACATCAATTATCTGTCTGTTTTGGCACAAAGAGTGCAATATAATAATGCACTCAAGTTATCAAAAGAATGGTATACTCCTCAGTCGCACCCATTACATTTCTCTCATTGATTAGTTGCAGGCAATAATAAAATGCAGGCGCTTATTAAAGCAAACAAATAGCATTAAACAGTGTCTAGAGAAGTTTTAGATATTCTAAATACCAGAAAATCACTGATCTTTCCTGTTTTCCTAATTAAACAGATTTAAAATAGTGCATAAACCAAAACAGGTAGGTTTAAAAAAATATATATGATTTAATGTGAAGAAAGATATAAATGGAAATATTTCCAAAACAAGTGGTAACTTAAGTGCATGAAGGGAAAAGAAATATGATGAGGGTAGTTTTGGAATGGGGATTTAAACCTGTTAAGGAATTCTGATTTCTGGGCAGCTTCATTCAGTTGCTGAAATCCATAAAATTCCTGCAACATTTAAAATGCAGGGAGAAAAAAAAAAAAATCAACACCCTATAGAAATCCGTTCTCTTCTACATTTAAAACAAAATTGTTATATGCAAATTCCTTCAGAACTTTGAGGAAAATAAATAAGTAGTTACTAGAAAAGAACCTGATTTCTGCCAACTGAACGCTCCAATTTAGCAAAAGAAGACAGTAGCTTATCCCTGATTTCAGAATCAATATGTGGGTTTTCCCATGGAAAGTTAGGATCATGCAGTTCCCAAGCACTGTGCCGAAACTTGCAGCCATCCTTGTAAATAACTTCATATCTTTCCCAAGGACTATCAGGGAAATCCATAGATTTGGCTCCGAAGCAACAATTCTACCATCCCACCAACTACCACCCTCTCCATTATCGTTCTTCCACCATACTAGGCATTTATCCCTACGGGTCCATTCTCTCCTTATTGCAGCATCATATCTTGTCTTCTCAGTTAGAAAATCAGGAAAACCTATCAACTCAGGCAGGGTCAATATGAATGCATCACCAAATGCACGTGATGAATTATCTGCAAATCTAAGTGTGATTTTACAGCAACTCTCTCCAGAACCTGGAAAGTGGGAATAAGCAAGGTTTTCAACCCTGCAAATTTCCACCGCACTCAGGTATCCCCTAGAGCTCCATGGACCAGCCCCCCTTAAGCAACCTGATTCAATGCACTCTTCATGCCCCTGCAAAAGAACAAATACCTATTAGGAGTTGTGATAAATAGTAATTATTGAGTTTGTACAGAGAAAAATCCAGAGCTAGCATGGCATACTTGTCTGAAATATACAATTTCATCACCCAGCTGGGGTATGTAATGATAACCCTCCTCCTGCTCTGACAGCATCAACCATGATAATTTTCTAACAGGATTTGATTTCCTTCCACTTGAAAATTTTAAGTTACTGTGATGATCTCCACCCCGCTTAGATCTGGTGGATCTTGATCTCTCTCCAACTTTGGAACTTGACGTCCATTCTTCAGATACAATGCCATTGTATTCTTTCACAGAGAAGTTTTCATCATTTGCTGATGTCCCTGCTAATGCACGCTCTACTCTTACCTTAGAGTTATGGATCCAAGCATTCTGCTCCTGTGAAGTTGCCTTCATCTTCATGGGTCGTGTTTTACGAACAGCACCAGATGCTGCTTCGGTGAAAACAATTTCTGAATCATGATCATTGATGGCATTTAAACCTATAGAATCATTTGTGTCCTTATATTGGTTTACCCGGTTATTCACATTTAACTTTAAACCAGAGTACAACAATTGCAGAGAACTTGATCTGTCTGAACCTTCGTGTCTTTCTTGCATGCTGTACTCCAGATTGTAATCTACAGACAAAGTGTTTCTGGACCTCACATCACCTCCACTGCAGGTTCGATCGTTCTCTGCAGTGAGGGATTTTAGTTTGGAAGGACTTCCAAGGTCCCCTGAAATTGCTTTTGTCCTTATTCTTAATTTCACTAATTTGTGTGGAGTAATCTCTTCTGATTCATGAGATTGGTTTATACCACCAACCTGATCTGTTAGTGATGTGTCATGAGTTCCATATTTATCACAGCTAGACCATTCTATATCTCCCTTTTTGAGACTAACATTACGATGGGATGCGGAAGCAGTACCGTTCTGTTGATGGTCACCTAGAGACAGTAACTCAGATGTTAAAGACTTGTGCACCTCATCAGGAGCAAACTCTTCCATTGTCACTCTCTCCAGATCTTTTAATGCATGAATCGCTAACTGTCCCTCTTCCCTGCAAGATAAAACATATCCATAAATATGGATTTTTATATTAGAAATAAAAATTCCAATTCATTCTAGATTTAATGTACCCATTGACAGCTGTAATCCTGTTTTCATTGGGGACGTCAGTTGGCACCAAATCTCCTGATCTTGAACACTCGGATGTCCGAATTTTAACCTCCCCCCATCTGATTTTGTTCTCCTTGTTCCCCACAAAATTCTCTAAATAATCCTCATTATTTATAGATTGCCTTGTATCATCCAGATCAATCCTGTTATGGTCAGAGAGCTCCGCATCTGCAGTGGGTAAGCCAGGATCTTTGATGCAGGCATTTCCATTCTCATCAAAAGTTCCTCGAGGTCTAGATGAATGGTCCAGTAAATTGATCTGATTGCCACTGTTCAATATTGTGGCCTCTGAGGCATGTGATTTCCTAGAATCACGTAATGAGAACTTTAAGACCAATCTCTTCCTGTTCACAATATTTGATTAGATTTGGGGAGTTCATGAGACCACACTACATCCTCAGATTGTTGTTCCTCTTTCATGGACTTCAGTTGTATGTTGTCCATGTTTCTGTCAATTTCACTGCTTTCAATACTTGAATCTTGAGACGATAACTCACTATTAGATGAATCACCTTCTGATTCTACTTCATCATTTCCATCTGTAGATGACCCAGTGATTCTAGACATCATGCTTCGAGCATTGCGCACAATTCCTTGAGGTCTCAATGACTATCTTTTGGAAGACTTTCTCTTTGAAGCTTTTCCGCCACTTTTTGATTTTTTAGTCCTACTGGTTCCAGATATAGAGCCATCATGCTCATCCAAATATTTCTTTTTAACTCGCCTCCCAGATGAAGTCTTCAACTCAGCCTGAAAATGATAAAATATAGTTTGAACATGGTCCAACCAATAATGAAAACTTGTAGAAGGCTAATGCCACTTACTTCAGAGTTATATTTTCTTCTTCGTGATCTGTGAAGGCCATCTTTTTTATTGCGTTCAACCTCACTGTCATCTTCACTGCTCTCAGTGCCTCTAGAAGAGCTGGAGCACAATGCCCCCTGTTCACCTTCTGTAGAACATTCCTCAGCAACATTGAACTCCGAATCAGTGTCATCACCGATAACTTCATTTTCAGGTTCCCAATACATAGCATCTATAAAATCCAGTGGTGGTTCCATCGCTCTTTCCAAATCTTCCAAGGGTGGCATTTCAAAATCCTGGCCAAAACTGATATCCGGGCCAATAGCAAACTTTGTGGTAGATGGATGCCACTCAATGCCCAGCGCACCAAGTCGCCGCTTCTGGTACATACTCTGATAAGGTTCTGGATACGGAATCATGCCTGGAATTTCCCATCAATATCATTAGCTAAACTATATCAGAATAACATGCTAAACGATCACAAAAGCAGGAGTTGTAGTCATACTGGCATTGCAAATAAGATCTTGCATGTTCCTACGATGCGGAGTAAACTGTGTCTCCTACACCAAAGTTAAATGAATTGCATATCAGTTGCAAACTGATGCACAAACATTTCACTGAAACAAGAATAATGCTTCAATTCTCTTGCGGTCATCTGTGTTTTTTGGTGCAATGTGCATTGATACTTTCTGGACTGACAAATCCAATATGAAATCTACCGCAGATTAGTTTAAAATGGAGTTGCAACATACCTGATCAAGAGCATTTCCAGCAGAATCCCAAATAAGGGGGCGATAGTCCCCAAGAAAGAACTGCCAGAAAAGCAGAGACATGATACCTCATAAAGCAATTGCATGACACCAGCTTATATTATGAGGAGAGAAGGGAAAAGGAGAAAAGATAAATAACTAATAAATGAAGATAAAAGGGGGATTTAGGCTCCAGAAGCAAAAATTTCAGGTACCTGATCATACTTGGCATCCTTTTGAGACTCACCCTGGCCAGTGTTAAGCAAATATATCTGCCCAACTTCATCTGAAAGTACAATTGATGTCCCATCCCTATTAACAAAAAAGAAGAATATTACAGCCTCTTCACAAGAACAATTCTTAAGATTTAATAAAATAGTTCAGATTTGAAATGCATATAACAATAATTACAAAAATAAATTTCTAATAAAACAGTTTCTGGAAAAAGCTACAAATATACACCACCCAACATAGACAACTTAATAAAGCATTCTTGGTTAGCTTCTTGTTATTCAAAATTCTAAGCACATGTGTGCAGCTCCCTCGCAAGGGACAATTATCAAAGTCAAAAGTTAGGCATACCTCATAAAATTCATGATTTAACATTTAGATGCTCCACAACCTTTTCAATAAAACATCATGGTTGAGAAACCAAAACTAGACTAGAACAGCTGGAATATCATGCTAAGAAAGCTAGAACAGCCTACAATGCAATGAGGCAGAGCATATATAATCCAAAATTTGCATACGGTAAAAGATTGTGTGAAAAAAAGCACAGAATCCAGCAAAGATACTCTCTGAAAAATTAAGCATCTGACGTGAATACAAGTACTTCAGCTGAGCCTTCATATAGAAGCTTAACATGACCTTTTATATCATATCAACAGTCCCATATAGCCAAAACGTCAAAACAATAAACAGTAACTAGTTGATTTGATCATATAAACCAAGTTTGACGAGAATATATGCAGTCAAGGATCATAAAATGGATGAACACTAACAAAACTATGGAATGTTATAGGGATAAAATTAATTGTACGGCTAGGAAGGATCAAGGTAATAATCCTTGTCTTGACATATGAACTTTTTCAGAATAGTAAAAAGGGTATAACTCATCTTTCTAACTAAAGAAAGCAAAGAAAAGAAGTTAAAGGGTTAACACTTTTAACTTACGGAGAAAACTTCCCATCAACCAACTTGAAGCGACCAATTTCATATATCCGGATGGGTATGCCCTCCCATATCTGGAAATATAGTTCCCAAAGAACTCAAAAAACATCAACACTTGCACAAAATAATAAATAAACAAATAAGTTGGCAGTTTCAGAAAAGTCAACAGATCAGCAAGAACAAGAAACTCACATCCCAAACTATTGTTTTTCCATCATATCCAGCACTCATCGCAATTCGAGGGTTGAAAGGATGGACATCCAAAACATAAGACTACCAAAAACTCAACACCAAAGTGAGGAACTGAATTAAAATGACAAATTCTTTCCATCACGATAACAAGAAGTTGACAAGCAAATGGATGTCTGGAAACACCATGCATCAAACATGTAAAGCACTATCAGAACAAACCAAATAATATTAATTGCATCAAATTTATCTTAAATCAAGTAAACAAGAACATCATGTTAATTGAGAATATTTTTATAGTAAAGTTCCGATTAAGCAAATGAAGTTCATTCAAGCTATCGTCTGAATTAAAAAGAAAAATTAAAAACCTACTATCAAGTGCATTTAGAAAGAGGTGAACAACGCCAATGAGGAACAGTTCCTGTAACCTTGGAAGGAAATCAACTCTCTAAAATAGTTTGTCATGGTCAACTAGAAAAACTAAAGGACAAACAAACCAATACCATGATCACATGAATCAGTTGTGAAGGGCAGGAAAATGTTAGACACAACTTACGGATGCAACGTGACCAGTTAAAGAATGCACCAAGCTACCATCAACAGCATTCCAAACGCATATTCTGCAATCTGAATTAACAAAAAATAGTTGACATCCCCAATAAACTAAAGTAAAAATTTTAAAAAAGCTCCTTAAAAGAAGCAAAAACAACATTTCATCACAACCTCAAGGCAAAAACATAACCAGTAATGGTTTGGGGGGGGAGGGGGGAGAAAAAATGCAAATAACCTTTAACAATTACACAATGGTCTAAAGCTAAAGGAAATTTAACAACTAAAAAGAAACCACAGCCACTAGCTTTAAAAATTGTAACGATAGGATCCAGTTAACTAAAAAGCTGTATAACCGGATGAGGAAAAATGAAGGCTTTTATATGTTTAACATTCTAATATGAACATGGGATTCCAAGAAAAGTTTTACTGATGGAGAAAGGCGCAGGAAGCAAATCAAGATATGTAATAGCCTCTTATAATTTGCAAGTAAAGTCTATATACCAAAATTAGAATTTACACATAAATTACCAATATCCTGCAAAAAAGATAATAGCTAACTATAAGAACTTTCAAGGAAAAAAAATCTTGGCAATAGTAAAGCATCATTTATTCATAGAGTTAGTCAAATGCTTTGCACAAGATTAAGTTTTCCTTCTTCATTGTATTTTTTGCCTTTACAACTTTTCATGGTTACTTATAAAATGTTAAATCATAACTTGCTGAAAGCAGAAGAAGATTAACAGATGCCCTTTGAAACAGATTTTAGCAAAAAAGGTGTCAACTTTTGGAGGGTCACTTAAGATGCACTACAAAAGAAATTGCAAATTAATTATGCCAGTAAAGACAAAAATATACAGAGTAGGTTCCTACAAAAACAGAGCATAAATAAATGTAGTGGATAATGTTGTGACACCATTCATTACTAATAAAAATCAAAGTATAAACACTAAAGGACACCAATTACAGGATGCACATAAACCAACACAAGAAAAGTCATAATAGACAATTAGACATTTTAACTTAATGCAAAGTTTTAAATAAACTTTCATGTTTACAATCACTACTTTACCCATTATAGCTGCCCGAACAAAATGATTATCCAGGCTCCACACAATCATATTGACACCACGAGGACTTGGGAGAAATCTCTGACGTGGCCCGCCTCGAAGAGGTTGAGGAGGTAGTGGTGGAGGTGGAACTTTCAGATGATATGCCTTTGTCCGACGTCCAACTTTTCCCTATGAAAGGGGAAGGATTGTAAAAGGAATGAATCTTCATTTAGTTTATATCTATGTTGACCTTAATTAATTATCCAAAAAAAATGACTTTAATTACTTCACAACAAACTTCATGGAATTTAAGTGCAACATAACTCCAAAAAGATTTTCTTTTCATAAAAAAGAGGCATTTCTCACTTGAAGACATTGACTGGAACTTGACTTTAATTCAACAATAGAACTCACATGGGATCTGCGTGATCTGGGAATCCAGATGATTGCACTTCCATCACAAGAACAGGTAACAATGTTGTCCTGACAGAACCTAAAAACATTAAAATTTAAGGAACCGAATATCAGAAGGAAGACCACAATAATTAAACACGAAAACAATAAACAGAAGAAGAAAAAAAAGAACAAATGAAGAAAATCTTAAGTTACAGTATATCACATAACATAATAAGAAGATGTTACAGACCAGGAATTTTTAAATTTTGAAACATTGTCCTCCTTTGTAGTATCAGACATTGAGGATCTTGAAGGTACAGCACATCCACTGCAAACAAAAGCAGAAAGCTGCAATGATGTTTTGTTGAAAAGAAAAGGTAAAATAACAATAATAACAACATAGCTGACAATTCTAACTGACCAACCTAAACTGAACTTAGTTAACATCATTTTCATGGCCAGCCAAAACATCCAGCTCATGAACTGGTTGTTGTGAATCATGTGTACTGCGCTTACAGGCACTCCAGACCTGCAAGTATCTAGCTCTTATTAAAGAAATCTAAATGATATAGATCAATCAAAGTTAAATAAATTTAAGAGGATTATACGTGAACCAAAAATGCATTCGACAAGTGTTTAGACGCACCCTGGAAAAAGTGTCACAGCTACCTGTGACAAAAACTGTCCCATTGACATTGAATGCACAACATAATATTTGATGGTTTTGTGGAACATTACTTGAGGAAGGTCCATTATTAGATGGAAAATTGCTCCTCCCTGCAGAGAACTTATCAGTTGCAGTGTAAGTTCATATTATACAAGTACAACCATTAACAAAACAATCAAGAAGCGGTTCTCCAACCAGTAGCAGCTTCAGAAGGCTTGGGCAGGTATATGCATGGGCTATAATGTGAATATCTGGCATCCCAGATTTGGGAAGTCCCATCATCAGATGACCTACAAATGTTAACAGAGCAAATAACAAATCAATTATCAGCTGAAGTGCCATAAATTTACGATTTGCTGCCTTGCAGTCAAGTAATGATAGAATAAACTCTCAACATCAAAGCCACTAGATTGAAAGCTTTCAGAGAAAGCTTCTTAGAATTAGAAGAAGACCTAATAAGTAAATGCTTACACATGAAACAAACATAAATTAAACCTAAATGAAAGGCACTAGTATCATAGTAGATCAACTGACTGAGAGAGGCTACAACAGGAAACTGCAACTGCAGAAATGTGGCTCACGATAAAAGCTGGAAAGCAAAGGCAGGTCTGGGACTAAATGCAATGGCAGTTACAGCTCCAGTATGCCCTTGTAAAACTGAAACTGACAACCCATCTGGCAAGTGCCACTGTAGATCACAAAGAACGATTTAGTTACCGAAGAGTAGAAAGAGGAGCATCTACTAAAGCAATGTAAAGCATTCTTACAACTCGAATCACAAAATCATTTGATGCAGATGCCACCAAAATATTGTTTGAACTAACAGCCAGGTCCGCTATGTCACCCTATGTTGCAGGTAACAAGAAAATTACTTTAGCTAATATAGAGAAAGAAATAAAATATTACAGGCTACACTGAACTAATGATCAGGAATGTCAAGCATCAAATAGACAATGTGAACTCACTTCATGTCCACAGCAGCTGGCCAAGCAAAATGCAGTTTCCATAGACCAAATTTTGACAAGGCGATCATCTGAACCGGTAATAACATATCTCCCGGAGCAATCAAATATGGCTATAAGACACAAAAAATATTTGTTCATATCCATTATCTATTGACACTTGAGCAGTTGTACAAATTATGCACATGATCTCTACTGCACTTAATATAGAGTTTTATAAGGAGAATAGGAGGAGAAATGGAGTGACATTATTCCTTTTTTCTGGTTAGAAGAAAGGGTTGCTGTAAGCCTTTTCAATTATCTTAATAATAAAACCATATATTTAATTTACTATTTGATCCTTTGATGTTTTGATAATACAGATCTTCCAAATGGTGAACTAAGGTGTAAAAGTACATGGAGAAATTGACATGGCTTACAAAGAGTTTTTTCATAAAATAAAGTCACAAAATAATTATATAGGGGCCAAAATGGCAATATAAAGTAGGCGAAGTGGCAACCATAAACGAAAGATGATACTCAGCGAAATTGAGAGCACAACCAAAAAAACTGCAAGAACAATTTCATTGGTAATCGACAGCCATGTTATTACTCACACTGACACAACTCAAAGAGGCACTAGGTTATAAAAGAATGAAAACTATTCAACAAAATTTGAATTCAACTACTAAATTATTTCCCCTAGGTATTTAAAATACCTAAACCCTAATAAAACAAAGAAGACTAAATATAATCTTTAAAACCCTAAACTTTGAAAATAATATACCAAATATAATTTTTAAAACCCTACACTTCGAAAAAAAAAAAAAAGTAAAACCTATTAATATATAAAATAGCCTAACTAACTTAAGTCTATATAAAATCACAATTAAACTCATTAAATATAACAAAATTACAAAATATAATCTTTAGTTCAAGCATCTCCTTTCCACGCTGCATCAACCTCTCACTACATCTTTCTCATGTTCCAATCAGCAACATCAGTAAAAGAAAAAAAATGAATGGGTATCCTACCAAAAAAATAAAGAAGAAATGTAAATTCCAAAATTTGAGATAGACAATTTGAAGACAAAAAAATTGGTTAAACAGCTTTCATTTGCATCATATTTCATCATTGTTTAAGAAAAGAACTCTTATGCATTACCAGATTATCAGGAAATTGACTACAACAACATTTTTACTAATGCTGTCAAACTCCAAAGGTTTCTTTAGATGCTAACAATACCGTACAAGGAACATCTACAGGAATAAAATTCCCCAAAAAGCAGATCCTAACTGTAAGTTCAGTTGATCATACCACAATAGACAGCATTCTGATGTCCCCTCAACTTCTTTATATTCTGCATCTTTTGCACCATGGTAGATGGTTTAACAATAGCATAGCATGCAGAGCGAACAGAGGGAGCTCGGTGGTGCTTCCCAAAACCTCCCCCAATTTCTCTTATACTTAGCCCCCGAACTTGATCAGCTTGCATATGAGGCCAATGCAGATAGGCAGGTATAGGCTTCCCCTGCCTGTTTTTGACAGTCCTTTCAGCTGCATAACAGAAAGGTAAAAGTTGACAAATAAGAAGACATACTATGCAAACATCTAAGGACATAACTCAAGGAACAGAAACACATTGATAAAGCGGTACTTTGATCATCCTTCCTCCATCCCAACATAACCATCCCATTAAATGTTCTTAACATATTTCCATAACCAAAATACAAATACCAGATACATTAACTTACAATTCTCGTCTGCAGAATACAATGCAATGAAAATGTTATCAGAGAAACGGGGAAGGGGGGTCAACAGACAGCATAAAATAAATTACTATGAAAGTACCACATACAATTCAAAAGTGAAAAGGAACCAGATCCCAACAGTGTAGGGACGTCAGCAGCATTTGGAGCACAGGGATCTCCTACACCTTTGCTGCACAGTGTACACAGCAGTTGCTTCAGAAGCTTTTCCAAGTGATCCTTCTCAATGTGAGGATACCTGAAAGTTATACAAGGCAGAGCTTAGTGAATTGGATGTGGAATCAACACCAAACAATAAATGAGAATATAAAAAGAAAATAAATAAAAGAAAGATTGTCTCAGAGCAAGCTAATCTATCCCAGTAGGTTTTAAATAAGATGTGGAGTTAAATATAGCACTTGCCACCATTGATTTGTTACTCTTAGTTTGACTTTTGGCGATTCATTACGTAATCAATCAAAGGCCAAGCACTCACGTCTAATATCTTTCAAATACAGTTGATTCACTCAAGGAAAGGCTATTTATAGAGCTCATCAAAAGGAAGAAATACAACAACCAAATAATGAGCAAGTTTGTTTTAAAGGGAAAAAACGTGAAGTGCTGTAAAAAATGTGACTAATAGCATTATGGAATAGGAGGTAAGCTATCATGAAATCAAATGTATGTGGTATAAAGTTTTCCAATAAACAGAACTACAAAGTTCAAAACTCTTGTTTAACATTGATGATTAATGCCAAATATATATGGTAAGAAGCATGTATACCTCTCCACTAAGTTGTTATAACTTAAAGGAAAGGAGATGCCATCATCATCATTGTTCCCTATGTGCATCAGTTCTCGAAAACCAAGCATGATATCTTCTAGGTAAAAGCTGATGTTCCAAAAGTTCATTTGATAACTGTTCAAAAGATCTCTGGCAAGGGCCGGCTGACAGAAATTGCATTATCAAGAAGTAAATTTCTCTAAGGTCTATATCTACGTTAGTCTTAGCAGCATGATCTGTAACCCTCCTTTGTTGCTCAACCAGAGCCTTCTCCGGCATTGTAATCAAGACTTTCAAAGGTGCCTGGCAAAGAGAAGATGCACCAGCAGAAGATGAACACTTCCAGTCCATAATTTGGTGCAATCCAACCTGAGGTATCCAAAAAAAAAAAAAAGACAGATATGCAAAAATAAGCTCGTAATGGTGATGTATTAATTGCATGCATCAGGAATCATCGAAAAAAAAAAAAAAGGCCTAAAAGACATATCAAAGTTGTTTCAACGCCAGAAGACAGAGGCAGCTAATAACTCAATTCTAGGACAAATTATGGCCTAATTTTCAGGAAATTTATTCTCATAAAAGTTGTCATAGCGTGAGGAATCTATAACGGATAAAAATTAATACCTAAGTTTCAAGGCTATCGGATGAAAATAAAAAAAAAAAAAATTAAAAGAAAACCCTAATTACAAGTAGAATCCTTGGAGGTTTAAAACATTATAATTAAAAAAAGAAAAGGAAACTTCAACTTCGATTTAAGCCTTCAACTTGTTAGAAAAAAAGGCCCAAACTTCAACATTCTAGCAGAAAAGGGAACAGCAAATAAATATTGGCTTGTATCTAAGGAAGTAAGCATCAAATTGGAAGGTATTAACACTCAGAAACGCTACAAAATATAAATTAAAGGGTGCAAGATTTAATCGAAAAGCGACATGCAAAAAAAGCAGCCGGGGAGAATCTAAACGTAATTCATTGACAAAGTAGAAGACGAAAGAAGATCTCATTACCTTGATTAGAGTCGTTTTAGATAACAAACATCGAGCGCGAACTTTCCTTTACTTCCCAGCACTAATTTTTGAGAGCTTTGTTTAGTTATAAATAAAATTGAACGAAGATTTTTAAGGGACAAAAAAAAAAAAGTGGAAAATCGTGGAAAGATAACGAGGATCGAGAAATCGCCAAAAAGTTACATTATTAAAATTTTGCGTTTTACTACTACTACCACCACCACTACTACTACTACTACTACTTGTTTTCTGATAAAGTTAGGATTCCAGGAATGAATTAAATGAACGGAAATGGAGGGATATTGAAAAGAAGAAAAAAGCTTTTTTGGAGAAAAATATTTTAGGACAAACACTGCTTGACGCTGTGCGATTAATTAGTATGCTAAGAAAAATAATATAGTAATAATTAATTAATTTAAAATATATATAAAGTACAAAGAGACATATTTGTTTATTATATTTTTTAAATTTATTTGTTATTTTAAATTATTTTTAATTTAATAATTAAAAAAAATTAATATCGTAATCGATGAACAATTTTATTAGCTTTTAACTTTAAATATTTTAACTTATCAAAAAAATTTAATATTTTAATTCAATTCATATATTGATATTAATAAGATTTAAAAATAAAGATGTATTCTTAATAATTTTAACTATTTAATTTTTGTTAACGATTTCATTTTGATTATAATGAGAAGTGGTATAGTCAGTTTTATTAATTATATATTTACTTTTTTACTTTTTATTATTTTTTAATATTTTAATTCTTAAATTTAATATTATATGTTTATATTTAAATACTGTTTTTATTTTAACTGTTCAACAAAATATTATATATTGATAATAATAGTTTTCTTTGCAGGTTATATGTTTCTTAAGTAAATAAAAAATAATAATGTTGGTCGAGTTATAAGTTTTTTTGTTTTTTTTTTTTAGAATGGCTAAATTATAAGTTGTATAATGACAGAAATTGAAGACACAATATTTAAATTATGAGTATTGTTCTTTTTAATATATTTATATAATTTTACATATAGAAGTGAATTGAGTGAAATGATGAAATTCTTTAATAATAGTCATTGCATGGATATTTAACTTGATAGTCTTTCAAAAAAAAAAGAAAAATCTGCTAAAATATTTTACAAAATCAATTTTTGTCATAAAGTTGAAAAAAAAATGTCATTTTCAAATTATTTTTAATTAATGTGCTAGTACTCAGTAACGTAATACAAGTGATTTGGGCACTTCGAGTTTTGATAAGAGAGCGCCCTATCTAATATTGAAAGACAAGAAAGCCCCTACGTTCGAGACGGTCTTTGACTTGTTCTTTACAAGGGCTGAACCTGAAATAGTGAAATGTTTTTGCAAGTAATAGGGATAGAATTGACATTTCATATACGTAATAGGAAATTGTTTGAGTCAAAGTGGATTATGGAATCACGAGATCCGCCTCCCTTCCATTTGGCATTTCAAAAGAAGATTCCGGTTGACAATGGACAATAATGCCAACTAATTACAATTAAAACCTATACTAACATGATCACATCACATATTAGCTTTAAATATCCGTCAAATGTCCGAAATTACTTTTTCGTTTCGAAAATGTAAAAATATCTTTGCAGATATCCATACTACAAAGTAGAAAGGCAGAGAAGTTTATGTCAGCAAAGCTTAGTCCCGTAATTTTCAACACCCAGTTAGCCTCGTCCTAAAGAATTTCATTGTTTCATTCGTTCACCACCATCACAATTCACAATCCATATAACCATGTTAGACATCAGAAAAGAATTTAAAAGTTCAGACAACGTTTTTATCATGGTTAGTTAAAAGAAAAGTAATTCCGCCCACAACACACTCACTTTCCGATCTCATGTTTCAAATGAGGTACACACTCTAGCACAACTAGCATCAAAGTCTGCAATGCTGACTACCTAAACAATAAAAGGTACAGTGGACTACTATATATGTTAAATCCAACAACTTAAAAAAGGGATGTGATTACAAGCTTTCCCACTCACCTTTCCTTCGGGTGCTGACAGATGCAGCTTGCTCTGTGTTTAAGGTTGCTTCCAATTGATTAATATAAACTTCAGGCATCAATAAAACGAATATCAAAGGTGTGAGGATGTATTTGCCACACGTTTAGGGCTGCATATTCCTCTAAACATTCCTTCAACTGAGCTTCGCTATATCCCTGTTAAAACAAAAATCTTGTGCGGTAAGAAACTTTTCGTAACCTTGACAACCAAATATTAATATTTCGGTCTTGGATGGAATAAGTATTAAATTGCCAAAACATAACTCATCCAAATATAAGCACTAAGAATAAACAACTAACCTCTGAGGTCTAGCTTCTAAGACCACCAAGCATTAAATTTACAGCTATCGGTGCTAAAAACAGAAAAATAATACACCTATACCCTCCAAAAAATGTCAAATAATCTTAATACTATTACTTAGTGGTTGGTTGAATCTCTTGTAAGGGCATATGGTGTAACAAACACCATAAAAACCCATCGGTTATTGCCAAAAACCGCACTCAGGGTTTTAGGTTTGCACATCAACTATATCCTGCTTGTAATAATCAAATATTACATTTTATCATGGTTGCCAGGTTATTCCCATCAAATTGCAGTTCCACCGAAATCCTAGAATATCAGTAATGGTACATTTGTTTCTAGAGATCAAAAGTCAAACAGCAACCACAAGACTTCATGTTAAGGTACTCCATGCTATAATATTGTCCTTGCCTTGCAAGGTGACTGGCTTTCACTGTTAGATAGAAATTTCACTTTCTCAAATAATAAGCAACAATAACTCAAATTCAACTCTCTTATATTGAGAACAAACCTTTCTAGAAATCCAATTCAGTGCATGGGCATAGCTCACGTCCATCTTGTTAGCCCTTGCAGCTTCATCTCGTAAGATTGAATATATATCAGATATGGCATCCAAACCAGATTTCTGGCGATCATCAGAATACAGGGAGAATTTTGACATTTGCATCAGCCTAAGAGCCTCATCCACATCACTCTGGGCCACGGTTTCAGAGAAGCGAAGCCTTGCTAGTGCCTGTGAGAAAATTATATCAATTTCATGTCAATTTACAATTCAGATAAGAGAAAACTGCTCCACCCAAGAGCAGATGTTTTTGCACAAGAAATTCTAAGTGCCAATCTAAATGACAATTCCATTGTAAAACAATATATATTGTGGAAATCTAATCTTCATTGTTACTTGATTAGTTAACTTTATCTATTTTAGTTAAGTCTTTTATTTTTAGAATAAGCAGTGATTTGGGTAAGTACACCAAATCTATTAGATATTTTTCTTATTATGCATAGAGAGTAAATTTCTCCTTTGATTAGTTGTTTTAATGCATAAGAATCTTGAGTTTTAAGGCTGAGAATATTTAATTTTTAGCCTATGTATTTTCACACAATTCTAGTATTGAAATAAAAAATATATATATAGAAGAATAAAATAGTTTTATTCTAGAGATTTCTTCATTGTATCAAGCACGATCTAAACGTTTGAAAAATTTTCACTCGGAGTCTAGCATGGCCAACCGAAAAGAGAGCCTGACGTCAAAGGTTACCTCTCTAACCCTAGAGCTAGCGTTATTAGAATAGATTTTTTAGCACAAAAAGGTAATTTTCTAAGTGCTTTAAATGTAAAACTAGAGAAACAAAATTCATGGATTGTGGATTCAAGGTAACGCTAGCTCTAGGGCTACCTCTCTAAACCTAGAGCTAGCGTTATTAGAATAGATTTTTTAGCACAAAAAGGTAATTTTTTAAGTGCCTTAAGTGTAAAACTAGAGAAATAAAATTCATGGATTGTGGATTCAAGAGTTTCAAATCATATTACTGGGGATGCATCTATATTCAGTAAATACAATTCATGCCATGAAAACTTCATAGTTCAAACTACTGATGAAGTGGTCGGTACAGATTCTATTACTTTTAAAGAGATAACACTTGATTCTGTTTTGTTTGTCCCAAATCTAAGTTGCAATCTACTGTTTATAAGCAAACTTATAAGAGACCTCAAGTGTGTTACTAAATTTCTTTCAAATATGTGTGAATTTCAAGATTTGGGTTTGAGGAAGGAATGGTAATGCTAAGATGTGTGCGAGACTCTATATCCTAAAAGATAATAATTTTGAAAAACAATATCAAAAGACCTCTTGTGTGACTTCATCCTTCAGTAATAATAAAGATAATACTATCATTTTGTTACATTATCGGTTAAGTCATCCAAACTTTTTGTACCTCAAAAAATTGTTTCCCTCTTTATTCAATAAAATTCCTAATAACTTTCAATGTGAAGTTTGCCAACTATCCAAATATACCCATACCACATATCTTAATCAGCCTTACAAGTCATTCCATCCTTTTTCGATAATACATAGTGACATTTTGAGGTTCTCCAGAGTAAATAACATGACAAGTTCTAGATGGTTTGTCACATTTATTGATGATCACCCCAAGGTTACTTGGGTATTTCTTACGAACGAAAAATCGGAAGTGGGCCAACTATTCCAAAACTTCAACAATATTATCCAAAATCCAAGTATTAAGAACCGACAATGGGAGAGAATACTACAATTCAATCTTTGGATCATATCTAATGAAGCATGGTATAATTCATCAAAGCTCATGCGTCGATACTCCTCAGCAGAATGGTGTTGCTGAAAGAAAGAATCAACATTTGTTGGAAGTTGTAAGATCCTTCATAATGGCTGACAATGTACCTAAGCATTTTTGGGATGAGATTGTTCTTACCACTACATATCTTATAAACAGAATGCCTTCTCAAGTCCTGAAATTTCAAAGCCCTTGTCAATCCCTTCTCGATTCCTATCCTCACATTCGAATCATCTCATCTATTCCTGTTAAAGTGATTGGATGCATTGCATTTGTTCTTACCAGCCAACAAAACCAAAGCAAATTAGATCCCAAATCCATCAAATGCATATTTCTCGAATATTCTTTGAATAAAAAAAGATACAAGTGTTACTCACCAGTAACAAAGAAATTCTACCATTCCATGAATGTTACCTTTTTTGAAAATCAACCTTACTTTCCCAAACATACCATTCAAGGGGATAATCCAATCACAACTGAACCCCTGAACACTTCTCCAACTCCCTTTCAAATCCAAAACATCCAACTAGATCCTTCTAGACGAAGTCCACACAAGGGAAAACAAACAAAGAATTAATTGTCTATTCAAGAAAACATAAAACTCAAAAAGATCTAGGAGAATGTATACCTTCAAAGCAAAGCCAAGAAACTGAACCGATTCTAGAGATACTTGAAACCAATACATGTAACACTTTACTAAATCTGATTCAATTGAATCTTTTGATGATCTTGATCAACCGATTGCTCTAAGGAAAGGTGTGAGATCATGTACTCAACACCCAATCTATAGTGTGGTTTCTAATAAAGGTTTATCACCCAAGTTATCAGGCTTTTGTTACCACACTAAACAATATGCAAATTGCCAATAATATTCATGAAGCACTCATGCAACCAAAATGGAATATGGCTGTTTTGAAAGAAATTAGAACCCTAGAAAAGAACAAAACATGGGAGATTTTAGAATTACCCAAAGGGAAAAATCTAATTGGGTGCAAATGAATTTTTACTGTCAAGTACAATGCAGATGGAAATATTAACAATTCAAAGCTCGCCTTGTTGCAAAAGAATTTACTCAATCTTATGGTGTTGACTATGAGGAGACATTTGCTTGATTGCTAAACTTAATTCAATCCGGGTGTTATTATCATTGGCAGCAAATCTAGATTGGCCACTCCACCAACTAAATGTCAAAAATGCATTTTTTAATGGTGACCTAGAAGAAGAAGTTTACATGGAAATCCCTCCAGGATTCAAAAACCAAGACAATTCTGGCAAGATATGTAAACTTCAAAAGTATTATTTATATAGTCTCAAACAATCCCCACGTGCATGGTTTGATAGACTAACAAAAGTGGTAAAGAAGTATGGTTTTTCACAATGCCAAACCGATTACATCATGTTTATCAAATATTCACTTGAAGGAAAAATAGCCACTCTTATTGTCTATGTGGATGACATTATTCTTACTGGAGACTGTGAAAGAAATAGCAACCTTAAGAACCTTTTAGCCAAAGAATTAGAAATCAAAGATTTGGGACACCTCAAATATTTTTTTGGCATGGAGGTAGCTTGCTCAAGGAATGGCATCTCTGTTTCACAGTGTAAGTATGTTTTAGATTTATTAAAGGAAACTAGAATGCTTAGATGCAAACTTGCTAACACCCTTATAGACACAATGAATAAAGTACGAATAGAAGAAGAAAGTCCACCAATAGATAAGAGTAGATACCAAATACTTGTTGGGAAACTCATCTACCTCTCTCATACAAGACTAGATATCAATTTTTCAGTTAGCATGGTAAGCAAATTCATGAACAACCCAACGGAGGAACAATTGAAGGCTGTGTATCGAATCTTACAGTTCCTAAAGAAGAGTCTTGGCGAAGGATTATTTTTTAAGAAGACATCACGCCAAAATGTTGAAATTTACACTGATACTGATTGGGCTGGATCTGTTACTGACCGAAGATTAACTATTGGTTATTGTACCTATGTGTGGGGAAATTTGGTTACTTAGCGAAGCAAGAAGCAATCTGTGGTGGCTAGAAGTAGAGCAAAAGCTGTGTTTAGAGCTATGTCTCATGGCATATGTGAGGAAATTTGGCTAAAAAGGTTGCTAAGGGAGTTAAAGGTCTCTGCAGAAGAATCCACGAGGATATTCTGCGACAACAAAGCTGCCATAAGTATAGCAAAGAATCCTGTTCGTCATGATAGGACTAAACATATGGAGATTGATCGTCAATTCATCAAAGAGAACATAGAGGAAGGAATTGTTAGATAAGTTTATATTCCCACATGCCTCCAAACTGCAAACATACAAAATATCTCTCTCGAAACAACTTAAAAAATTTGAAGTCCAAGCTGCTTGTGATTGACATCTACCACCTAGCTTGATGGGGGAGTGTGGGAATCTAATATTCATTATTACTTGATTAGTTAAGTCTCTTACTTTTAGAATAAGGAGTGATTTGGATAAGTACACCAAATTCATTAGATATTTTCTTATTATGTGTAAAAAGTAAATTTCTCCTTTGATTAGCTGTTTTAATGCATGAAAATCTTGGGTATTAAGGCTAAAAATATTCAATCTTTAGCCTATATATTTCATGCAATTCTAGTATTGTAATAAAATATATATATATATATAGAAGAATAAAATAGTTTTATTCTAGAGATTTCACTGTCAATAATAAATCTGAGAGCATTGTGTGGCACCTACATTTCAGATCCAGACATCCCAAATCCTTTCTGCCCTTCTTTTTGCCCAACCCGAAGAAAATTCACCCTCTTCATCCCATTTAAGCAGATCAAGAAATAGGACGGTATTATCAATTTTCAACAAAAAAGAAGTAAAGCATCAGGACTTACTGCTGATATCCGAAGAATGCTGAGTAGAGTCCTCACAGTAGTATACGAATGAGGTGTATTTGATTTAGCTTCTTCTTGTCGAATGCTGCAATATGCTGTAGCAATATACTCTTCCAGCTCCTTTGGAACAAAAGGGGATAATCTTCTTGCAGCAGAAATATATGCACTACAAACCAAAAACAATATCTAGAGTAATCAAGGCCTCTATGAAGATCCTGACAAACATAGTGGTGGAACTAAAAGAAAATCAGCAAATTTAAGATATCAATACATGTAGCTACAGAAGACGAGTAAAACAAAAGGGAATAGGTATCTACACAACACACAAGACACTATCAACTAATGTAACAGATCAGCTTTTTCAAATTCAGAAAGAAGGAAAGAGAAACAAGATATGCAGACAGAATTTTCACAGCTTTTACCAGCTTACATGACTTTGCAACCAATTTTATCATGTTCATAAAAATTAAAAACTATGTCAGAAAACTGACTTGCTTACATAAAGCTATTCTTTAATCAGCATGGAAGAGTCATCAATAAAGTTCACAAGTTTCCCATAAAAAAACAATTACGGTCCTTACCGAAGAACGGATGGTTCAAGTGGAGTGAACCCAAGAGCAGGAGATTCTTTATTCTGGTGCACATAAACAACATGCCTTGCCATCTCAAGGTCACTATCCATATCGGCTCGATCTAGGATCAACCACAGAAGATCAAATCTTGACAGCAGGGCTGGAGGGAGATTGATGTTTTCAGCTGGTGTTCTGCGTAGGTCATATCTTCCCCTTCAAAATCGGTTATATGACCCAAGTTAATAAATTTGACTTTGCGTACAGATCAAATACTCTCACAAAGAAGGAATTCTCTTCCTTTCTCTTCCCCCACTTATGTCCCTTTCAATTTGAGAAAGGAAGTTTCCAAAAATAATATGATGTCACATAGAAACAACTTTGAATGACCTGGAGCATTCTTACCAGGCTGGATTAGCAGCAGCAAGAATTGCAGTTCTTGCATTCAGAGATGTGGTGATCCCTGCCTTTGCAATACTGACTGTCTGCTGCTCCATAACTTCATGTATTGCTGTACGATCAGATTCATCCATCTTGTCAAACTCATCAATAGCACATATACCCATATCCGCTAACACCTGAAACAGGGTCAAGATGTCTCTATTGAACCATAGGAACCTTGGAAATAATAATTAGGTGAAAGGAATCATATTTGAGATGAGATATTCTAAATGCAACTGTAAAACATAAACCAACTCAAAATTATAACCATTAACAGAACAAGGCATAATATGTAACATGGGTGATACAGAAGAAAGGTTGGCATGATGTATATGGTTCTCACTGTAAACAGTTACAGTTGCCACACTCTTCTGTGCCATCTTATACTCGTATAACAAGTCCACTTAAAGACAATAAATTATAGTATAAAGAAAATAACATAACTCACCAAGGCTCCCCCTTCCAAGACCATCTCATTTGTGACAGGATCTTTTTGCACAGCTGCAGTTAAACCAACTCCACTGCTTCCTCTGCCAGTGGTATAGACTCCCCTGGGTGCTACATTTATGATGTGCTTAAGAAGCTGACTTTTGGCAACACCAGGATCACCCATCAAACAAATATGTAAATCTCCTCTGATCTGCAATGTAGCCCTATTGCTCAAAGGCATAACTTGAAAGATAACAATAAAAAGATTTGACCAATCTTTGTAGTGAACCATATTACTATTGATAGATGATAAGCAGAAAAATGACTGCCAACCAATGTAATACAAGAAAATATAGGATGACATATTACCTTCATCCCATCCTTTAGCTTCCGGTGTGGAGCACCCACAAGAAGAAGAAGCAAAGCTTTTTTAACATCTTCATGTCCATAAATTTCAGGTGCTAAAGACCGTGCCAACTTGTTATATATATCACCATCCTCAGCTAATCGTGTAATTTGCTCTTCTTCATCTCCCCTAAGCTCATACCTGCAGTAGAGCCCAATTGAGTATAAGTACATCCACATTCATATTGTTTAGCTCATAATTTGTTTAAGTATATAGAAATTCAAGATCTCCATTTCAGATCCCTTCTTGCAAGCTCACATACTGACATTAGAAAGCATAAAGATGGATACTTAACCACAATTGCCTTCTGGTGATGAGATTAGGACAGTAGCTTACTCTTCATATTTTTTCTTGAAATGAGTGACAGACATGGCTTCCAAATATGTATCTGCAACTAATCCAGCACGCATTGCCCTAAATCCAGTGTACGGAATAGGAAGAAAGATCCCTGATAATTCAACAACATCACCTGGAGCAACCTGATTGATGAAAGGTAGAATATAAATGCATTGTTAGCACATGGAGTTACATTTCATTATGAACAGGAGCAATGTCTACACTAAGAAATTTTATGAAATTAATTTTTTAGGCATTTCAGCTACACTGATATCAACATGAACACCAACCTTTCTTGTCATTTCCCCCCTAAAATGAACTGTCATTGACCGTGGAATGTGGCCTTTTGGAACATGCTCTGCCAACTCTTGAATCTTGGCCTGGAAAATTTTATCTTAAACATTATAAACAATGCAGAATGACTTCTTGATATCACTGTTATCTTAATAAAATCATGTTAAACCAGAACCTCTTGGAACTTCAAAAACTTGGATGCTCTAAGTTGAAGGATAAGGTTCCCCTTTGTCCTGTTCACTGAACATCGCTTTGATGGGCACTCAAACAAGGGCATGAATACTCGAGCAGTTACATCCTGTTTGGCACATGAATGGAAAGAGAAAAAATAAAGGTTAATATAAAGGAGAAGAGGCCAATTGAATTTTAAGATCCCTTAAAAATCAATTAAAAAGATAACTATGGCGTATGATATATGGCATAATGGAGTTCTGTTTTCAGATAACTATTCAACTATCAAAATTTAACAAATATTGTATTAAACCAAAGAGAATATTCAAAATTTAGACAGCAAACTTGACAAGAGTTAGGTACCTGGTAAATTTCATAGCCACATTCTTCACATGTGTAAACAGCTACCTGCATCAGAGGCTTAACATCTGAACAACGGGTCACAATTCCAGATATTCTTACAAGCTGGCCAATATATGAAGCCTTCACCTCCCTAATGGTAAACGGCCTCCCCTTTGAAGGTGCTCTGATATAAACTTCACTGAATCAAAAATAAGTGAGCATCAGCCATTGCAATTATATGTATCATGAACAGAGTAGATGTTCCCACAATTTAAACATAGAAAATAAATAATAGAGATTCTAGACAATATACCTCGTACAGATATCTTAAGATTATATTATAACAGCATTAAAAGAAGCTCTTATAAAAATTTATCCACAAATAAAAACCTGCAAATTGTAAACCTGACTACGAAACAATAAACTATAATTAATATAAGATAGCCTCTAAAGCTAGATTGCACATTATTCGAGGACTTCCATTTTTAAAGGGAACAGGCAGCTACCACTTGCCACAACAAACTTTTGCATTTACTTGGTAAGAAAACAGAAAGGTGAGTGGAAAACTCCTTCCACTCCAATGGTTTAGTCATATAAACTCCTTCATATACCTCAATTCTATGGTTCATTTCCCACACTATAAGGATAATTTGATTAAAAAAAAAAAAAAACTTACACAAATACTAAAATAACAACATAAACTCAGAAATTATTTATTATTTTCCAAAAGGGATAATTTACAACAGGTTAAGTGCATCAAGAGTGAAAGGGACTTCTTCTTGAAGCTTACAAATAACGTTTAATCTCAGGAGGCATCTTCTGATGTGGATCAGACCCATCTGCATTATTGGTTCCGTCCTCAGCTCTCTGTGTCATCAATATATCATGATCATCATCATGAAAGGCTTCAGTGGGCTCTGGCAAAAGCTCGTCGATTGCACATGCGAAAATGCCAATGTACCTTCGAGTGTTCTCAGTAACCCGCCTCAGAAATTCCTCGTCCAAGTCTTTGTACTGTGAAGCGAATGAACTAAATTAAGGGCTTTAAAGCAAAGCAAAAAGCTCCTAATAAAAAATATAAAAAACGTAACCTAGAATAAATTAAGAGGAAAATAGGAAGAATCTTACGTTAAATAGGTCCTCAAGATCGATCTGCACGGCTCTAATTTTATGATTTGCGACTTCTTGCTGAAATAGAGAAAAGGTTAAGAGTTAGAAACTTAGGCAAGAGAAAAAAAAATACTTACAATTGTCTGATTTTTTTGGAAGAAGAAAAATAGAGATCTAGGGTTTCCAACTGTTGAGGATAACGGGAAAGAAAGAGGGAGACTCACAAGGATGTTCATGTATTTGGCCTCGCCATTTGCGTCTGCGAAGTTTGAGAGGAATTCTTTGGCGAGAACTGTTAAGAAATCAAAAATAAAAACAAAAATCGGAGAAATGATGAATGCGGCAGCAACAACACGAGGGATAGGTGGAGGAGAGTACCTTTGTCTGCGTTAAAATTGAGGTCCTTCATGGTTCAACTTCACTGAATGTATGTGTGTGAGAGAGAGAAGAAAGCTGTGAGGATGAAAATGGGAATTAGGGTAAGAGAGAACAATGAGATTTGGCGGCAAAAGATGAGAAAGGAAGGAGGGTTTTGGCGGGAAATAGTTGCTCCAATTTGATTCAGTGTAGCCAGCTTAAATTGTAACGTAGTGCGGGGACGGTGATGTGCGCTCCTGATGGATGTTGTAGAAAAAGTATGAAGTTTCTGTAGGCGTTGATCTTATTGCAGCCGTAGAGGAAAAAAAAAGGCTTATTGTGGCTGCTGGGATTCGAGCCCAGGTCTCTACGGCCACAACGTAGAATTCTAACCACTAAACTACAGCCACAACTGCTGGTGCAAGACGGTTTACTAAATTTTGAAAGTAAAAGGAAAAAAAAAGGTAATAAAAACAAGCTACCACATTTTCCTAAAACCAACGAATTGAAATCTAAAACATTATCAGTTTAATCTCAATGAAGGAGTTTTTTCTTTTTCTTCTCTTCTAGGAGTAACGTGTTAAATAAGCTTAAAATCTTCTTCCATGTGTTGGTTTGCTATCTATCATTTGGAAAATCATAAGATGCTAACAGTAAAACTAAAGCTAGCAAATTACATCGGGCTTCAGCGTTTTGATCCTGATCAATCATTTATATCAACTGCTATAAAAATATTATGATTATTTTTATTTTATCCCTGCAATATCAAGAATCTTTAAACCTACTCAAGCTTAGCATGCAAATTATTAGCGCTATTATCACACCATAAATCTGTAGTCTCTAATAAGGGAAGACAGAAAAGAGAAACAAAAGGAATTGAAAGAACCAGAACATTCACGTGGATGGGATGATTTTAATGTATGACATATCCATGAGCTGCAAGGCACACTTACATGGATAGATAAACGGAATTTTTGTAACATTTTCACCATTTCATGTAATAGTTTCCGGTCATTGTGACAGACAAGAAGCTGTTTAAGTGTTGGTCTTATACTGGATGTGACTCATTTAGAAATGACTTTTTATAACTTATATAATCAGAAACCCTCAGTTGAATCAGATCATCTGATTACATACGATATATGCCGAGATCTGAGCAGTAAATATTGAGCTTGAATTACTCTTCAGGAATGGGTATGAACCTTTCGACCAATAAATCACATCAAAGTGAATGTGATGCTCAAGAAATTACAGTCCGAGAAACAAAGAATCAGGGCCAATCATACCAATTTCACTTTTCAAAATCTAGGGTGTAATTGGATTAGGTTCCTTCGATTTTACTAACTTGGCTTGTATAAGTCTGTCCAAAATTGGAGGCTCCAGAGGAATCGGGTCAAGACAACGCTCTGAAGCAGCAACAATCACCTACCAATCAGAAATAACACACATTCTCATTTTGGTTAAAGCGGAACAAAAATTAAATAAAAAGGAGCAATAAACATAATCAGGGAATTTTTCTATTACCTCGTCAAGTAAAAAGTCAATTGCCGCTTCATCTTCAACAGACTCCTTTAAAGGAGTCCTTAAGAACTGAATATCCAGCTGAATTTGCTGGAAACCACTTCGATTAAAGGTCTGGAGTCTGACAAATTCTTGCAAGCTTTTAAGGCAAAGTTTTACTGTAGTCGTTATTACTGACTCCTGCAATTGCAAGGAAATTCAGTTCATTTTGCTTCAATAGTCACTGGATATTTTTCCACTAGCACAAGCCTTCATAGCTCATACCTGTGTATGTTCAACTTTGGTAAAAATTTCAACTTTTTGCTTGAACAATTTTGCTAGGTGTGTTTCTAAGAGCTGGCTCCTGGCTCTCTGGGTATTTGACCTACTCATTTTATCATCTCGTAATGGGTTGCTACGTGATGAGGTGGTGCTTCCATTGCTGTCAGACCGCCGATGCTTACGCAAGTGCCCTTGAGGTAAAATCTGATTCACCTCACATCCTATTGCTTTCGACTAGTACAAAGAAATTTGAGGTTAAGAACATTGCATCTTAGAAGTTGTGCACAATCAGAATATGGCATATTGAACTATGCAGGAAAAAGAGTTAAAAATTATATTCTTGTCCAATCAGAAAAGTTCAAAGAGACACTAACCTCTTGAAGAAATAAATCAACAAACATATGAACTTCTCTCGGCTCCTTGTGCTGCAAATATTAAAAATCAGAAATTGTTGAAAAGTTGAATGATGAACTATTTCCATGATAGGAATTTCTTTCAAAAATGAGGATTATAGCACAGCATACTAACCTTGACCCAGTTTGGTGTTGTGAACCTCTTTCTTAGCAGAGTAGATACCTTCTGAGTTCTCATATTTATGTACTTCAAAATGGAACAAAATGAACTTATAATTAACAATGAGGTAACTGGACTTGCTTAAAATAAAAGATATCTGAAATGGTCCATGCAATGCCAGAAAATAAAATCATCAAAATTAAACATGTGCTCCCTTGAGGCGGCAAATTGGCATGACATTAACATTCTCATGAATTTTCCAAACTGGTCAACTGAAACGGGATAGAACACATCCCATGGTTCAACATAAGTTCTAATTTCAGTAAAGTCAAAATGAAGAAAGGAATCAATTCCTACATGATGCAACAGCTTTTCACCAGCTGACCGAAATATTCGACATATCTCCCCAGGAACAAAAGCAGGCCCATTTTCATAGCCTCGAGCACCTCCACCAGAGAAGGAAGCAGCTATTTCCTGACAATAAAACATGAAAATATGACTGAAGCCCAAGAGAGTAGGAAGAGTACTAGAATTATTCCATTTCACATTTTGAAATGGCTGTTAGCCGGTAACATAAAATTATTAGGTGAAGAGAGAAGGTTGCCTCAGTAATTCTTGGGATGGCAGTTTGTTCAATGAAGACAGAAAGTTGAGCCAGCACCAGGACGAGACCAGCAAGAACTTTTTCAACGTGTACTCCTTCTGTCAATCCGTGATCTTGACTCGATAAATTCTTTCTTCCAGAAAGCAAGAGAAAATGATCATCAAGAGCCCTGAAGAAGTCCTGAAATCCTTCTTGGACCCAATCAATTATGAAATCTCTCAGTTTAACTAGCAGCCCTAAGTCATCATCAAGAAGTTGGCGAAAATCCTACAGTAAGCAAATAGATTAAAAGAGAAGCTCAATAAGTAGGCTGCACATACATAAAAAATTCTTATGTAAAGAATAATGAAAATGTAAAAGGTACAAGTTCAAAAACAGAAAGTAAACAACAAAATAAATGGCAACACACATAACCCCCCGAAAAATGCAAAGCACCTCCTAATTGAGGCCATTAGGCCAAGTATTTCAAGCATCTACAAATTCATTTATATGCATCAAACAAGAGAGAAATATGCAGATGAGCAACATAAAAGCTGGACTTGCATTATTTACATAAAGAAGCATGTAAGGGATGCAAACTTTGAGTCGTTTCTGCATGCATAAAACATGAGTCTCTTCAGCATCTCATGAGTTACCAGTAAGACATCCATGCTGCCCTGAAGCACTGCTTTTTTGCTGGCCTCCAAAGCAACCTGCAAGGGGTGCTCCTCTGCTGCCTCTTTTGGTTTAACATTTACTTTCAGGAGGGCATCTGCAAATTGAGCAGAATGAACTCAAACTTCTAAAGTAATTTTCATTAGATAAAACTACATAAATAAAAAAAAAAATCAGGTTTATTCAAATTTCAAACCTTTAAAAGTTTATGTAGAAACTATGCCTACGTATGGTTTAACACTTAGTGCACCTGTCATTTTTCATAAACAACTGCCAACTGAACATGCATTTGAAAGTATTAATGATGCAGCTATGGACATTAATTCTAGAACAGCCACAGTTGTGAGTGGCAGATAATAAATATGATTTTGCTTAAGCTGGGCCTCGGTTATTTACATTTTAGTTAGAATTCAAGTGAACCAGGACTCTTCAAATTTGGATAATAGGTTAATCAGATCTTTAGACCTCTATCATGAAATAGGTAAAAACAACAACCTGTCCATAGTTAGTAAATCTAAAATGCACTGTTATCTTTTGGGAGATTTGAAACTCCAAAAGAGTAAAAATAATTTTTCAGGAAAAAGCAATAATAAAAAGAACCTGATATGTCCTGCAGAAGGTAGGTAAATGTTCTGGCAACATACAGTTTAACAGCATCTTTGGCAGCCTGAGACCACAGAGAATATCATTATATGAAGCTCCATCCCTCAATATGAAAACTAAGTATCTTTCTACTCAGACTAGAGGAGTAAATAATGCAATATAGATTAGAAAGAACAGTTTCAAATGAAATTCAAGAAAGACCTCCAGAGAAAAATCAGGTAGAACAGCCTCACATAACACTTCATCCATCAGAAGCACATCTGCCCATATAGTTCCTGCAATCGATTTGGCAAGTTACAAGAAAAGGTTAAATAAATTTAAGTTGCAAAATAAAAAGAAACAAATACTATAAAAAAGTATAAGCTGTAAGTAAAGTTATTTTATGAAAACAAAACTCAGAAAGAAATAAATTAGAATTCACACCATCATTAATAAACAGTAATGGTATCAAGAGCCCATCTTTCATGGACATGAAAGAAGCTTCAGTTCTAGTTGAGGCATATGATCAACAAGCACTAACAAGCACTCTCTTGTCTCCATCAAGTATAATATGCTAAAGACATCTCCAAATGTCAAGGACAATAATAAATTATTTAACTTATGCAGACACTTTTAGAATGTGCAATGGTAAATAAAGATAGACTTTTTAAGTAGTTAACTTAAATATTTGGAGTAGCATTGCCAAAATCATGAAGGAGAAGAGGTGAGAAAAAGCAAATGCACACTACTTACGAAGAACACCCAGGAGATTGGCAGAAGAAATCCGTCTCTTTATATACTGCTTAGTCATTTCAAAGTGCCTAAACAAAAGTAAGCATGTGAGTAAAAGCTTTGCATGCTTTGTATTCTGAGAAGTGATAGAGTTAGAACGTCTAAAACAATGGAAGTTCTAATGAAGCTGCTCACTTGATGACCAAGTCTTCTGCAAGTGTAATCAGTTGCCTTTCTGAGTCAGGAAATATTACTCGATAAGCACGGATAGCCTCCGCAAATTCACGGACAGAAGCCTAATTTTAGATAATTGAAAACAACAGGTTCTTCATTAGTCTATCTAGATGGCACTTTTCATCCCTTCCCCACTTCCCCCAGCTTCCTTTTCTTTTTAGGGACTGATAGGGATGACTGATTTAACCACAATTAAAGAACCATAAACACAAAAAAAGAGTCCTGTATTCTAAACTAATAGGAGATAAATTTGGGAAAAGACATTATCTGGTCATTAATGAAGATATAAAACACAAATCGACAAGAATTCAATTACAAAGAAATTGTAAAAAATGTTTGGTTACTGGCCTACATATGTAATACCAAGCATATGTTGGATAGTGAAGAAATCCATTTAATATTTACCTTCATAGACAGCTAGAATTGCAATGCAATAGTAAAATATTTCATGCATCCCGCAGCATTATGCATCATCTTTAGCAATGAAGACAATGAATCTTGCAAACTAGATGGCATGACTTCCCCCAAAGCAAGACAGGAGTTTCACAAAAGAACTCGCATTATCAAAAATTAACTTAGTTCAGATAGCCAACCATTTTCTTTGCACAAAAACATTTTTCTTCCATCCTTTTTTCAATTCCTTTATCCAACCCAGTTCCCATCCAACAAATCATATATAAGAAATTACAAAAAATGCTACTTCATACTCAGTTACCTCATGAGCTGTAGTAGGAATGGAGTCAGAAACCTTTCCCAGTTTAGAAGTATCGTTAGACTCCAACGAAACATTCTCAATTTCATCTGTTTTAAGCCGAAGGTCCCCAAGAGATTGCTCTAACTTTTCAAGTAGTTTTGCCTGTAAGCTATCCACCTGCCCAATTACAGATAATCTGTGTCATACACATGCATACACGTCAAACAGATATGTAACAAGTGACATCAAAAACTCTTTTAGAGAATAATATTAATATAAGTTTAATATATATGATTCACATTTTGAAGGCTGTCAGCAATCAGACGTTTCGAATATTTTAAGAAGACATGAGAGAGAGAGAGAGAGAGAGAGAGAGATGGTGAGATTATTTTTATCTTTCTGCCGATGCATTTTCATGCGGAGTAAATGGCATGCATGGTAATGTAGCGTTTAAGCTCTACTGTAACTTTCACACAACCAGCTAGATGATCCAATCTGAAAGTTGCAGTTCAAACCGGAAAATCCAACTGCTTCAAAAGCACTGCAGCTTCAGCTCTAGCTTGAATGGATTCAGAATCTGAGAATAGCTTTCCCTGAGAAGGAAATTTTCATAAAACATTGCAATTTTCTTTTATCTGCAAAAAATACCATACGCACATAAGACAAGAAGATACCTGCAAGTTTTTTACTATTATAGCAACCGCTTCTTCCGATGCTCGTTTACAGTCCTGGAATGACGAATCTCCATATACCTGGTAAGGAAAAGAATGGAGTGTGTTAAATCTTTTGAATAGAAAATTTTGGCATAAAATCAAAATTATGTCCTAACAACAGAATTACAATAGAAAATAGAAGAGAATGGACAAGGTAAGCAACGATGACCTTAAAAATTGGCATTGCTCCAGTGTAGAACTTGACTGCATCAGCGTATGCTTCTGACTTGATGCACCTTCCGAGTCTAGCAGGCAGATCATAAATGAACTGTTCTTTTCCACAAAAGACAACTTTTAAATAACTTACCAATGCATATATAAACAGGAAGCAATATAATACTTATCCTATCAGAAAAATTTCCAATAGCTTCTAATTCTGAGCTGTAACATCTAAAAACCATAAATTTGCCACAGGCTTTACGATACATTATTTGATAAAATATTGCATTATACTCATAATTGTTACATCAGGTTAACATGCTTTCAATTCAATCCTAGGGCTGCCATCACATTACTCACAATTCACCACAAACATTTGATAGTTCTTTAATACCTGAACTTTACGCAGAAGATTACGTGTCCGGTGCAACTTCTCAATGTGTTCTCTCTTCTCAAAAAGAGAAGTGTTGACCCCATCACTTCTAGATTGCACTGACATTATCTGCAGTTATAAATGAAGAAAAAATCTGCTTTGCTGTAATCACCTTTCCTCATTTGTTCTTAATACATTTTTCGAAACTTCAACAAGAGCGACATGAAAAATATTCCAACACACCTTGTCAAGAAGCTGTTGCATATTTCCTTCCATGCCTATAATATTACTTTTCATCCTGTTAAAAGCGAAGCTTCAGTACTAACACATTAGGGTTCTTAAACAGCGCCTATCTAAGAACTTCAAAGATCCAATTAGTATTAATTGGTTAAACAAACAACAGTTACTACAACATCAAAAATCTTGCTGAAACAAAAGGAATAATAGAATTTCTACGGAAAGATATACTGTTGACAAACCCTATCCATTCTTCCCACATTAAAAGTATACTTGCAGTGGCAATTGTTAACTAACGATTCTAAGAATTGAAAGAAGTTACCGTTTAATTGCATCCGTGGCACTGATAAACTTGTTGTAGTTCTCGTAGACCAGCATTTGCAAGTCAGTATCGAGATTCTTGATTTCGGCCGCCATTTCAACGTGCCTCTGAAGAAGCGCTTCCAAATTCGACTTTTGTACCTACACATTTCAATCCAATCCATGCTTTAAAGGATCAAACCTTTCAATTTTGATTACAAATCCAACCTAACACAACAATAAATCATTAATCTAATCCAAACAACGAATTTCATTCAGAAGAGTTGATTTCTATAAATCTAGCTTAGAATTCAGTCAAATATTAATCGATGATTTAGATCAAAAGAATTAGGAGAAGCGTACAAGGAGGTTCATGTACTGATCGGGATCGAAAGAGGAGGTGTTGATGGCATCTAAGATGCCGTACTTTGAAGGAGCGTTAGGAGTCGAAGACGGATCTGGAGAGTAGAAGCTCGATAGTAGATCTCTCATTCTCTTCGCCTTGTCGTCCAAAGGAACATCGTCTGTCCCCATTTTCTGCTCTTTCTACAATTGGTTTGTTCCTCTGCGAATTAGAAAGAGATAGGTTTTGTTTTAGATCGGGATTTGGTGAGGAGCGGGTTAAATTTTTGCAGGCAAGGGAAACAAACTACAGAAAGAGGAGGAGGGAGAGTCTGAATCGAACGATGGAGTTTGGCAGTGAACGAGAAACCAGCGTGGATTGCTTTTTGACGTTTTCCGTGCTCTTTTCTTTACAACCCGAAAACGGCTATTTGTCGAAAAGGACCAAAACATTCCCAAATTATGGAAGGACCAAGATGGATATTCAATTTTTACATTTTTTTTTAATTCTCCTTAATTCGGTTACATATCCCTTCAAATTTATAATATTTGATTTTTTTTCACGATAAATAAAAAGGATTATAATCAAACTCATAATTAAATATTATATTTATATAATTAATTATAATTTAATTAAATGATTAAATTCACACATTAAAATTAAAATTTAAAATCTTAAGATTTTAAGACCTTTTCTTTACTACTAAATTAATACATCATTGACAACTCTTTTAATAATTATAGGTTGGCTACTTTCAACACAATGTATCTAATGTTGGCTTGTAACGTTAGGTTTGCTATGGAAAAAAAATAGATAAAAAGGAAACCAATGAGGAAAAAAAAATGAAGATGAAAAGTTTTTTTTTTTTTGTATGGTATGAAAGATAAAATTGATACAATAATTGATAATTAGTTTAATATTAGTTTTTAGTGAAAATATTATTTAATTTAATATAATAAATTTATTAAAAAAATCCTAGAGATAGTCTTTAAAAAATATTTTACTTTAATTCAAAGGATTATAACAACAATAAAAAAGTATCTTGAGTAAAAATTAAAAAGCTATGCTGTCAATTTTTATTCTTACGCACCAAAGACTGACAGGTGTCTTGCCTACAAAGGAATAAAGATCTTATCATAAGAATGCGGATAATGTGACAACTGCCATCCACCTCACCAAAATTTAAGAAAAAAAAAATCTGGAGTACCTGCTGCCGTTTAAGCTCTTATTAATTTGGAAATTTTTGTTAGCGCCTCAATGGCTTTACCTAGCAACAATACACTTAAATTTTTAATAAAACTATTATATAAGTAAAAGTAATAAAAAAATAAAAAATACATGATTCATGATTCATGATTTATATTTATAAAAATGAAAAACGTCACGTTATTTATATTATGATGTATATGAAAAATTACATAAAATTTTATGTAAATGGTGTGAATAATACAAAAAATTATTAAAAATTACAAATGATTACAATTGATTCTAAATATATTTTTTAATTAAATTGTGGATTGCGCTTTACTTCAATATTTTTTTAATTAAATCCAAATAATCAAATTATTAAAAAATATAAATAATTTATTACATTGAATATTTGATTTTAATAGATTCATTAATGATTCTAATAATAAATAGTTGATATCTTTTAACTTGATTATTTGTAATATTTTAAACGAAATACATTAAAAATTAAAATTATCAATAATTTATTTTTTAATGCATTTAGTAACCTATGATCATTTAATAAAATCCTTGTAACAAAATATCATTAAATAATGTAAGGATTTATATTTGATATATTATTAGTGTATATATTTTATATATTGTCAATAAATTAGATATTATCTCATTAATAAAATAAATCAAATAATATTATTTATTTAATAAATAAATTTAAATTTTATATATTTATTTTAAAAAATTAATATTTATTTATAAATAAAATGATATTATTTAATTTATTAATAGTATATAAAATTTATATATTAATAATATATTAAATATAAAACTCTTAGGGTAAAGAGTTACTTTTCAATAAGTGAATCACACTTTTTTTTCAATTTTTTGTCTTCCTTTTAATCAAATATAATGCAAATCCACGACCTTTTTTTTTTTATGAAATAACAAAGAATAAACTCAAAGAAAAATAATTTGTGGTTTTTTTCTCTATATTAGATAGAGGCGAAAATGGAAAAAGAAAAGAATCCGTTTGGTATTGTCCAAAAAAGACTGTGCAAGGAATGCTTTGAATGTATAGCTGGCGTCACTCTGCACGCCAGCAGTGACAGCGACTCCACTTCTTATTTCCAAAGTTAACCAGTGAAAAACCTTAAATACCCCTCAACTCGATTATTATTTTATCCGATATCCTAACCAAACAACCAATGGAACCCTTCCTCCTTTGCCTATAAAACCCCACTTTTCCTACTGCCGTAACCTTCTTTGGTTTCGCTTTTGGTCGTTCGCGTTTCGTGTACTCTCTGTTTCTCTTCGCGTTTCTTTTTCTTCAACCAGCTAAGTATTCTTAATTTTCTTCTTTCTCTTTCTTTCTTCTTCGAATCATCGCTCTTTGTATTTCCTTCTTTTATGGGTAGATCTGGTTAAGATCTAGGGTTTTTTAGGGTTCTTCTTTGTTACTTTTCGACTGTTTTGCTCATGTCGGATCTGCGGATAGGAAGTCAGGTACTTGTAAAACCATTCTAATGATCTTAGATTCTCTATGAGCTACGCCATTCTCATGCGTCGAATCCGTATTCTGCACTCGTTCTCGGTCGTCTTCCTTTACTGGTTCTACGTTTTCTCACGAATTAGCCCCCTCTTTGTTCATTAACTCCTTAACCAGATCTAACCCCTAGTTTAATTCTCTGACTATTGAAAATCCCTGATCCCTAATTTTCATTCAATTTGTTAATATATATATTATATTCCTGAATAAAAAAAAATCCCCTAAGATGGCTTCTGTGCGAAGGCCAGCGAGCTCCTCCGATTCCGATCCGCGATATGCAAGCATCGACGAGAGGAAAAGGAAGAGAATGCTGTCAAACCGTGAGTCCGCAAGGCGGTCACGTATGAAGAAGCAGAAGCAGCTCGAAGACTTGGTTAACGAAGAGAGCACATTGCAGAAAGAGAATAGCCAGCTCTCTGAAAGGATCAACGTCACCACCCAACACTACATCCAGATGGAATCTGCCAACAACGTGTTAAGAGCCCAAGCAATGGAGTTGACTGAGAGATTGCGGTACCTGAACTCGGTGCTGCACATCGTGGAAGAAGTCAGCGGGTATGCTGTTGATATCCCGGAGATTCCGGATCCTCAGATGGAGCCGTGGCAGCTCACCTTTCCGATACAGCCAATTATGGCATCGGCTGATATGTTCGAGTGTTGATGGATATACTCTTCTTCCTTGTTGGGCAAATGTCGGTCCTTTGTTGGAGTCAATTTGTGTTCGGAGTCGTTCGTTAATCTTATCTTTCTCCTGTTTTTCTTTGTTTCTGTTCCTGTTAGGTAATATAAAAACTAGGTTTGTGTGCAGTCTGTTGAACGGGGATTTTGGTGTTTTCGGTTTTGGGTACTTTTGGATTTTTATTGTTATGTGAAAAGTTAGTTTCCAATGCAATGGTTGCTTTTTATTGTCAATTTCTTTGTGATTACCTGTTGATTTGGATGCATGAACAGGGTCTTTAACTAAAATGTTGTTATGGAGTGTGATAAAGGTGTATTTTAGGGTTTGCTGGAACAAGCATAGAAGGGGAACTTATTGTTTGAGATTTTAGTTTATCCAATGCTTTGGTTACTTAAGAAGAAAAAAAAGGTGAAAAAGGTTTTATAACTTTGTTTTTGTTAGTAGTAGATGGAAAGGTGTTCCCTTTCTTCCTATTCGCATTTGTAGCATAGAGCCATGGACTGCATTATGCCAACACTTTTGATGATAGCAAAGTGGTAATTTTGTTTTGATAAGCTATGTTGAGAGTTTTGGTTTGGAGTTTTGGATTATTTAGATATTGGAAACTATTTAGAACTTTAGTTTCCATTTTCACTTTGAATTTGATTCCGTAATGGAAATTGTATAAGATTGTCTTTTTCTTTCATGTGCGCCTTGCTTCTGCACATGCATGTGATTCTTCAATGTCGATAATGGGCTCCTCGACATGTCTTGCTTATCGATTAATTCATGGAGTATGCCTTTAGCAAGAGTCATTTAAAGTCTATGTGTCTTAAGCATTTAACATGATGGGCAGATCCGCTGGGGACTTTCTTTTTTGAATATTGTGAATGCTGTAAACAAAAATCTCCCGTAAGTACAAGCCTATTTGTGGTGATGGAGGTTCGTTTTTTTCAATCAACCATTAGGTCTTTGAAGCTTTTGAACTGATTTAAGATATTTCAGAAATATAAATAAAAGGTTGATGGTAAAGGAAGATTCCAGGTGGTCGGGATCCTTCACCAAACAGGAGGATACAATTGTCACGGTGTAGTTTCTGTTTTTTACTTTTTTCAGGTCATGGTCTGGTTTCAAGTTTCAACTGTGTAGGCTTTTGTTGGATTGCGGATGAGGATGGACCTGTTCAATTTCAACCTTAGTTCACCGAAATTGAAATTTGTGTCGATGAAGCACACGAATCACGTTTCATTAATTCATGATATTTTTATATTGGCAATTTCAATAAATGCACGCTTAGATGCATTAATTATATACACAAGGCAACCTTAATTAATTAATTCGCATAGTTGTCCTATAACTTTTTTCATCGTCGTTCTGTTTCTATGTCTGCCGACATTTTTACTAGCCGACGCACCGCGCTAAGTTGGATTCATAATTCATATTCAATATTTAAATTTCTGCAATGCAGACGATTTGGCCAACGCACAATATACTTGAATCTTGCCTTTGCTTGGCCGGTTAACTTTATAGTTCTCGTCCATTCATTATGTCTGAATTAAATAAGAAACTTATTCGTTGCAGCTTTATACAAATCAAACGTACTTATCGGGAGGTTAGCTCAAAGATTCCCGTGTAATAATGCAAGTTTCTTTAATTACCTCCATTTGTATGCTATAATATAAATTATAAGGGGCATTCATGGAACAGACGAAACCCAAATATAATTTTATTATACCGATCTTTTTCATTGAAAAATAATAATAATACGTAAAAAGATTACGATGGTGATTTATTTTTGGTGCGAATTGTGCTAGTGATTGTGATGATTAATTTTTAATAATAATAATACGTAAAAAGATTATGATGGTGATTTATTTTTGGTGCAGATTGTGCTACTGATTGTGATGATTAATTTTTCTCCCCATCCCCGTCACAGTTATTGAGCCAGGACCCCACCTGAATATAGTTGCATCGTCTTTGTTTCATGATACATTAAGAACAAAGATGAAAAATATAAATAATAGTATCTGATTCATTTTTCAAATGATTTTACGCACGCCTTCCTAGGGACTAGAGTTACTAAAACTTGAATATTCCAACAGGGAAATTCTGAAATAATTTACCAAGCTTTAAATTTTTGATAAATCACAAAAGCACGAGGATAAAGGTATAGAAGAAAATATCCATGGGTTGGCGTCATTTTGTTTCTGCTGACGAAATATGCTGGTGAATAAATTGGATCCTATCCGAAGAACACAAAAAATTATAATCTTTCCTTTTATCAATCTCATTTATGATTTATTAATTCACCTTAAATATGTCGGAAAAGTTCATTTAAAACGCTTTAAATAACCAAATTATCTTTTTCCAAAGAGTATGGTACAGGATTACATCATTACAACGACTAAACCACCGATAACATCTTCAGTTTCACATAATATAACGTCTAAAACCTCCCACCATTTTCATCATCTAAGGAAAAATCTAATAAATTAAGAAGCCATTTTAATTATCATAGGTGCGGCACTCCTCTGCCTCCGGGTTGTCTTTGCAGTAATTCTCCAAAGGATCGTTTTCTTTCTTCCTGTCCCTGGCGTGGCCGGCGGCTGCACTAATCTCTTCCACCTCGTCCCAGGCCGCCGCGCACTCTCCACTTGCTGGGTCATCCGAGCACGCCTCCTGTGCTTCCTTGATGCTCTTTTCCACCTTCTCCGATATGCTATCAGGGGCAGCTCTCACAGGTCTGATTACCTGCATCCTCCTAGACGCCAATTGAGAGAGCCTTTTCCATGGCTGGTTAACGTATGGGACCTTGACGGGGCTACCCTTTGTGGAGTCTGGTACGTTGGCCACGACTCTTGGGGTTACGAGGTTAAGACTAGACAGGGTTGCCATGGTTGCTTGTTGGTGGTCGCTGTTCCCGTTTTCGAACAAGAGTGAAACCGTGTGTAATGTTTTCTAGAGATGAAACGGTAACAATGAAGATTATTAATTGGGAAGTCTAATGGTTGGTGAACACAAATTTCTTATCATCTAGGAACCAATAAGAAAATTCCACGTTGCAGAAAAGTGCAGATATTTGACGGGAATATTTGAGCATTTATTAACCACTCCTTGGAATGTTAGAGATCTGGGTGTTCCACAACGACTACTCTAATGATTTTCTTTTTCATGTTATCAACATTACGATATTTTATGATAAATAATGCCGTAACACGAGTTTTTTTTTTTTTTTTAGAAAGGATAAAAGATTAAAAATATCCATTAGAAACGTAGACGATTGAAACATCTATTAGAAGCGTGACAACCATAAATAACATCTCAACCAAGAAAAAATTCAATGATCTGAGACAGCGATGTGATAAATATTTTCTTTTTTTTTGTCATTATATTGATCGATCATTATAGAACCCATTATCAATAAATACCAACAGGCAACGAGGATTAAAAATTTTCTTCGGTCATTTCACAAATTTACATAAAATTTTTATTATAACTTATACGAATTTGCTCTCACAATAATACACCAATAAAAATTATAAAAATTAATAATTAAAATAATTATCTTTGATTTAATATTTATAATATTAATTATAATATCCTTTAATTTAAAAATTATTCTTTTTATTATTAATTCAAAACAAAATTATAAATACTTGAGGAAAAAACCACGCCAAGTAAGGAAAGCACTCATGATAAAGATAAAAAAAAAATAACCATCAAGCAACAGGGATTAAAAGAATCCTCGCTCATTTACATAAAATTTTGTTTTTAAATTTTATTATAATTCATACGAATTTTAATGCTTTTCATTTAAAATTTTAAGATAAAACATGAAAATAAGTAGGTGCATTATTTGAGTGTAATATATTAATATATGTAACATTGATTATAATTATCAACAAATAATTAATTTAATTGATTAAAATTTATAATTTTTAATGAAAATATTTTAAGTTTAAGTTGAGTTCGAGTTTCATCGATGATTATTTATTAAAATTATCTAAAATATATAATTTATAATTATTTATCTTAAATTATTAAATATGATACATTTTAATTTAACTTAAAAGATCAAACAATTTATTTATTTTAAATTTTTATATAAAAAAATAATACTATCTATAATTTTAACGTTGTGAACTATTTAATTAAAATAACTTAGTCAATATATTTTAGATGCAGATTAAATCATTACAATTAATTAGTCAATAAATTAATTTCATTAATATCTAGTATTATAGCTAGCTAATAATACATTTATATAACTAAATGTTAATAGATGTACTTAAATCACTAGTATATATGATTACTAATATTACATATAAAGGGAAATCCAATTATTTGATCCATAATTTTTTAGCCGATGATTTAATTAGGCAATAAAAAAGGGTTTACTATTGTTGAAGCGTACAATATTTCACTTCTAGTAGCAGGTAAGAAACTTTCCGACCGAAGAGCTAAGAAATTGAAGAGGAAAGGAAAGAGATTAATATTTATGGTAACAACATATATATATATATATATTATGTTTTATCAATCAAATGAGGCAGCTGCAAGCTCTGTAGTTTATCTTCAACACTTGTGACCTCTATAGATTTGATTTCAGCATCTTTGTTCTCATCAACTATTTTAGGTGTCGAGTTTGTTGATTTAGTCGTACAAATCTAAAAAATGTAGAAGATATGATGGAAAGCATAGAGTAATGACGGTGCACTCCATAACAGCAGATAAGAAACTCCGACGGGAATGCATAAGGCGGAATTACAAAAAAAGGGTCTATCAAAAATACATATTACTTTTGGACAAAGGGTGGAGGTTGGTAATGACGACACGATGAGTCCACGCCTAGAAAAGGAAAAGAAATATCAATCAAATTAAAGAAACAAATGATGCGCCCCAACAAAGTTTATCATCGCCTCTCTCTCCTCTCCCTCTCTCTTTTACCTCCTTCTCTCTCCCCTAACCTCAACCTAAACGCCCGATTCCCTTCTTCGTCCATCCGTACACCTGCCCACCTCAGAACTCATTCTCGAAACGCCTCTAAACCATCCATGGTCGCCTCCCGATTCCCCTACCTCGTTCCCGTCAGCTCTGTTTTCGCTAGAGAGGGCACCCCCGGCGGTGGCTCTGCGAACACTTCCGTTACTTTCACCGAAGAAGACGATGGTACTTCGAAAATTTTAACATCTTTTGTATTCAATTTGAATTTGTTATTAGTTACAAGTTAGTTACTTGAAAAATTGAATTTTGAATTTGATGTAGAGAATGTTGCAATCGGAGTTAAATATCGTCTTCCGCCACTGGAAATTAGAGATATTGTTGATGCTCCGCCGCTCCCCGCGCTGTCATTTTCACCGCTAAGGGATAAAATTCTTTTTCTCAAGCGGAGATCTTTGCCTCCGCTGGCAGAGCTAGCAAGACCAGAGGAAAAGCTTGCTGGTATTCGAATTGATGGGAAATGCAACACGAGGAGCCGAATGTCTTTCTACACTGGTATAGGAATCCATCAACTAATGCCTGATGGCTCCTTGGGACCGGAAAAAGAGGTTAGAGGATTCCCTGATGGTGCTAAGATTAATTTTGTTACTTGGTCAAATGATGGTGTACATTTAGCCTTTAGTGTTCGTGTTGAGGAAGAGGAGAGTAGCAGTAGTAAGCTTAGAGTGTGGGTTGCTGATGTGGAAACTGGAACAGCTAGGCCGCTGTTTCAGTCACCGGATATTTATCTGAATGCAGTGTTTGATAATTATGTCTGGGTGGATGACTCTACCCTCTTAGTTTGTACTATTCCTTTGTCCCGTGGAGACCCACCAAAGAAACCTTTGGTTCCTTCTGGCCCCAAGATTCAATCCAATGAGCAGAAAAATGTCATTCAACTTAGAACATTCCAGGATTTGCTGAAGGATGAGTATGATGAGGATTTATTTGATTACTATGCCACCTCTCAGCTTGTTTTGGCTTCTTTGGATGGTACAGTGAAGGAGATTGGTACACCAGCTGTTTACACATCTATGGATCCTTCCCCTGATGAGAAGTACCTTTTGATTAGTTCGATTCATAGGCCATATTCTTTTATTGTACCATGTGGAAGGTTCCCCAAGAAAGTGGATGTGTGGACAACTGATGGGAAATTTGTTAGAGAACTCTGTGACTTGCCCCTTGCAGAGGACATTCCTATTGCATTCAATAGTGTGCGAAAAGGGATGAGGTCAATCAATTGGAGAGCAGATAAGCCTTCTACTATATACTGGTATATATCTATATCATTTACTCATTTATGCATTTGTAAAGATGAAATTGATGTTTTCTTTAAAAAAGAAAAAAGATGAAATTGACTGTAATTATATGGGACTATAGATGGTCTGACTTCTAATTATTTTATGAAGTCAGAGTGCAAAGCTGTGAAATCATGAGCACATGGTAGATGTTAGGTGTAATTATGTGATTGACATGTATAGATTTGAAGTAACCACTAACTTCAGTGATAAATTTTAATTGTTTCTTGATGAAGTTGTTTCTCTATGAAATTTTATTTCCCTGACTCTGCTGAAGTTTTTAGGGCAGAGACACAAGATGGAGGCGATGCGAAAGTGGAAGTTTCGCCACGTGATATAATTTATACACAGCCTGCAGAACCACAAGAAGGTGAACAGCCAAAAATCTTACACATACTTGATCTTCGCTATGGGTAGGTATACATGTTTCATTTCTTATATTTATCTTTGTAGGTTTCTGCATATTGATTAAATTGATGAATATAGCTGAGCTTTTTTTTTTCCTGTATTTGCAATGATGTCTCAAAACCGCTTAGTTATGAACTTTGTGTTTAACTGCTTGCTGATATAAAAAATATATCATCAAATTACAGGAATTTAAAAATGAATCAAGACTTGTAATTGATGGAGTAAGACATGTCCGCTTAACTGAATTGCTACTATCTAATGTATGTTTGATCACCATCCCTTGGTGCTTATTTCATTTCCTAACATAAATATATTTGAGTTCGTCCAGCAAATGTGGGGATAAAGGATTTTCTTAGCATGCATCTATATGACTTAACTGCCATGTATTTGATGCATCGTTCTAACTCTATAGCATATGGCAAAGCAATGATAAGCTTATTAAGTGTTGAGGAGTAGATCAAGCTGCGCCTTGCTGGAAAATAAATTCAAGTATTGTTTATAGGGTCAATGGCAAGCTATTGTTTTGTTTTGAAGATCCAACAATGTTACCTAATCTGTGTGATTCTTCATATTGACAGAGGGATTTCATGGTGTGATGATTCACTTGCTCTGGTCTACGAGTCGTGGTACAAGACGCGTCGAACAAGAACCTGGGTGATATCTCCTGGATCAAAAGATGTGAGTCCTCGCATACTTTTTGATAGGTCATCTGAGGATGTGTACTCTGATCCTGGTTCTCCCATGCTCAGGAGAACCCCTGCTGGGACTTATGTGATAGCCAAACTAAGGAAGGAAAACGATGAAGGAGCGAATATTTTGCTGAATGGAAATGGTGCTACGCCAGAGGGGAACATCCCCTTCCTTGATTTGTTTGACATGTAAGTATTTAAGAATTCACCTTTTGTTGTGTTCTTGTTGCGGGTCCATTAGTGCCACTGTGATCTAAAACAAATTCTTCCAGAAATACAGGCAGCAAAGAACGAATATGGGAGAGTGACAAGGAAAAGTATTATGAGGGCGTTGTTGCTTTGATGTCTGATGAGAAAGAAGGGGATATATGCATTAACGACCTGAAGATACTTACTTCTAAAGAGTCAAAAACTGAGAATACCCAATATTACATTCAAAGTTGGCCAGATAGGAAATTATGTCAGATCACGGACTTCCCTCATCCATATCCACAGTTGGCATCATTGCAGAAAGAGATGGTTAGATACCAGAGAAAGGATGGGGTTCAACTTACTGCAACATTGTACTTGCCACCAGGCTATGATCCGTCAAAAGAGGGCCCTCTTCCATGTTTGGTTTGGTCTTACCCAGGGGAATTTAAAAGCAAAGATGCAGCTGGACAAGTTCGCGGTTCTCCTAATGAGTTTGCTGGCATAGGTCCAACATCAGCTCTCCTTTGGCTTGCTAGAAGGCATGGAATTCTTCTTTTCATATTTGCTATTTACACTTTTTGTGTTTTCGTTTGCCTTTCACTGGGTTTTCAATTTGAGCTGCCTGCCAATAGACTAAATTATGGTTACCCATATTTGCTGCTTTGCAGATTCGCTATTTTATCTGGGCCAACAATCCCAATTATTGGTGAAGGGGATGAAGAAGCAAATGATAGGTAATGCAACTACTTGTATGATTATATATACACATTTGTGCGTGTGGGTATGTATATCCCATCATATTTACTATCTGTGTAGGTATGTAGAGCAACTGGTTTCAAGTGCAGAGGCAGCTGTTGAGGAAGTTATTCGACGTGGAGTATGCATCTTCATTCCCTCACATATTATCACCATTGGCAGCATACGGTTAAATTTCTGACTTGAGCTTTTCTGATGCTGCATGTGTTTAGGTAGCTCATCCTAACAAAATTGCTGTTGGGGGACATTCCTATGGAGCATTCATGACGGCAAACCTTCTGGTGCATGCTCCTCACCTTTTCTGTTGTGGGATTGCTCGGTCTGGAGCTTACAACAGAACCCTTACACCCTTCGGTTTTCAGGTAGTGAACTAGAGCATTTATCTATATTTAATGCAATGCATAATGCCTATCAGCTTTTCAATATTATCACCTGTACAATTGTTATCCTTTCTTCTCTATCTTCATCTTGTCTCTATGGATGGATTCTTGGCTTCCTCTCATTGGCGCAGAATGAGGATAGAACTCTTTGGGAGGCAACTAATACCTATGTAGAGATGAGCCCATTAATGTCTGCAAATAAAATCAAGAAGCCAATCTTGCTTATCCATGGAGAAGAAGACAATAACCCTGGAACACTAACCATGCAGGTATATTGCTTTCCACACCCTCGCTGGTGGCCCTTCTACGTATAATGTTCTACCTGATTTATCAACCAACCACAGAATAATTTACTTGGAAAGTTTATTTATTTCGCCCATTATCCATTTGTTGAATTATGCTTTGTTAGGTAGCCCTCTTCCATCCCTTTTTTGCTTCCCTTTATCTTGCCACAAATGCAGCAGAACCTGTTCCGTGTCCTTTCAGATTTTAAATATTTTTTTTTACCTATTTGACTTATCATTGATCTCTTCCTTTACTTGTTTGCTCGCCAACTTGTTGGGCATATCCATACAATGCAGTCAGATCGTTTCTTCAATGCTCTAAAGGGCCATGGAGCTCTTTGTCGCCTTGTCATTCTACCCTTTGAGAGCCATGGCTATGCTGCTCGAGAAAGTATCATGCATGTCCTCTGGGAAACTGATAGATGGCTTCAAAAGCATTGTGTATCAAACACTTCTGAAGTGAGTGCAGATATTGATACGAGCAAAGATGGAGCAAGCAATGAAGTTGCCAAGTCTGAAAAGAAAGCAGTTGGTGCCAGTGGAGGCAGTGCTGCAGAGCTGACAGATGATTTTGAAAGTGAACAGCTCCATTCAAAGCCAACGTTATTAATGTGGTAACTTAATAATTCCTCAGTTCTTTCTGGTCTTTATTTTCGCCACAGTTTATTGAAGAACAGATTCATCAACTTAATTACACTTACCGATTTTTTGTTTGTAGATCACATTCCTGAGTTTTGGCCTCCGAGAACTGAAATTGGACTGACGGTGATTGGTAGCAAAACAGCAAATACCATAAATTTCAATGCATCAATTTTAATAATCCTAGATAATTGTTGTCAACATCATATACTACTGCAACCCCTGAATGCCGATTAGTTGGAAACTTTAAAGCACAGTTACCTGGCAGATGGCCTATGTGATCTACAACCACGTAAACATGGTGCTTATTTTCCTATCTTCCCCACTTTCTCATTTGAAGCGTATTAATACACATTAGCCGATCAAATTTAGTTGGCAAACTCTGAAACTCGAAATTTGAATATTGTGGGATCTTAAGCAAATTGTGAGAAATTAGAATGACCTATTTATTACTCTTTTATCTTAGGTTGGTTGTTTAAGTTGCAAAACTATTAGATTATGTTTGATGTATATGATGATGGATAAAACAGGATGATATAAGGAAGGGCAGTGGAATTCAGGTGGCCACTTTATGGAAGCAGCTTGGCCCCTTGATGACACTTAAGGCATGATATACCCTGAGAAGAACAAAATTGTGGAGGTCATTTTGCAGATGATAACTCCTGTAACATTGCTAAATGTGACTGGTTTATTTGCGTACAGGATAGATGGTCATCCATCAATATGGGAAAAAAATCGGGGAATAGCTACTCTTCCAACATTCAAGATTGCAGCCATAGGTGTCTTCCTGGTGTTCAAGATACATGGAATTAAAATTTGTATTTCCATTTGCAATCCAAACAAAAGTCCCAAGTATCACTCAAAAATTCGATCGTGATCCTCAGCCATCAGCATGTATATTCTTTCAATTCTTTCAGCTTGTGATATTGTCAAATAGCATGCAAAATATAATATTTTTGGATGAGGTTCTTCTGTTTCGAGTCAAATTCATATTTCTGATTGAAAATAATTCATTCAGAAACATGAAGGTCTCCTTTTAATCTGTTACAGAGCCTGCTTAGTTATTTAATAATAATAAAAAAAAACCCTCACACGGCTATTTACTCTTTTAGGCGGGTGTCCCAAGTTCCAGCCCTTGGACTCCATCGTTTGGAAAGTTTAATTAAATTAAAAATAATAGTAAAAAAAGACGAATTGATATTAAGCTAAAAATTTATTGTAATTATCAATATTGGCAATTGACCTGTTGGCAATGCAATAAAAAATTAATAATCCCGGGGAAGCTGGTATATTGAAGAGAAAGCCTTTCAGCCGCGACAGAAAGAAGCCGAATTAACTGGGGGATGTGGGAAATCTCTGGTAAATTGGTGCAAAGCAGTCATGTTAAGGTCAAAAGTATCAAAAAGGAAAAACTAAATGCATGCCATGGAAAAATGCAAATAGCTATCATAATAAAGAAAAGACTTCCATTATTTCTATAAGATTCATACATGCTTTCTCCCACCAATTCCTATATGTATTGAATTGCTACCTAGCTTGTTGGCATAATAAATGCTTAAACCTTATTTTTATCTAATTTCCTGACTTATGCAACTATACACACATAATGACAATATCCTATATGCTTGCTCATGAAAAAACTTCTTTTACTAAGGTGAAGATGGGAAAAACTGAAGGTAATAATATAGAAACAACAACCTTGAGACTGGTTGTTGTTTTACTAAGGTGCACATGCTAAACCAGTCAACAGTGCATCAATGAGACTGGTGTTTCTTTGCTCTACCTTGAGAGACTGATGTATCATCTCTCTTGGAACCTTCATGTTTCCTAGCCCATGCAGGTGCTTGATCTGGGCCATAACGATAATCATAAAAGAGCTCTTCACTAGCTTCAATGCGCTTCTTGGCAAAAATTCCTACTCGATGATCTCCAGCCACCAACATTACCTGTGCAAGCTAAGGTATTAGCTAAACCAATAAGAAATGTCCTCAAAAGAATTGCAGACAGTTGTATACCTTCGCATAGCAATTTAGATTAGAAGTATGGTTCGCAAATTTCAATTTGTCTCCTTCGCGGTAAGCACCAAGGACATACTGTGAAGTGTTAATGCCACTCAGTATCTATGGATTCTCAAACTTTCTTTGTAATACAAAAGTTTCAGAGGATAATTTTATAATTTTTTTTTCAATTGGTAAGCATTTAAACATAAAGCAAAGTGTTAAAGGGAATGCTTGCAATTGTAGCTTGTAAAGGTGATAGTATCACCGATATGGCCTCAAGAGAATCGTGATGGTTGGAGACCTTTTCTTTTCACCCCTTTATTAAAGAAAGACCATGCAATAGGAGGAAATAGAGAGTTCTGGTAAATACCATGTAATCTGTTTCCTATTTCCCATTTTCTTCCAAAAATGAACTTGTCACGATGGACCTATGAAGTGTTGAAGCTCCACATCACAAATGTAACTTGACACCTCTATGTAAGTCTTCAAACCAGAAAGCAAATTCCCGGATATAAGGCAACCGTAAAGCATGGGATCATGCATTAGTAGAAACATGATAAATGGACATATGAATATTGTTATCTAGAAGGGAGAAGAAAGATATCTGGAATTACAACTGCCTAAACATAACAAGTTCATCAAGATCAGAAAGTAAAGCAGGTTAATTGTAAAAATATAAGCATGTTACACAATTTTCATTATGAGTTTTTTTGCTATGCGCATTTTAGTTCTTCTAAGGAAGCTTTTGCAGATTAGTCCACTAAAAATTTAGAACTGCAGAAACCAACTCCAAAGATACCAACATGAATATTTATATGGATTTATATTTAACACAACCAACATCTATTTGCATTTTATGCTAAGAAAAAGATTGACAAAAGTTGTAATCCCTTCCTACCTGTTTCTCCCAAATATCTCCACTCCCTTCAAATACAATTCTCTCTCAATAGGTTTCCAATCAGAAGATGACCACTTCAATTCAGGCACCTTTGCAACATCTGTGGCTCCATCACTTAGATTATCCTCGGTCTTATCACTGGAAGCACTAGCAGAACAGGCAAAAGTTACTGAAACCCGTTCATCAGATTCATTTTGATTGTTTTTGGCCGTAATTTGAGCTTCATTTTCATTAGGAGTACCAACATGATGGTTCCTACTTTTAGTACTTTCAGAACTGGCATGATCCTGACTTGGTATAGCTTCAGAAGACTTTGTACCTAAATCCAAAACCAATACCGTCTTTTGTTTCTTAATTGCAGAATCCTGGCTGCCATCAGAATAGAGTACAGAATCATCTAACGGTCTATATCTTTCTTGGGAGGCCTTCAGCTTTCCAGAACTTTCATGGTTATCTATAGCTATGCAAGATATCTCCAAATTTTGAGCTTCACCAGCACCTTCTGAGTCATGAATACCTTCTAAAGTAACAGGCCTCGCTTCTTCAGTGATACCTCTTTCATCTTGCATAAGATCTGCACCAACATTAGTCTTTGGCCCTTTGGCATCAGATGATGCAGCCTGGTCTTTCTCTTCTAGAGTTGTAGTCATCACTCTATGCAATGCATTGCCACCTGAACCTTCTGGCATACCTTTGACAGCTCTTAACTGCATGAATTGGTGTTAAAACCATAAGGCTTCACTCTTTTCCCACAAAATAAATTATCTTAAATCCAAAGACAAATTAAATATGGGATATGATAATAACGATAAATATATACTAGAAAAGAAATTAAAAGGTACTCCAAGGATATGAACAAGTGCAAATTCACACCAAATCAAACATATCTCAGTAAACGTACGCATATAAGCACTAAAATAATCTTCTTCTCTTTGGTGAGCAATAAAAAAGTAAACTACAAAACGATGGAATGAGTTGCAGATAGGGACCATATATAGGAGGCATTTTAGGAAAAAATGTAGAGTTATAGACAAATAGATTTTGCATCAGAACCCAGCTTTTGAGGGCAAGGAACAGCACCAGAGAACAATAAAGAATGCAAATATTTGGAGAATACTGGAGAAGTTTAGTCCAGAAAGTTATTAACATGAATGTCATTAACCTACACTTCCAATGGTTTTGGAAGTAGCAACTCATAAGACAATTCCAGACATAAGTTTTTAGAAAAGAATAATTGGAACCAAACCCGGAGGTAACATTGATCACTGCAAGGCTTCCTGTCATCTTCATATTCAGAACAATATGGCTGCTTTTCAATCTGTCAAGCAATAGGTTCCAAGTCAGATAAACTAATGAAACAAACTCGCGTTAAATTGAAAGACAAGAAGCACATTGCTTTCAGGATTAATTACAGTTTGGGAACAGCCATGAAGACGGCAGTCAAATAACTGTCAGATACAAAGTAGATCAGCAAGGGGGCTAAAAAAATTCAAAAGAACTGCACAGGATATCCACATGCCAATGCTTCTTTTTAACAAATAACATTAAGAATGACTGGTTAGAGACTATGTACCAAGCAACGACGGCAAAACAGATTATCAAAAGAATCTAAAGCAGCACTGAGGCTCTTGTCCAAAGACATACCCTTTTCAGATCCAGAATCCTCCGAATCTTTAATGTTTTGGTCACTGTATTTGTCTGCGAGCGTGCCATGCCGTTCCTGACAATCTCATAAGAAAAAAGTTTCTAATAAATATTAAGAAAAACGGTATTTAAACAAAAACCTTGGAAGGAAGGGATTAAAGAAACCAAGCATCATCCAAAATAAGGCAACCAAGTTCACATGCGAATAACGCTGGATACCTGGATTTCAGATATGGTTACTCCAATAAATTGGCTGACGGCCCTCAGTATTTCCTCACCTAGACCGTACTCCTGACGGACGGTCCTGCCAAATTCAACATTGTTAATCCTAAATGATTGACTGGTTTTTTTCATAGAATAAAATAGAAAAGAACTTATCCGCAGTTCATCAGAAATCCAATAAACATCTCTTATGGTGACAGTATGTCATCAGTTAGCTAATATAGAATTTGAGCTCCATATGAAATACATGCCAGTATGAAGAAAGAGACTAACACAGCAAATAGAAACAGCAGCAGTCTTTTAACCTAGCACGCTTTTGCTGTCTTGGTTTTACATCAGTGTCGCTCCATCTTCTTACCATTACAAGACCAATGACATTTATGCATTGAAAGATTATGAACAATGTCTACCACTTGCATTTCTGTAGTTGTTCACTTGTGACTAGTATGATGATAACAAGGCACAAGAAGTTCAACTTTCGGAATGCAACTGTGCACAACTTCATTTTTTTTCACGAGGAAAGTATATACACTACGTTTCTCTTAAAAATTGAATATCACTCTTCCTTATTTATGTGCGGAGGTTGCATCTTATTTTACTTACCACAAAATACGTTCTTCACCCTCAGAGAATTCATGTTTGTCTTCCTCACTCTCTGCAATATCTTCCTCACTGTCACTACAGATTAAGGCTTCACTGCCATGTTGGTCATAGTATATACGTCTCCTCTCCACAACAGATTGGTATTCGGCCATTCTCTGATTTCTGTGCTGAATGTTGCATATTTAAGATAAGACGAGCAAAAACAAAATCTCATGCAAAACTAGACGAGGTGAGAAAAGGTTGTGGATTCATGTGTGGAAGCTTCTGCTGCTGAAATCTCCAACTTTGAATTAAATAACAGTAACAAAACCTTGAGAAGCTTAAATAACATGCCTAGCTTTTCCTAATGGCTTAAGCTTTTAGGATCAAGTGGTGTTTAACATGTTATCAAGCCCTTTCATGAAATCTCTCCAACTTATAATCCTCGACCTGAGATGACTTAAGTAGCATGGCTAGCTCATGACCTAACAGATTAAGCATTTCGGATAAAGTGGTCTCCAGTATGTCATTAAGTCTTTGCGTGAAATCTCCCCAAAAATTGTCCCCAATTAAAAGTAATTTATTTCATGATTTTAATCGAATACATACATATATACATGTATATATATATATATATATATGTAGACAGAATAGAATTCTTGAAGTTAGGCCAACTAATATAGTAATCCAACATACTTGTCCAAAAATATCCATGTTGTATATGTTGGGAACTTCTCAATATATGGAAGCTTGGCACTTGTTGGAGATACAACTTCAAGAGCATTAGCATAGTCTCTATCTCCTGAAACTTGAGCAAATCCAGTATACTTACATAGAGGGATTTCTATTCTTGAAGAAAGCATTTTACCAAATCCATTCTCCTCCACACATAGGACATTCCTACTTGATGCAGCTGACAAAATCTCCGAAATATGACTCTCTAGCTTCTTTCAGTTCTTCTCTAACTTTTTCCTGTGCACACCACACAATATAAATATGATTTATTTGAATCTTGTCTAGCAGTTTGAGAAAAAATAAATTCAGTTCAGACAAGTTGAATGCAACAGATTCACAGTTATCAAATCTGCATGTCATTAAAAAAAAAGTTGCATTTCATTTTTTTTTTTCTAAAAATGATCGTGCTAGTGAAATTCAAGGACAAATAGATAATGTAGCATTAATTTAAAATAACAAGAATGAATACAATAAGTAAAATTTTAAGTTGACTGATATAACTAAAAGCATAACTTATCTACCTCTATTGAAGCAGTTCTCTCTGCTTGAATTTGATGTCAAGTTTCCTACGCTGCCACCGGAGTTTTCTCCATGTGATTTCTGCCATGTCAACATAAATAAAACAAAATATTGATGATCAAGCAAAAGGGAAAATTGAAAAACCTCAATTCCGAGATATTCTTTCTTTTGCCCTTTTTTTTTAATGCATAATTCATCAGGATCCAAACAGAGCATAAGTTGCAGTGAGTGGTGATGAATTTCAAGTGATTTTTTTTTTTTGCGAATCATATTCCGTGGAATTTCAAGTCTATGTTACCAATTATAATCTAATAACCAAGAGAGGACAATTAAAAAAAAAAGTAAAAAGATTCGGAATTTATTTATATTCCATCTTTAAATGAGACAGTGAATTATGCAACTAGTATCCAATTTTCAGATGATAACAAATTAGAAGATTGGATAAAAATGAAGAAGTAAAAAGATCCTTTTTTTTGTCATTATATTGATCAATCCTTATAAAACTTATTACTCACGATAAATATCAATAAATACCAACAGGCAACAAGGATTACAAATTTTCTTGGATCATTTCACTCATTTACATAAAATTTATTTTTAATTTTATTATGATTCATATAAATTTACTCTCACAATAATTAAAAAAATTTATAGAAATTAATAATTAAAATAATTATCTCCGATTTATTATTTTGTTAATATTAATTATAATATCTTTTAATTTAAAGATTATTCTTTTATAATTAATTCGAAACAATTATAAATATTTGAAGAAAAAAAACCACACTAAGCAGGAAAAGCGCTTTAGTATACCATCAGGCAACAGGGATTAAAAAAATTTGTTCCCTCATTTATATAAATCTTTGTTTTCAAATTTTATTATAATTCATACAAATTTTAATACTTTTCATTTAAATCTTTAAGATAAAACATGAAAATAAATGCATTAATTGAGTGCAACATGTTAATGCATGTAACACTGTCCATAATTTTAACATTGTGAACTATTTAATTAAAATAACTAAGTCAATATATTTTAGATGCGGATTAAATAATTACAATCAATTTGTCAAAAAAATTTAATTCCATTAATATCTAGTATTATAGCTAACTAAATGTTAATAGATGTATTTAAATCACTAATATATATGATTAATAATACTACATTTAAGGGAAATCCAATTATTTGATCCATAATCTTTTAGCCGATGATTTAATAAGGTAATAAAAAAAGCGTTTGAACAAGTTCGTAAAAAATTAAGATTGATGATTAATTACAAGTCTCTTAATATTTTTTTTATAGATGATAAGTTCCCTTTTTCAGATTGAAAAACTTTGTTTGCAAATTTGACAACTGTAAAAGTCTTCTCAAAATTTGACCTAAAAGCATAATTTTAACAATTAGGTATACATCCGCAGGACAGATACAAAATGACATTTTGCATTCTTTAACATCATTTTTAGTGAACAGTTATGACTTTTGGATTAAAAGTTATTCTTTCATTGTTTCAGAAAGCAATGACGAAAATATTTACTCCAATTCTTGATAATGCCTTAATTTACATTGATAATATCTTACTGTTTTCTCTAAATGTCACATCTCATACACAGCTATTAGATAAATTCCACCAAATTGTTCAACAGTATGAAATAATGCTTTCAGAGAAAAAGATGATTATTGGTGCCTCAAAAATTGATTTTTTAGGCATGGAAAGTACATAGTTAAACCCCACATTGCTCAGACACTTGCATATTTTCCTGATGAAAATATTTTCAAAAAGCAAGTACAACAATTCCTTTGTGCAGTCAATTACATGAGTGAATTTTTCTTATATCTTGCACAGCTAACTCATCCTCTCAGACAGATGCTAAAGAAAGAACCTCTCATGTAGTCTTAGAAGCAGATAAATACAGTACATACCTTGAACATAAAAGCAAAATTACTTTCAACTTTAAAGATTCCCTTAGATGGAAAAATGATATTGCAAACAGATGCAAGTGAACAATTTTAGTCAACAATTCTTTTGAAAGAAAAAGATGGAATCAGACAGATTTGTGGTTACAAGAGTGAAAAATTCAAATATTCGAAACTCCATTATCACTCTACACTGAAAGAGATTTTAGCTGTAGAGTATGAAATTCAAAGATTTAAATTTTATCTCATTGCATATCACTTTCTTGTGGAATTAGATATGTCAACTTTTGATTAGATACTCAATTTTAAAAAGAAATAGATGCCAAATACACAGTTACTCAGGCTATCACAATGGTTCTTACAGTACTCTTTCACCACAGTACATATAAAAGGTAAAGATAACCTTCTTCCAAACATACTTACCAGATCTCCTCCAAAACCTCTTTCAAACACCTTGCAGATCATTTCAGTCATTTGCATGATGACTCCCTTACCTTTACCTTTACCTTGATCCTATTCCTCAAATCGTAACCAATTTTTTTCTCTATCCTTACCTTTACAACCTAAAATACAACCCTTTGTTCTAGATCCAGATTTCCAACCAATTTTTTTCAGTTCACAAAAATTTTCTTAAAATTCAACAGATCATTGTCAAAAAAGATAATTGAAAGACATACTCATGATCTTATTTACAAGATACAGGCTATCCTTATTAGAAAAAGAGCTGATCATAGCCTCAGATCCATTGGTTTTCATCATTAATTTTCTTTTCTTCACTTGTTTCACATCCCTCATATAGCAGGCTTATTCAAATAAGCTTTGATTCTTTTATGGTATTTATGCCAACCCTACACCATTGCCATTGAGTTTAACTATTTTGAACTCAATTTTGCCACATCACTTTTGTCAATAATGATTTCTTTTATGAAACAAACATTCATTTAAGAAATTTTTTAAAGTGGTTTAAACCCCTCCATAAGTGGTATTTTACCACCAAACATCTTTCCTAACATTATCATGTTATTTTTTTCTTTCACTGCCCTTGTGAATTCCATGACAATTTTGCCCTCTTCCAATCTCATTTTGATATGTATGTGTGCAATCCATACTCTCTATACAAATCTATCTTCATGAGTACAAGCTACTGTTAAAATGATTATGCAAAATCAACAACATCCTAATCTCTGTAAAACTTTTCCCTTTCAAGAAAACCATGGTGGTGATACTTTTCAAAATACATAAAAGAATTACACAATCACCTGGCACATTGGATCCTGAACCACCTTACAACACTTGGTGGAGTGACTTAACTTATTAATTTTGATCTTCACATTTCTTTAGAGCTAGCTGAACTTCCAACAGACCCTTATTGGTAGAATAAAAAAGATCTCTTCAAACTTAGAGTAAGATTTGAATATAAAGTCTACAATCACTTATTTTAATATTGTGATTCACACTCAAAAAATTTTGAATAAAAACTATTTCGATAAGTGAAGAGTAAGAAATTTTTTGAGTAACGAAATTAAAATAAAAAAGAAAGAGTTTCATATATATGGTAACAACATGTATATTTTTATCAATCAAATGAGGCAACTATTTTAGGTCCTTTATATATTTGATTTCAGCATTTTGGTGACTAGTTTGTTGACTTAGTCGTACAAATCTAACAAAGTTAGAAGATATGATGAAGAGCATAGCGTAACAAGGGTGCACTCCATAGCAGCAGATAAGAAACTCCGAAGGAAATACGTTAGGGGGAATTACAGATAGGGGTCTATCACAAATACGTATTCCTTTTGGGCGAAGGATGGACATTGTTAATAACGACAAGATGACTGATGAGTACACGCCTGGAAAAGCAAAAGAAAAACTAATCAATCAAAATAAAGAAATGAATGATGCGATATAATAAAGTTTATCATCGTCTCTCTCTCCCCTCCCTCTCTCTTTTACCTCCTTCTCGCTCCCCTAACCTGAATCTAAATGCCAGATTCCCTTCTTCATCCCTTCGTACACCTGCCCACCTCAAAACTCATTCTCGAAACGCCTCCAAACCAGCCATTGGCGCCTCTCGATTCCCCCACCTGGTTCCCGTCAACTCTGTTTTCGCTGAAGACGGCACCGCCGGCAATGGCTCTGCGAACACTTCGGTTACCTTCACCGAAGAAGACGATGGTACTTCGAAAATTTTAACATCTTTAATTTGAATTTGCTATTAGTTACAAGTTAGTTACTTAAAAAATTGAATTTTGAATTTGATGTAGAGAATGTTGCAATCGGAGTTAAATTTCGTCTTCCACCGCCGGAAATTAGAGATATTTTTTATGCTACTTCTCGCCCCAAACTGTCATTTTCACCGTTAAGGGATAAAATTCTTTTTCTCAAGCGGAGATCTTTGCGTCGGCTGGCAGAGCTAGCAAGACCAAAGGAAAAGCTTGCTGGTATTCGAATTGATGGGAAGTGCAACACGAGGAGCCGAATGTCTTTCTACACTGGTATAGGAATCCATCAACTAATGCCTGATGGCTCCTTGGGACCGGAAAAAAAGGTTAGAGGATTCCCTGATGGTGCTAAGATTAATTTTGTTACTTGGTCAAATGATGGTCTACATTTAGCCTTTAGTGTTCGTGTTGAGGAAGAGGAGAGTAACAGTAGTAAGCTTAGAGTGTGGGTTGCTGATGTGGAAACTGGAACAGCTAGGCCGCTGTTTCAGTCACCAGATGTTTATCTGAATGCAGTGTTTGATAATTATGTTTGGGTGGATAACTCTACCCTCTTAGTTTGTACTATTCCGTTGTCCCGTGGAGACCCACCAAAGAAACCTTTGGTTCCTTCTGGCCCCAAGATTCAATCCAATGAGCAGAAAAATGTCATTCAACTTAGAACATTCCAGGATTTGCTGAAGGATGAGTATGATGAGGATTTATTTGATTACTATGCCACCTCTCAACTTGTTTTGGCTTCTTTGGATGGTACAGTGAAGGAGATTGGTACACCAGCTGTTTACACATCTATGGTTCCTTCCCCTGATGAAAAGTACCTTTTGATTAGTTCGATTCATAGGCCATATTCTTTTATTGTACCATGTGGAAGGTTCCCCAAGAAAGTGGATGTGTGGACAACTGATGGGAAATTTGTTAGAGAACTCTGTGACTTGCCCCTTGCAGAGGACATTCCTATTGCATTCAATAGTGTGCGAAAAGGGATGAGGTCAATCAATTGGAGAGCAGATAAGCCTTCTACTATATACTGGTATATGTCCTTGTCATTTACTCATTTATGCATTTGTAAAGATGAAATTGACTGTAATTATATGGGACCATAGATGGTCTGACTTCTAAATATTTTATGAAGTCAGAGAGCAAAGCTGTTGTGAAATCATGAGCACATGGTAGATGTTAGGTGTAATTATGTGATCAAAGTGTATAGATTTGAAGTAATCACTAACTTCGGTGATAAATTTTAATGTTTCTCAATGAAGTTGTTTCTCTATGTAATTTTAATTCCCTGTCTCTGCTGATGATTTTAGGGCAGAGACACAAGATGGAGGTGATGCAAAAGTGGAAGTTTCGCCACGTGATATAATTTATACACAGCCTGCCGAACCACAAGAAGGTGAACAGCCAGAAATCTTACACAAACTTGATCTTCGCTATGGGTAGGTTTACATGTTTCATTTCTTAAATTTGTCGTTGTAGGTTTCTGCATTTTGATTAAATTGATGAATATAGCTAACCTTTTTTTTCTGATGCATCTTGAATGATGTCTCAAAACCTCTTAGTTGTGAAGAACTTTGTGTTTGTCTGCTTGCTGATGTAAAAAATATATCATCAAATTACAGGAATTTTAAAAATGAGTCAAGAGTTGTAATTGATGGAGTAAGACATGTCCACATAACTGAATTGCTACTATCTAATGTATGTTTGATCACCATCCCTTGGTGCTTATTTCATTGCCTAACATGAAGATCTTTGAGTTCCTCCAGCAAATGTTGGGATAAAGGATTTTCTTAGCATGCATCTATATGACTTAACTGCCATGTATTTGATGCATCATTCTAACTCTATGGTATATGGCGAAGGGATGATAAGCTTATTAAGTGTTGAGGAGTAGATCAAGCTGTGCCTTGCTGGAAAATAAATTCAACTATTGTGCATACAGTTAACGGCAAGCTATTGTTTTGTTTTGAAAATCCAACAATGTTACCTAATCTGTGTGATTCTTCATATTGACAGAGGGATTTCATGGTGTGATGATTCACTTGCTCTGGTCTACGAGTCGTGGTACAAGACACGTCGAACAAGAACATGGGTGATATCTCCTGGATCAAAAGATGTGAGTCCACGCATACTTTTTGATAGGTCATCTGAGGATGTGTACTCTGATCCTGGTTCTCCTATGCGGAGGAGGACCCCTGCTGGGACTTTTGTGATAGCCAAACTAAGGAAGGAAAATGATGAAGGAGCTTTTCTTTTGCTGAATGGAAATGGTGCTACACCAGAGGGGAACATCCCCTTCCTTGATTTGTTTGACATGTAAGTGTTTAAGAATTCACCTTTTTTGTGTTCTTGTTGCGGGTCCGTTGGTGCCATCGTGATCTAAAACAAATTCTTCCAGAAATACAGGCAGCAAAGAACGAATATGGGAGAGTGACAAGGAAAAGTATTATGAGAGGGTTGTTACTTTGATGTCTGATCAGAAAGAAGGGGATATATGCATTAATGACCTGAAGGTACTTACTTCTAAGGAGTCAAAAACTGAGAATACCCAATATTACATTCAAAGTTGGCCAGATAGGAAATTATGTCAGATTACAGACTTCCCTCATCCATATCCACAGTTGGCATCATTGCAGAAAGAGATGATTAGATACCAGAGAAAGGATGGGGTTCAACTTACTGCAACATTGTACTTGCCACCAGGCTATGATCCATCAAAAGAGGGTCCTCTTCCATGTCTGGTTTGGTCTTACCCAAGGGAATTTAAAAGCAAAGATGCAGCTGGACAAGTTCGCCGTTCTCCTAATAAGTTTGCAGGCATAGGTCCAACATCAGCTCTCCTTTGGCTTGCTAGAAGGCATGGAATTCTTCTTTTCATATTTGCAATTACTCTTTTTGTGGTTTTAGTTTGCCTTTCACTGGGGTTTTCATTTGAGCTGCCTGCTGTTAGACTAAATTATGGTTACCCATATTTGCTGCTTTGCAGATTTGCTATTTTATCTGGGCCAACAATCCCAATTATTGGTGAAGGGGATGAAGAAGCAAATGATAGGTAATGCAACTACTTCTATGATTATATATACACATTTGTGTGTGTGGGTATGTATGTCCCATCATATTACTATCTGTGTAGGTATGTAGAGCAACTGGTTTCAAGTGCAGAGGCAGCTGTTGAGGAAGTTATCCAACGTGGAGTACACATCTTCATTCCCTCACATATTATCACCGTTGGCAGCATACGGTTAAATTTCTGACTTGAGCTTTTCTGATTCTGCATGTGTTTAGGTAGCTCATCCTAACAAAATTGCTGTTGGGGGACATTCCTATGGAGCATTCATGACTGCAAACCTTCTGGCACATGCTGCTCACCTTTTCTGTTGTGGGATTGCTCGGTCTGGGGCTTACAACAGAACCCTTACACCATTCGGTTTTCAGGTAGTGAACTAGAGCATTTATCTATATTTAATGCAATGCATAATGCCTATAGGCATTTCAATATTATCACCCACACAATTTCTATCCTTCTCTATCTTCATTTTTTCTCTATCAATGGATTCATGGCTTCCTCTCATTGGCGCAGAATGAGGATAGAACTCTTTGGGAGGCAACTAATACCTATGTAGAGATGAGCCCATTGATGTCTGCAAATAAAATCAAGAAGCCAATCTTGCTTATCCATGGAGAAGAAGACAATAACCCTGGAACACTAGCCATGCAGGTATATTGCTTTCCACACCCTTGCAGCTGGCCCTTCTACGTTTGACGTTCTACCAGATTTATCAACTGTACACAGAATAATTTACTGATAAAGTTTATTTGTTTCGCCCATTATCCAGTTGTTGAATTATGTAATGTTAGGTAGCCCTCTCCCATCCCATTTTTCCTTCCCTTCATCTTGCCACGAATGCAGAACCTGTTCCATGTCAGTTTAGATCTTTGATATTTTTTTTAGCTATTTGACTTATCTTTAATCTCTTCCTTTACTTGTTTGCTTGCCAACTTGTTGGGCATAACTATACTATGCAGTCAAATAGTTTCTTCCATGCTCTAAAGCATCATGGAGCTCTTTGTCGCCTTGTCATTCTACCCTTCGAGGGCCATGGCTATGCTGCTCGAGAAAGCATCATGCGTGTCTTCTGGGAAACTGATAGATGGCTTCAAAAGCATTGTGTATCAAACACTTCTGAAGTGACTGCAGATATTGATACGAGCAAAGATGGAGCAAGCAACGAAATTACCAAGTCTGAAAAGAAGGCAGTAGGTGCCAGTGGAGGCGGTGCTGCAGAGCTGGCAGATGATTTTGAAAGTGAACGGTAATTCAAAGCCGAGGTCATTAATGTGCTAACGTAATAATTCCTCAGTTCTTTCTGGTCTTTATTTTCACCACTGTTTATTGAAGAACAGATTCATCGACGTAATTACTCTTACCAATTATTTGTTTGTAGATTACATTCCTGAGTTTTGGCCTCTGACGACTAAAATTGGACTGACGATGATTGGTAGCAAAACAGCAAATACCGAAAATTTCAATGCATCAATTTTCATAATCCTAGATGAATGCAGTCAACATCCTATACTACTGCAACCCCAGAATAACGTTTGGTTGGAAATTGTAAAGCACAGTTAACTGGCTGATGGCCTATGGGATCTACAACCACGTAAAAATGGTGCTCATTTTCCTATCTTCCCCACCCTCTCATTGGAAGCGTATTAAAACAGATTAGCCGATCAAATTTAGTTGGCAGACTTCGAAACTAGAAATTTGAATGTTGTGGGATCTTGAGCAACAAATTAGAACGACCTATTTATTGGTCTTTTATCTTAGGTTGGTATTGGTTGTTAAGTTTCAAAATTATTGGATCATGTTTTAGGCATGGGATGAGATAAAATAAGATGATAATCTTATATAATGTTTGGTTTATATTTAAAAAATAAGATTATAAGAAAGATTAATTATGTTTTTTTTGTATAAGATGATTCAATTTTATCAAAATAAAAAAGACTACTTTTAAGTCATAAGAATGAATTTATAAATTTTAATATACTTTTAAAAATTACATTAATAAATTAAACTATACAAATTTTTAAAAAGTATAATTTTAATTAATAAATAAAATTACTTTATTTTAATTTTTTGTGTACATCAAATATAAAATAAAATAATAATATTTAATTTAATTTAATTTACAATATTTGTTTCTTATTTCATTAATAATTTTGTGCACCAAAAATTGAGTGAAAGATGCTAGGTAACACCAAAAATGCCGTTAGGATGCTAGGGCTGTATGTCCAACATCCGGTTGTTTAACCATTCCAATGTGATTATTCTTATCCTGTTTATCTACAATTTTGACCTGAAATTAAACATTCACTAAATGAAATACCATGGAGTAGGAATGATGCAATGGTATTGTAGTCCTGTCAAGATGCAAATACGAAGAGAAAAGAAACAGAGAAACATGGCTTGATCCAAATAGCTTCAAACTGTATCAAACATTTCTAAGTCTGAATTCCGAAACATCCAATTGCAATTCTTTTACAACGTTAATGACATGTAGGCTGAAACTCCGTACGGTGTGTACAGAGGCCAGGACCAGCCAACTTGCTCGCCTGGAAGAGAAAGTTGCATTTACCATAATAAATATTTGAAGTATAAACAGCATATCAAAGAGATGCAACAGAAACCTCAAAAGAATCAAGAGACGCTTGGATTTGTTAAGTAAATATGTGATCAAGATCTCGACACAATAAAATTATTCTTAAAACTCCAAACTGAGTTTGCTCATCTTGAATCTAAGAGCCAAATGAAGGGAACACAAAGATCACAATACTGCCGAAGCTTTACACAATTTCAGGAGACAAACTTTTATTCTTCTGCAACAACACTGATTTCACCTTTCTCAAGCATGTCATAGAATGCTCTGGCTTTCCTCTGCTCATTCCAGTGATGCATCTTCCAAAGTCCACCAGCACATAAGCCAAGTGTTATTCCAATAATTATCTCCTTTACAACACTTGGTCCCTTCAAGGTAGCATGAGCAATCCTAGGACCAGCCATTTCACTTCTTTATTTAACCTAGAAGCATGAATTAAATGTTTCATTTTCCAATCGTACATATGGAGGAATCAGGGAACACCACAAATTATATATCATTTTAACAAGCAAATCAAATGACAAACAAGAAATGCAATCAACAGAGCCAACAAATGTTCATAAACCTAATAGTGACAACATAAAGCAATTTATGAAAAGGCTAAAATAACAAAAAAAACCCTTGAACTTTACTTTACTCAGACACCTATACTTTTATTGCACCAAATAAGTCATTGACTTTTAATTCGTACCTAAATAAGCCCTTAACATAAATCGATTATTTTTATTTGAAATAAAACCTATTTGGATACAAATCAAAGCATAAGAGCTTATTTTGATACAAATACAATAAAAGTGTAAGAGCTTATTTGAAAAAGTGAAATAGATCAAGGGCTTTTTAGTATTTTAGCCTTATGAAAATTGAAGTACTATAATCAGCAATTAACTCCATATCCAATCAACACATAGAGGGGCTAGAGAATTTTAATTTATAACATAAAAATTTGTTGTACTCCTCAAAATCATATGGCTTTACGACCAATGATTTCAAACTTTATTGCTCCAAATGGATGAATGATGAATGAAATAAGCAATTCGATGTCCCACTTCTCAATTATTGTTTCCTTTAACCCGAGATGGTTATAATCTATACTGCTTATTTATCTATTTGTTTTGGGACCAATAGACTTAGCATTTGCATATTATGTTAAACCAATTCCAATTTAGTTCCACAAGAGATTTCAGGCTTATACCTAACTAAGACCCCTAAAAACTTTATCACTAGAGCTATGCTCTAGGGCTATACCAACTCATTCATTGTTTAATGCTTTACACATCGAATTTATCAATAGTGCATGACCTTAATGTCTTAACTCTTCCCAATTTGCCAATGCAAAAAATCAACATCTTCAATTATTCATTTTTCTGGTTACTTAAATTCAATAGCAGTTTTATGTAGCGTAATTACATACAATCTCTTAAGTCCAAGCACTTAAATTAAAGACATGGGCAGCTCAATATTTCCACTCTCTTATCTTGCCAAACAGTTAAAGACAGAAAATATCCAAAACATGCATTAGATTCAGAAAACAAATTTATTATACTTGTCAATAGATTAAGCAACACAGCCGATCCCTTGTCTTGCCCTAACTAATGCGACATTTATATTTTCATCAATCACTTAAGGTAAAAAGCCTACATTTTTCTCTAACAGCTACTTCGAATCTCAGTTAGGTGTATACAAATTTCACCCGAAATTTTCAAAGCATAAATGAAATAATCATAAAACGAAAAATCAAAATCAAAATAACCATCGTGCACGCTGCAAAGCCCCCTCCCCAAATCGATCCCAAGATCTTTAAGGCCAATAACTAAAAAAAAATAAATCATCATTTCCAAGCATACAGATAATTCGGATTGCAGAAAGTGCAAAATCCTGGATAATCGTCAAGAAAACCGAGAGTGTAAATGGAAAAAAAAAAAAAAAACGAAGGAAGAAATTAGGGTTTACCAGAACGAGGCTGCTATGAAGACTAATGATCGAACTGGATTGAGATTCAGTCTTCAGAGAATTGAGGCTCTATTTCTTTCCATCCACAACAGCATTTCCAAATTCTCTATTTTACCCTTGTGAAAAAATGGGCTCAGGACTTCCATCTGGGCTAGAATAACAAAACAAACAAGATTTTTTAATGGGCCAATCCAAGTACATTTGATAATGGGCCAGACGTCAATGATGAGTTAGACAAAAGGCTAAATATTCCTTTACAATCTAAAATTTATTTCTGTCGGCCTAAGTAAAATGTATTGCATCGAATCTGAATTCGACAGGCGGCCTAATAGAGAAACAATACAATGTGCTATCAGCCTTTATTTTATTTTTTTTTCTTTTGATAATGAAATTTCTCAACGACTACTATAACAATAAAAAATTTTGATTAGATTTATTTGTTCAAAAGTTTCAACTAAGTACTGCATAAAAACAAAATACTAACCAATGACTTTTACAACAGATTTGAGTTGAAAACTGCGTTTTTGGGTGCAAGAAATCTTCTAATCAATCATATTTCTGTGATTGTTTTCATAATTTTAGATTTTTTAAAAAACAAAAATAGTAATTTGAGGATAAAATAAATAATTATAAAAATATTGAGATTTAAATTTTAAATTAAATATTATTTTTAAAAATAATTATATAACCAATTGAAATAAGTATCAAAATTTTATATCGCTTAAATATTGATGAATATATGGGGTAGTTATCATTGATAGGCGATTATTAGAAGAAAAAAGAAAAGAAATGACTAATTAGCATGGTTGAGCAACATCACCTAAAAAATTTTAAAATAATAAACTTGAAGTCAAAACCCTCCCCATCTACCCAACCACCAGCAAATGGTAGAGAAAGCACAGATTACAGAACCTTTTCCTTTCCAGTACTGCCTACAATTACAAACTAGAACGACCAAACATTTGAGCAAAGTCCACCACCAACATCATTTTTCACTCTTCCTCTTTTGGAATTTCTTTCCGCAACTCTCATAACTTTTTTCACTCTGTTTTTTCTTCACCCAAAACAACAGCAACTCAAAAAAAAAAAAAAAATGGCGTTTTGGTGTTGCTCTCCAAGATTCCTTATTTTCCTCTTCCTCGTTTCGGCAATTCCCATCGCTTACATCATATCTGAAGAACGTGTCAAGTCTCACAACCATGTTTTCCACTACCACAGCGCTGGCTTTTTCCGGGAGTGCGCCAAGTGGGATGATCAGGGCCGTCGATTCCTTGTTACTTTCTTGGAAGGTGGCGTCGGTGAAATCCATGTTCCCGACGATTACACCCGCGATGTCGTATTGAAAGAGGTCACAGTGGTCAAAGACTTTGACTTAACCGGAAACGCTTCCCTCGGCATCGCTATTGATCGCCCTAGAAATCGGCTTCTTGTGGCTGTAGCCGACTTGCTCCGCAACCGATACAGTGGTCTAGCAGCTTATGATTTGTCCACGTGGAAGCGCCTGTTTCTAACCCAGCTCAGCGGCCCTAGTAAGTATTCTAATCATTTATCTTTTTGTAAATTACAATAAAGTCATTTTCCTACGACAATAACAATATTCAGTTTAACATGTAAAATAATTTTAATTTAAATCGTCTGATCCTTTTAGGCTGTTAATAGCACGTTTACAACAGGGAGTTCGATTACTTGCAATTTTCCATCTTAATCCCCCAAAGCTGCAGCCTCCCTGTAAAAAAAGAAAAAAAATCTAAGCCGTCCAAATGTTTTTGTTTGTTGGTGATTTGATAGGGCAGGCCTGAAGAGATAGGTGGTCTTAAGTTGTTTCTTGAAAGAAGCACAGACGTGGAATATTTTAATTTTTGTCGAATTTTTTGAAAAGAAATTAATCTGTTGGAATCTGAACTTGTCTGTTGCTATCGATATTTTGCTTCTGATGGAGGCATCTTGTGGTTGGAATCTTTTCCATCATGTTTATGGCTTTATGTTAACTATACGTATTTTACAGTAGAATTGGATTAACCTCTTTTTTTTTTTTTTTTAATAAAAGTTGTTCATTTTAAGTGTAGGAATTTGCATGATATTTGAGAATAGTAAAGCAAATTAGTAAGTGAATAAATGTCTGAGGCCACTGTGGCTTATGAAGGCTACATTCTTTCCACACCAGAAGGCTACGATTATTGGGGGGTGGGCTAATGCCTAATGGGTTATTGAGATATGATTTATGTTATATGTAAGTGTAACACATAGCGTAAGGGTGTTGGTCAGGGTCTCAGAGACGGGTATGCATGTGCCATTGTGACTTTAAAATTATCATTGCGTTTGATTCTTGACTAAACTAAACTAAGCGTGGTCAAAATTCAAGGCCCGTATGAAGAAGCATGAAGCTGTAATATGTGACTTGGGCAACTTGGACTCGGGACTTCTCTATTTGCTTAACTTATACGCTTTCTGCATCTTTATAATTGCTCTCTCAGACTATCATCAATTTCACCCATACCACATCATCTTGCCTTTGTGGCGGTATCTATAATTCTGTATTCATAAAATCAAGAAAGTAACCGAAGGCCAACATGGCAGGTCATAAGTTATAATCTGCTATGCATATGCTAACATAGATTTAGTGAAGTAACTCACATGACACAATAAACACTGCAATATTTGTTAATTGCTTTCCTTTTCAATTTTTCAATGTTTTTCTGACCATTGTTTCCTGACCCTTAGGTGATGAGAAGTCCTTCGCGGATGATGTTGCTGTAGATGCAGATGGTAATGCGTATGTTACTGATGCCAAAGCCAGTAAAATTTGGAAGGTTGGTGTCGATGGTGAGTTCTTGTCTATCCTCAGAAGCCCACTCTTCACTCCAAAAGAGTGGTACAAAAGCTTGGTTGGATTGAACGGAATCGTTTACCACCCAGATGGCTACTTGATAGTAATTCATACTTTCAGTGGCAATCTGCTTAAGATTGATCTAGCCAAGGGATCAGAGGAAGTGAAGTTGATTGAAGTTGGTGGAGGTCCACTAGCATTTGGTGATGGTCTAGAGCTAATTTCTCCAACTAAGCTTATAGTTGCAGGGAACCCTTCTGGGAGATTGGTAGAGAGCTTGGACGGATGGGAGACGGCTTTAGTTGTGGCAAAGTTTAAGGGTCCTATGCATCGTTTGGCCACGGCGGCGACTGTGAAAGATGGGAAAGTTTATCTCAACCATATGGTTGGTATGGGGTACCCCAAGAAGACACATGCCCTTGTTGAGTTTGTACTCTAAACTTGAAAATGAATTATCGTATTGGCAAATGAACTTGCAGTTACGGGATATAATTAATCGAATGGAAATTGTTGTTTTCAGGGTTTTCACGTTTTATTGTATCAAAAAATGGAAACGCTTGTTAGTTTTTTTTTTTTTTTTTATTAAATTGAAAATTGTTCTTTCAATTCGATACATCGTATCAATTGGATGGTATTTTTTATTTTCTGAGGGTTTAGATGACCGTAACTTAAGCATATGCACTCCTAATAAAACTGATGTAAAGTACAACATGGACATTAAATGCGCTGCGTTATTAATGACGTTTTGATAAAACAAACTAATCAACATCGAAACCAATTTGTTTTGGAATTTTTGAAGTTGAATTTATCTGGTTCTGTTTGATCTTATCCCTTAGCACGGGCAAGGGAAGAGATCATACAATTATTTCCTTCATTTATAATAAAATAACCCGTGACACTGGTATCTGTATTATTTTTCTTTATCTCTCCGGTATTTTACTTAAAATAATAATCCTATCATGTTTCTTTAGGAAAAAACTTTTTCTTTTTTTTTTTCTGAATGCCCCGTGACATAACCGGAGTAGAAGGGGGAAAAAGGAAAAAGGAAAGAAGAAACTGACATCACTTGACACCCAAGCAAAGGTAAACAGACTACTTAGTAGCCTTAAACAGGTAGCAAAAGTTGAAAATAGAAGGATGATTCAGCATGTTAAACCAGCTTTGTCAAAGGAATTTGCTTTGATATTTTTCTTCAACAAAACTCACGACATTAATCATTTTAAAATTCTTGATTTCCAGGTATTTAGGGTGGAAAAGGAGTTTTTTTTTTTTTTTCTACTACTTTAATTGAATAGCCTCAACCTTCTACATGTTTTTATTCCAGCAAAGATATACTCTGTATCTTTTTGGTGTAAGGTCCAGCAAAGATATTGAACATTGCCTCCAGCGCATGGCTATGGGTGTCGTCAGTCTTGTCGTGAGCACATTTTGACCCGTTGAACTATTTTTTGTTTTTAACAAAGGAAAATTTTCGATAACTGAACACCCAGTCAGTCAACCACAACTAGAAGCAATGCTTCAGTGCCAGTGGAATAGCCTGAAACAACTCCACTTTATCTGAAGGTCTTATCAGATTGTCTATTGTTTTGCTGTCTTTATGAAATTTTTGCTCTTTTAATTAATACATATTCTCTCAAATACATGCATAAGTGACAAGTCCTCTCCTCTCTACCAAATCCCATTGACGAACTGGTTTTTTACTGTATTTTGAAGCAGTTTGCTGATGAACTACATTGATGGATAAACAGAGAACTTTCTTCTTCAAATCCACAAGATTATTGGTGTGTTCTTTCACAATATCCTTTTCTTTTATCTTTCTGGCTTCCTTGTTTACTTGGGTCATCAAATCCAACCCTTCAATTCATCAGGAAACCCATTTTCAGTTCAACGAATCATTGCTTAATTTGGGTGGTCATAAACCCATAAATGTTGAGAGCTTGAGTAGTTTCAGTAGTAATGCTTCAGCAGGAACCGTAAAGCATTCAACTGTGAAAGATGGCTCTTTTATTAAGCCTAAAAATGCATCTGGGCCCGATAAATTTTCAGGGCAAGAAATTGAGAGTGGAGTGCTAGGAGATGGTGATAGTGAAACTGAGGATCCTGAAACCGAGCAAGAGGATGCACCTGGACCTTCAATAGACAATATTGAAGTTGAAAGCAATGAATTAACTGAAGAGGCTGAGGTCAGAGCAAATTCAATTCACAAACTTGGCCTTCCAAGCACCAAGGAACAGAAGGAAGAGAAGAAGACAATAGTAATTATTGTTGATAAAAATGAAGTTCCAAGGAATGAGAAAATTGAGGAGAAGAAGATAAATAGCTGTGATGTAACAAAAGGTAAGTGGGTTTACGATGAGAGCTATCCTCTTTACACAAATGGATCGTGTCCTTTCATTGATGAAGGTTTTGACTGTATTAGCAATGGAAGGCGCGATAGCAATTACATGAAGTGGAAATGGCAACCACAAGATTGTGATTTTCCTAGGTAAATTTGATTTGCTGTATACTTTTTTCTTGCATGTGCACATCCTAGCAATTGCTGTGGTAAAGACTGGTTTTTTGGTGTGGGGCTCTCTGCTTTAGGTTCAATGCTGCAAAAATGCTGGATTTAATCCGAGGGAAAAGACTGGTCTTTGTGGGAGATTCAATTAATAGAAACCAATGGGAATCCATGCTTTGTTTGTTAATGGGAGCTATAAAAGATCCAAAGAAGGTCTATGAAACTCATGGGCGAAGAATCACTAGAGAGAAGGGAAATTATAGTTTCAAATTTGTGGTAATTAAATGATTGCGTAAAGTTTATTCGCTCTTTATTTCACTTATATATTGGAATTTTTAGTATTTGCCTATTTGGGCTAATCGATGTTTTGGGGTTGTTTCTGCAGGACTATAAGTGTACAGTTGAATACTATGTTTCTCACTTTCTAGTACACGAGAGCAAGGCAAGAATAGGGCAAAAGCGGAAGCCAACTTTGCGTATTGATGCCATTGATCATGGTTCATCAAAATGGAGGGGAGCTGATATTTTGGTCTTCAACACTGCACATTGGTGGTCTCATTACAAAACAAAAGCCGGGTTAGTGCCATTACATTATCATACTGTGAATCTTTAAGAAAACCTTAGCCAGTACACCCTAAAGTTGTAGTGTGATCTTCCTTTCAAGGTTTCAATCCTGCATTAACCGTAAGCTGGAGAGTTCAACCCAGATCTCCTTTTTATTAGAAAAGCATGTTAAGCTGTTCTTATAAGAATTAGGATGAAATTACTATGATATGTACTTTAACCTGTGAGCTAAACCTTTATATGCTCTTGTAATAAGTTTGATGTCTACTGGCAATTTCCATATCTTAGGATAAACTATTATCAGGAAGGAAACCAAGTACATCCTCGACTTGATGTCTCCACAGCCTTCAGAAAAGCTTTGATGACATGGGCAGCATGGGTTGATAGACATATTAATCCAGGCAGAACACAAGTTTTCTTTCGAAATTCAGCACCTTCCCATTTCAGGTTTGCTGTTGTTTATGCTGCCGTGAACTTCCTTTCTTTTAACATTTACTTGTATGATTACTAAGTAGGCTCTGATCATTCATTATATAGGGGAGGACAGTGGAATTCAGGTGGCCGCTGTACGGAAGCTGCTTGGCCCCTTGATGGCACTTCAGGCATGATATACCCTGACAAGAACAAAATTGTGGAGGAGGTCATTTTGCAGATGAAAACTCCTGTAACATTGCTAAATGTGACTGGTTTATCTGCATACAGGATAGATGCTCATCCATCAATATATGGGAAAAAACCAGGGAATCGCTACTCTTCGAACATTCAAGATTGCAGCCATTGGTGTCTTCCTGGTGTTCCAGATACATGGAATGAAATTTTGTATTTCCATTTGCAATCCAAACAAAAGTCCAAGTATCACTCAAAAATTCGATTGTGATCCTCCGCAATCAGCTTGTATATTCTTTCAATTCTTTCAGCTTGTGATATTGTCAAATAGCATGCAAAATGTAAGATTTTTGGATGAGGTTCTTCTGTTTGCAAGTCAAATTTATAATTCTGATTGAAAATAATTCATTCAGAAACATGAAGTTCTCCTGTTACTCTGTTACAAAGCCTGCTTAGTTATTAAAATAATAACAATAATAACCATACACGGCTTTTTACTCTTTTAGGCGGATGTCCCAAGGCCCCCCCCCCCCCTTGGACTACATCGTTTTAAAAGGTTATTGAATTAAAAAAATAAAAAAAAGACGAATTGATATTAAGCTAAAAATTTATTGTAATTATCAACAACTCATCAATATCGGCAATTTACCTGTCGGCAATGCAAAAAATAATAATAGTAATCCAGGCGAAGCATGAATATTAAAGAGAAAGTGTTAGAAGATAGTGTTTAGGATTGTTGATATGGATTCATAAACATTGCTTAGTTGAATATTTTAAATTGTTTTTGATTTTTTAATATTGGTTATTTTTTTGTTATTCATGTTTATGATCATGACGTAATCTTAGGATCATAATTTTAGTGGGTCGTTATTAATTAAGCTTTGAATTGCAATGTTTTTTATGTTAAGTAAAATTAAGTTTTCTTTGCTTCAAAATACATTGCTCTTAATTTTCATTTGCCTTTACTATAGCAATACTTTGTTTTTCTTTTCTTATTAAAAAATAACATCATTTGCTTTCAGAGCTCTTTTTTTAAGGGATTTTTGTGTGAATTTGACGCGTCATGAAAGTCGAAGTCAGTCTCTCAACAATTGCTCTGTTGGTGTTCGACAGAAACAACTACTAAATTTGGGCAGTACGTATGGTGACATACTTGGAAGCTTTGGATTTTTTAGAAGCAATAAAAGAAGACTATCAAATTTTTGCACTTCCGAACAATCCCACCATGACACAGATGAAAATGAAGAAAGAAAAAAAGACAAAAAAATCAAAGGCAAAGGCCTACTTGTTTGCTGCAGTCTCATCCACCATCTTTACTCGTATCATATCTCTGAAGTCAACAAAAGAGATATGAGATTATCTCAAGAACGAATATGAAGGAGATGAAAGAATTAAAATAATGTAAGTCCTAAACTTGATTAGAGAATTTGAACTTCAAAAAATGAAAGACTTTGAGATAATTAAATATTACTCTGACAGGCTTTTTAGTATTGCAAGCAAAGTGAGGCTTTTTGGATCTAAATTTATTGACTCAACAATTGTAGAAAAAATTCTTGTTACAGTACCTGAAAGATATGAAGCAACCATCACTACCTTGGAGAATACTAAGGATCTGTTAAAAATTTTCTTAGCAGAATTGCTTAACGCATTGCAAGCACAAAAACAAAGAAGACTAATGAGGGAGGATATAACAATCGAAGGAGCTTTGGCAGCTAAGCATTAAAGTATCGCTAAAAATAAAAAGAAGAAGAAGAAGGATTTTGAAGGAAATGAGGTAAATATAGCATTAGCCAATGTAAAAGAAAGAATGAAAATCAAAATAAATCCTATCCACCTTGCTAACACTACGGAAAGAAGGGTCATCCTCCAATTTAAATGCTGGAGAAGACCTGATGTTAAATGCATTAAATGCAATCAGATGAGGTATGAAGCTGTTATCTACAAAAACAAAAATCAACAATATGGTGAAGAGGCAAAGATTGCTGATCAAAAGGAAAAAGATCACCTATTCATTGCTACATGTTTCTCTAACATCGAATCAAGTGAGAGTTAGCTTATAGACAGTGATTGTACTAATCACATGACACATGACACATGAAAAAGATCTATTCAAGGAACTCGGCAACACAAACTCATCGAAGGTTCGAATTGGTAATGACAAGTACATAACTGTGAAAAAAAAAGAAAAGTCTGAATTTCAACATGTTCAAGTATAAAGTTCATTTATGATGTGTTGTATGTCCCTAAAATTGATCAAAACTTGTTAAATGTTGGACAACTAATTAAAAAGGATTATAAAGTTGTGTTCGAAGATAAAAGTTACCTGATTAAAGATGCATTAGCCAAGATATTTTTGAAGTAAAAATGAAAAGGAAAAGCTTTGCTCTAAATCCATTGTAGGAGTAGCAACTGCTTTCCCAATTAAAGAAAATATCACTGAAGTATGACACAAGAGGCTTAGACACTTTCATCATCAGGGGCTGTTGCAGATGAAATTCAAGAAGATGGCAAATGATCTTCTAGAACTTGATGATCATATTCCAAACTGCAAAGCATGTCAGTTTGGAAAGTAAAGTAGAAAACCATTTCCCAAAGCAATATGAAAAGCATCAAAGAAGCTATAATTAATTCATACTGATATTACAGGCCCACAAAGAACATTTTCTCTAAAAGGTAGTCTTTATTATGTTGCATTCATTGACGATTTCATCCGTATGTATTGGATCTTTTTTTAAAGCACAAGTCAGAGGTGGCTCAAGTCTTTTGAAACTTTAAAGCCAGAGTTGAGAACGATAATGGTTGTAGAATTCAAACTCTCAAATCAAACAATGGCAATGAGTACGTCTCTAAAACATTCAATCTTTTTTATGATGAGGTAGGCATTTAACATTAATTAACCGCTCCATACACTTCACAACAAAATGGAGTAAGTGAGAGACATAATAGATTCATATTAGAGATGACATGATGCATGCTACATGAGAAGAACCTGCCAAAGTAATTCTACGTTGGAGCAGTAAACACTGTTATTTTTTGCAAAACAGCTTCCCATAAGAGCAATAAAGGATCAAACACCCTTTGAGGCATTGTATGGTTATAAACCATCTTTGAATTTCCTTAAAATATTTTGATGTTTATGCTTCACTCATGTTCCATAGATTAAGAGAAATAAACTAGATAAAAAAGTACTTCTAGGCATCTTTATTGGCTACAGCTCAGTTGCAATAAAGTTTTTCAACCACAAACTGAAAAAATTATTATAAGCAGGGATATGCACTTTATGAAAGACAAAGAATGGAACTGAGATGATGCAAAAAGATGGATCCAACCTTAAAAAAGCTTAAGCTCAAGTTTTTTATTTTAGACACAACAGAATAAAGCATTGGAGACTGAAAGAATGAAATGGTGGATGACAGTCCTATTAGAGGCACAAGACTACTTTATGATGTTTATCAAAGATGGAATATTGTTATGTGTGAACCTACAGATTATGAAGAAGCCAATATGGATCAAAATTGGATTGCTGTAATAAAGGAAGAACTATTCATGACTGAAAGGAATAAAACATGGGAATTGGTTGATCGACCCAAAACAAAAAGGTAATTGGAATCAAGTGGGTGTATAAAACCAAGCTTAATACTGATGGGGTCAATTAATAAGTATAAAGCTAGACTTGTGGTCAAAAGATATACTCAAATACTTAGTGTGGACTACTCAGATACCTTTGCACCAGTCGCTAAACTCGAAACCATCAAGCTCTTACTTGTCGTTGAAGCGCAAAAGAATTGAAAAGGTGGACCAGTTAGATGTCAAGTCAGCGTTCTTGAATGGTTTTCTGTAGGAGAAGATTTATGTAGACCAACTGAAAGGCTATGTAAATGAAGGAAAAGAAGACAAGGTCTATCTTCTTAAAAAGACACTTTACGAATTGAAGCAAGCTCCAAGAGCTTGGTACATTAAGATTGATGAACATTTACAAACTTGAGATTTGCTAAAAGCTTATCTGAATCAACATTTTATGTCAAGCACAATGGAGCTGATATTCTTATCATCTCACTATATGTGGATGATCTGCTTGTGATAGGAAACAACACAAGTATTGTGAAAATGTTTAAACAAGAGATGATGGAGTTTTTTGAGATGACAGATCTCATATTTCTTTCTTGGAATGGAAATTAAATAGAATGAACATAAAGTCTTCATCTGTCAGAAGAAATATACCAAGGAGATTGTGAAGAAGTTTAAACTCAAAGAATGTAAAGATATGAGCACACAGATGAACTCAAAGGAAAAACTCTGTAAAGAATATAGAACAGAGAAGATTGATCAGGCATATTTAAAAGCCTGATTGATTGCTTGATGTATCTCACAGTAACTCAGCCTGATATTTTGAATGCTATAAGCATTTTGTCTCAGTTTATGCACTGTGTAAGCGAATGGCATCTCAAGGCTGCAAAGAGGATGCTTAGATATGTGAAAGGCACATGTGATTCTGGCATTAAATACACAAAGGAGCAAAGAATTCAAGCTGGTTGGTTTTTCAGATAGTGATTGGAAGCGGTTCCATTGATGATATGAATAGCACTTTTAGGCCACTGTTTCATACTTGGTTATGGTGTTTTCTCATGAAACTTGAAAAAACAAGAAATTGTAGCTCAATCTACAGCTGAAGCAAATTTGTTGCTGCAACAGCTGCTGTTAATCAAGTTTTGTGGCTGAGGAAGATTTTAATCGATCTTAACTTGAAGCAAAAGGAAATCACGAAGATTCTTGTTGACAACCAAACTGCTATTGCTATCTTTCAAAATCTTGTGTTTCACGGGAAAACTAAGCATTTTAATATTAAGTTATTTTTCTTAAGAGAAGTTCAGAAAGATGAAGTTATTGTTATTGTCTACTGCAAAACAAAAATCAAATTGCAGATGTTTTCACCAAATCACTGCCGGTTAGCAAGTTCAAATTTTTGAGAACAAAAGTCATTGTTTACAGCTCCTAAAACAAGGAAGAATATTAAAAAATGTGTTTAAAACTATTGATGTGAATTCATAAATGTTTTACTTAGTTGAATGTTTTAAATTGTTTTTTCTTTTATATTGATTATTTTTTTATTATTCATGGTTGTGGTCATGACATAATCCTTAAACCATGATTTTAGTGAATCGTTATTAATTAAGCTTTAAATTATAATATTTTTTATGCTAAATAAAATTAAATTTTCTTTGCTTCAAAATACGGTGCTCTCAATTTTTATTTGTCTTTACTATAACAACAATACTCTGTTTTTCTTTTCTTATTCAAAAATAACATCAGAAAGCCTTTCAGCCACGACAGAAAGAAGCCAAATTAACCGGGGGATGGGGGAATC